ATAGATAGATAGATAGATAGATAGATAGATAGATAGATAGATAGATAGATAGATAGATAGATAGATAGATAGATAGATAGATAGATAGATGGGTAGATAGATGGGTAGATAGATAGATAGGTGGGTATATAGATAGATGGATGGGTAGATGGATGGTCGGTCAGTCAGTCAGTCATTCAGTCATTCAGTCATTCAGTCATTCAGTCATTCAGTCATTCAGTCATCCAGTCATTCAGTCATCCAGTCATTCAGTCATCCAGTCATTCAGTCATCCAGTCATTCAGTCATCCAGTCATTCAGTCATTCAGTCATCCAGTCATTCAGTCATATCAGTAATACCAGACATACCACAAAAAATAGTAATGCCTGGTCTATGCATACGCTACAAGACAGACGTATTCCTCTACTTGGTTCCTAACTTGATTAGATTATTTAGGAAGAAGAAGAAGGAGAAGTGCTTGCTGTGCTATGTTCTATGAGCTGTTGCTGCGGTGTTGACTGGCTGTTTTGATAGAGTTGGGATAATGAGTGGTGGCTATGCGTGTAAGGAGTCGTTTTTGTTAGGGATATGATTGGGTGGTTGGTGTGGAGGAAGGACGCCGTGCCATGCTATGTAGTCTACTCGTCAGTGTGATGGCTGGTGATTCGGATAATGTGAATTTGAACAAGACTAGGAATAATCGTAATGACGATAACAGTAGTACTAACAGGGCAACAGTAGAAGGACTAGTGTATGTCGGTTTAGATAATCGTTCGATTAGTATATTCGGAGAATCAATTATATTATTGCTAGACTAGAGTATATAGTAATCTTAGCACTCGAAGGTGTTAGTATATACTTATACATACATTAGAAGAATAAAGATGTATAAGAATATTTTCTCAAGCTTAAGTAGAAAGCCTAAGGCCTAAGTTTTATAAAGAATTCTTCTTCTATATAGATCTATAAGATTATATATAGTTTCGTATATGCCATAGAAGTAGAGATAAAAGAGGACTTAGAACTTAGAGGGGCGTCTCCATCCATATGCACACTAAGATTATCAGGTTCTGCCTAGGTACGGAAGAATGCGCTATTTACTAGGTGCAGCTAATTAGAGCTCGAGCTCCCCTGAAAGTTTAATCACGACCGTTTAAATGATGCATGCCTCTAGCCCCGCGGCGAGAGGCGAGCAGCGGTAACGCAAGATCAGGGACTGGGAACTGGGAACTGGGGTGAAGTGATAGAGAGTAAATATGGAGCTGTGGTATAGGCATCTATATTGAAAATAAGAAGGATCTTATACTGGACCGAGGGGTTCTGTCAGACAAAAAGTAAACAGTGCAGGTTCGGCAGCGTGATTCACGTGTCTGTCCGGGGTAACGCGTGTTTACATGTCATCCCTGTCACTCTCGCATCTGAAACCGCAGCGCAAAGTAAGGTGGGACGGGCAAACATCTCCCACCCCAAGACCCCAAGGGCGTGCATCGTTCCTCCCCTTTCTATCTGCGCCTTCCCTTGTTGACGCTGAAAGCTCCTCCTTTTCTCGTTGTTTACCTACCTGCACATCACTCCACTCTTGCTGTAGTCACTGTCGCCAATTCACTCTACTTTTCCGATCTCACTTCACCCCCGCTATCAGCTTATACGGCTGTTCGCCTCCTCTATCCAAAGCCATCGCTTGTCCTTGCTCAAGCTATCGACGCATAATTCAAGATGACTATCGCTGGAAAGTACCAGAGGTTTCTGAACAGCCCTTCGGCGGACGCGCTGTCAGACAAGGCCTCGCTCAACTACATCACGACCCTCACGACAATAAATGAGCCGCTGCCAATCCTGAAGCACTTCGTCGGCCAGAGCAAGCTTTTGGAGAAGAAGAGCGAGAAGTTTCTTAGCACAATCGACAGCGGTAGTGCCCTTTGCGCCGATGTCGAGACCACCATCGAGTTCAAGAACGGTGGTGGCGCGTACTTACCTGGACTAGACGATAATTTCTTGTCTGACCGCGTCGCAACATTCCCAGTGGTAAGTCGGTATTCGCCAATGTCGTGACGAATGCTGACAGGTTTTATCATAGGTTCACATCGTACACTTTGACGAGCAACAGAAGATCACCCAGATCCGTCAGTACTGGGACCAGGGAGCGCTGCTGAAGCAGATTGAGATTATTGGTGCCCGTGGAAAGAATTGGCCTATCAAGGAAAGCAAAGATCAGATCAAGTTGATTGCGAACAGCGCTTCCCTCACACCCCAGGCTTTAATTGACAACTCGCGTCCCTCTACGAGCTCCTCCGATGCCATGAGCAATTCACAAAGACCTACCTCGAGCAGGAGCGCCACGAGAGGTGATCCTCATGCTAGTTTGAACCTCTTTGCACCCCGCGAGGTCATTGAAGAGGAGGACATACCCGCTGGTCCTGGCTACGCAACGCGCCAGTCTGCCAAACCAGAAGATCGTGATCTTGGCGAGCTATTCGTTGGTGAACAGTCTGCTGCCACTGCTCAGAGCACGGCTTCGTCCAGAAAGAGCAGCAAGGCCGGCGCTGGCAAGAAATTCGTGGCCAACCGTATGTTCGACGTGGATGATGACACTCCCGCCGACTCTCCGCAGAAGACTTCAATCAAGACCGAGGCGAAGAGATATGATCACTTCGAGTTTGGTGATGGCGAGGAAGCTGGTGGTGCTCCACCTACGCGTTCTATGATCAGCCAGCAACACAACAAGAAGCATCAGTCCCAGTGGGGTTTTGAGGATTTTGCTACGCCACAAAAGGCCGGCAACAAGATTCAACCGCAGCAGGAGCGCCACTTTGGCTGGAGTGATGATGAGGAGGAGTCTCCTGTCAAGCGCCCGGTCGTACACCAGCCTCGCGCCAATCTAAAGGCTCAATTTGAGTTTCAGGACGACAGCACTCCAGAAGGCAACAAGAAACCTGTGTCAAACAAGGGGAAGGTTGCCAATGCCGGCATGGGCTTGTACAAGGACCACATTCTCGGGGAGGATGAAATCACGCCCAACGCGAAGAAGCCCCTTGAAAATGTAACTGCTCAGTACAACAACGAGAATCGCAGGAAGGACTTTGGTAGCCAGTTCGAGATGAAGGATGCCAGCCCGGCAGCATCTCAACAGAGCACCGTGGATCAGAGGCCCATGGGTCAAATGGGCCAGACCCGTAAGAACGTACTGGAAAGCGGCATGAATGCTGGCTGGTCTCTATACGACGAAACTCCAAAATCACAGAGCAAGGAGAACCAGCCTCGCAAGATCTATAACACTGCTGGCAATGGCATGGGAGGTCGTAAAGACGCACAGCAGTGGAACATTGGCGATGACGGTGGTGAAGCGATGCCCATTCGTGGCAAGCAGCATTCACAGGCTCAGGCTAACAAGCAAACAGAGAAGAGCTTCTGGGACTTCTAGACGATGTACGACATGTATGCCGAGTGAGCGAGCGAGCGATTTTGGACACGCTTTCCTTCTCTTGTTGAATATTGACGGTATCTGCACGCTGTTACGACTCGAAGCGAGCATGACCTGAACGGTCTTCCTTACGATAATAGCCTTCATTAGAAAGCCTGACGATCATTCTTGTATCCTTTTCTTTCGTGTAATTTGTCTCCTTATCGTAGGTGGCGTAGCACTGCTCGGGCGCTGGAGAATGAACAAAAAGTCATTGCTCCATTCGTATATCAAAATGAGACTGGTTTCCTGTACCTGCAGAAATCTGTTGTGACACTTTGGCTGTAATATTCAGACCCGCTCCTATCCAAATATGGCCATCCTTGTACACGGTGCATGGAAAGGGGTTTTGGCTGCCGTGATCGGCTGTGTATTCGTATTACGACGCACCAAAAACTTGTCGTCATGAGAGCGTTTGGAGAGAGGGGGGGGGCATATATTGGCGTGCATACTTTGTATTCGATGTATGGCAACTCTTCTACTGTAATACCTATACTTGCTTGTATGTGCTTGCATCTCGTCGTGAAGTTTTATTGTATCATGAACGTGCTTTGAAAGCTATCTCTGCTCCAATAAACTATGTATGGATGGTGCAGACTATAATTTCAAGGAGTTGCAACTTCCTGGTACGTGCGCCTGGCCTAACCAGGCCTAAGCACCCGTTGCGTCGCTGTCGGGCTGGGCTGGGGCTTGGTCTCCTCCATCTTCGACATCACTGCATCTTCGCCGTCCATGGACAGCATTACACTCTCAGCCAAGCATCTTTCGTGGACTTTAGCGCGCTGATTACACCTCATTTCTTGTGGACTTTCTTTATTCCAATCTCTATATACCCGACGCTGCGTAGTCGGCTTGACGCCTAACCGAGAGGTCTCCTATACAATTATCCGTCTGCACCTCGACATTCTGCGGGCTCCCTCGGCGGGGCATTCATTCTACTGGTCTTTGCTCTCGGTTCGATTGTCAGAAACGCAACACGAACGGACATTTCAAATCTCGGCAGCGACATCCCACATCCCAGCTCTCGCTCAACGAATCCATTTCAGGCATCATGGTGTTCCTTGGCATTTATCGCGCTATATACGACTATGCGCCGCAAGCTGAGACGGAGTTGCAAATCGCAGAGGGCGACTTACTCTTTGTTCTAGAAAAGAGCACGGACGATGATTGGTGGAAGGCAAAGAGGAAAGCAAGCAGTGAGGAGGAAGAGGAAGCGGAAGGCCTGATACCGAATAATTACATTGAGGAGGTGAGTGAAGTTATATCTCAAGATCTTGGAAGAAGGATGCTCACGGGCGTCCTGAAGTAAGAATGAGGGCTGACATTTTTGCACGCAGGCGGTTCCAATTGCAAAGGCGAAGGCGATGTACGACTACACGCGCCAAACAGATGAAGAACTCTCATTTAGCGAAGAAGATCTACTTGATGTATATGATACTTCTGACCCAGACTGGACTCTGGTCGGATTCAATGGCGAATACGGGTTTGCTCCGGCAAATTACATCGAGATGTCAGACTCACCCCCGGAGACGCCTGCGGCTCTAGCAGCTCCAGCAGCTCCAGCCGCTCCAGCCATGCCTCCTCGGCCAACAGTTGTTGAGCCTGAGGATGAGGAGGATGAGCCAAATAGCCCACCTCCGATAAGCGGGCCAGCAGCTGCTCTAGCACAAGCTCTGCGAGGACAAGGTGCTGCGAGTGCAGGTCCCTCGGCGCCGCGGTCTGCCATGTCACCACCGCCAAATCTCAGCGCTCCTCCTAAGAAGAAGAGTGTGCAGTTTACACCGGAAGAGTCCGACGAAGAGATACCTCCTCCGAACCTTCCGCAAAGACCTCCCTCGCAGACTCTCTCTCCTCCAATTACGCAGTATGCCTCTCCACGAACACCAATGTCCCCGCCGACCGACTACGACGATGAAGATCGACACTATCAGCGGTCACCGTTATCGCCAAGCGGCTACCACCTGTACAATATTCATGAAATGGTCTCACACATGGGCAAGAACAAGAAGATGCCGATGACTTTGGGCATCAATGTGCCAAAAGGCACAATCATGATATCTCCAGAGAAAGCAAAGAATGGGCCTGAGAAGGAGTGGACAGCCGAGAAGCTGACGCACTATTCCATCGAGGGCAAGCACGTTTTCATGGAATTAGTCCGGCCAAGCAAGAGCGTGGACTTTCATGCGGGTGCCAAGGATACGGCTCAAGAGATTGTTGCCTATCTTGGAGAACTAGCTGGTGCTGCTCGTGGAGGTGGGATGGAGGACGTTCTGGCTGCTGGGTCAGGGGGACAAGTACAGAAAAAGGGCAAGATGGTGTACGAGTTCATGGCGCAAGGAGATGACGAGGTAACGGTCGCTCTTGATGATGAGGTCATCATCATTGATGATACGAAGAGCGACGAATGGTGGCAAGTGCGGCGACTCAAGAATGGCAAGGAGGGGGTTGTCCCCAGTAGTTACGTCGAGATCACGGGCACCATAAACGTCTCAGCAGCACCAAGTCGAAGCAGATCCGATGCAGGACTCTCAATTGTCGAGCAGAATCGTTTGGAGGAAGAGAGGCTAGCAAGGCAAGCGACCAAGTCGCAAAGGAAGAATGATTCCAGAGGGGCAGAGGTAGGCCCTGGCTTGAGATTGCCTGAGCGACAAAGTAGCTTGGCGCAAGGCGATCCTGATACTAAACGCCATTCACAGAGAAAACGAGATAGCACGGCTAAGTCATCTTCGAGTTCGAAATCCAGTAAGTCATGTTCAAGTCGTGCTCGATAGTGGCGCTGATGATGATTGGTAGAGCCCGATTCTTCGAAAGTGCGAACCTGGACGGACCGAACCGGCTCTTTCAAAGTCGATGCTGAGTTTATTGGTCTCAGGGACAACAAGATCCACCTGCACAAACTTAATGGTGTGAAGATTGCTGTCCCGGTGCAAAAGATGGCTATCGAAGACCTGGAATATGTTGAGCGCAGGACTGGAGTGTCCTTGGATGAGGACAAGCCACTGTCTGAGATCAAACGCCGGTCTACGCTGCTGAAAAGGGATAACGAACGCGCTTCCAAGGCGGGTATCACTGTTGAAAAGAAATCAGACTACGATTGGTTCGACTTCTTCCTCAGCTGTGGTGTCAACCCTCAGATCTGCCAGACGTACACATCGGCTTTTGAGAAGGATCAGATGGGCGAGGAGAATATGGCGGATATCAACGAGAAACTCCTACGGACGCTGGGCGTGAAGGAGGGAGATATCCTTCGTGTCATGAAGTATCTGGACGCAAAGTACGGACGCGTAGGGGGTGCCGGAGATTCTGCAGATGCGAAGGGCGGGCTATTTTCAGGTCCAGGGGGAGCCTTGCGTAATAACACTGGCAAGGGACGTCCGGCACCTCCAGTGCAGACTAACGACGTTGTTGACGCAAAGGTTTTTGAGCAGATGACGGACGCCGCAGTCAAACAGCCTCCCCCGGACGCGCAGGCGACCTCGTTGGCTTCAGCACCGGTAAAGCAGCCCACGAACGGATTCGATGACAATGCTTGGGAAGTCAAGCCATCGAAGCAGCCCACTCCAGCCGCTTCTTCTCCTGCACAGCAGACGACCTCGCCGCCACCAGCTGCCCAGAGACCACCTACTGGTGCCATGGCAGAACTCTCGCTGCTCGACCAGCCCTTGATACCCGCACCTCCTGAGCCCAAGGCAGCTCCACAACCGCCAGTGCAACAGCACCTGCCAGCACCACAACCCCAACCTGCGGTCCTCCAACAGCCTGCACAGACAGGAGCCACTCAATCAGTCTTCGACCAAGTAGCTGCTGCTACCATGAAGGGACAGCAACAGCCCATGGCACCCCCGAGACAGCGGCCTATGGCTCCGCAGCAGACGGGGATGCCCGGCAGCCTCATACAACCTCCACCGCAGCGTGCTGCATCCGCACCACAGAACTTCCAACAACAGCAGAGTGCTTTTGGACCACCTCCTCCCCTACAGCCTCAACTCACTGGATATCAACCGCAGGTCCAAGCTCAGGTCTCTCCAGCCGGACAAAGCCTACAGGAGCTACAGCAGCAACGTATGCAACAACAAAACTTCCTCCAGATGCAGCCCACCGGCTTCCAGCAGCAGAATCAATTTGGCCAATTCTCGCAGCCCAGCTTCCAGATACCCCAGCCAACAGGTTTCAACCAGTTCCAGCAACAGCCTCAATTCCAACCTTCCAACGGCTCTCCCTTTGCCGACCCTCCTCGCGCCCCTTTCCAACCACAGCCAACCGGTTTCCAGCAATCGTTCTCCCCCATGCAACCTCAGCAAACAGGAATCAACGCCTTTCTCCAGCCCGCCCTGCAGCCTCAACGCACTGGCTTCCAGCAGCCTTCCCAGCAAACGGGCTTTGGTGGTACAAGTGGCTTCACTGTCCCTCCTGTGCCCCCAATCCCGACTCAGCCGACCATTGCGCCGCTCCAGCCGCAGAAGACGGGCCCGGCGCCGCAAATCAAGTTTGGTGTGCAGCCGGGACAGAAGAAGCTGGTGCCTCAGCCGACGGGCAGGGCGAATTTGAGTAAAGCTAGTATGTATCCTGTGATTAACTTGATGATTGTTTTTTGTTTTCGTTTGCGTGTGTGCGTGTGTGCAGAATTGCTAACGGTTGTGTAGCGCCGCAGAATCCGTTTGGGTTTTAGGGTTGTTCCGATGGTGGTAGTCTTGATGGATTTGTTGGAGACTATGATCGTGCTGGCAAGGGTGAAATGCCGTTGATACCTATGTGAGTATGAGATGGCGGTCGAAGTCGACATGCGGCAATGCAAGCAGGCAAGGAAGATGAGCAGACGGGAAGGAACGAAGGCAGTGGAGTAACCTCCGGCTGGTGCTCCACGTTGTATATAGCTCATTGACTCTATTTCTGTCTTATCTATCTATTTACAGTCAAATCTCGTCATCGCGATATCCAGTATACCGAGATCCTCGGTACAATGATAAAATTCTCGTGGACAAAAGCGAGGGTTTACTAGAAGATTAATCCTCAAATACGATATTCTCGCCATAGCGACACGTTTGAAGTAGCCGTATCCATATCATGATAACGGGATCTGACTGTATCGATGCATCTATCAATCTATAATGGCCTCTTCTTTCCCCTTATCCTTGAATGATCAATAATTAAATTCTAAATGAAATCTGAAACTTTGTATGCGAAATAAATATAGTACTGGTCTAGGAGTGACATACTGTGTAGAGACAGGCGAGAACTCCAAACTGTGAGTGGATCCTGGTATCACGAAGTACCTCAGCTAGAGTCTTGAGTCCAATCATACTGCTGCTATGCCTCCTCCAGGCCCGTGCAGTATTAGACCGGTAAGGACATGTTTTGGAAGCGCACCTATAGAAAGTTATCCACTTGCTTACTGTAGGCGCACGGGATCGTATTAGATCTGCCCACAGGTCATAGTATCGCTAACAGCTCACAGGTTACTGTTTTTATCGCGCCCGGGCTTAAGTTGACGCAAACCCATGGAAGAAAGCTAGGACTCACACCATGTCTGAACTACGTCTGGGATATTCAATGGTAGAAAATAGTTTGAATAGAGAGTTCTTCAAGGTACTTGAGAATATTATATAGAGTGTATCATCGTACAGCGCTCCTTGCTCGTGTAGATTCTGGTTGATATTATACTTTCATCACGCCCTCTCCATATATATCGGCGACTCATGCTCCTACCTCTCACCGCGCCGGCGCGGCTGCTGCTGCTACTGGTGAGCTTATTACTCCTGCCTACAGCCTCTACGATCAGGACATACGCTTTCGATACGTCATGCGTCAAACACCCAGCATACGAAAAACTCCGTGATGGGATTGAGGAAGCGATCCACATCGCTACGCTGAGTGAATTCTACCTAAATTTCGACCCTCCTTTACAGTTCATCAACGAGGGCTTTCAATACATTTTTAAAGAGGAGGCTGATAGTACGCGGGTGTTGGGCGTAATGGGGTACATTGGGGCCATGAAAGAAGAGAAGAGGTTCGAGTTTGCAGGACTGCACATCTACTGCGACAACACACGCTGGACGGAAGAGTCTCCAAGTAAAGCTATATCGGACACGGGAGAGCCAGTGTGGTCAGATTATAGCAGCGGTATGATGTTTGTGACTAAGCCGGAGTGCACCGACACAATGACAGCTACAACCTACGTAGGCAGAGAAACCCCTCCCGGGTACGAGCACTACAGGCCAGCAGATCGAACGACCATAACGATATGCGAGTACGGCCTGAAAGCATTAAAGGGAAGTCTGCCTAAGGATATCGGGAAGCTAAAGACAATGGAAGATTTAGAGATGTATACTAGTACTCTATTTCTTCACGAGTTGGGTCATACGAGTCCGCTAGAGCTAAAGGATGTTTACCCAGCATATGGGTGGAAAAATGTCCTCCAAAAGCCATCAGACGACGCGCTGGACAATGCGGACAGCTATGCTTTTTTCGGAATGCTGGTATATTTAAGTAGCAAGGGGTATCGCCTTTTACCAGGTAGTATTGTGCCTTTTCCACCCAGAAATAAAACCCAAAGAGAGGATTGAAATCAAGAGTATAGACTTATTCATTAGTGAATTGATGTTATTAGAAGTAAGAGAAAGATAGTAAGAGAGTTTATAGTAGTAAGGTTTCAGATAATCTAGCTACCTGTTTTACTTAGACAAGAGTCATTACTACATTAGCTATATTCTTTTATAACTTCCAGACTTATAGATATATCCTAATCCTATATCTATATCATATTCTTACTAGCTATACTACTATTATAGTAGTAAGAGTATCTACTTATCTTCTAGTTTAGTTCTTAATTTATTTCATACTACTATTATTATCTTAAGCTACTTTATAGCTTACTACTAATTACTAGTTTTAGTTCTCTTGTCTTAGTTGTAAAAGTAGAGCTAGATTCCTTCCCATTCCCTTTGACGCGCCTGACAGCAACAGCGACACGTTCATTCTACACAAGCATGTATGTTCACACAGTAGCATATGTAGAATCAACAAACTCTTCGCATACTATAGCAGGCTTCGATGTATCTAATCTAAATCAACAGATCCGTGGTCTACTGTTCGTACAAACGACTGCATTCTTGTGTCCGCGTGGACTTGCCCTTCCTGTACCACCGATCCGATCCCTTCTAGTAGTAGTAGAGAGTGGCGCCTTTCTGAAATAAATGACAAAGACAAGAGACCCGTGGGTGCTCATGGTTGAAGCGCCAGTGATGCCCATTGCTCCCAATCAAAATGCTAAACGCAAACCCGAACCCTCCGATGCAATTGACACCACGCTAGTATGACTGACCCAAAAGTAAAGGACCGAAAGGAGAAAAAGCCTCGAGTTTAATATCGCTTCTTCTTGGCGGCAGCGGCAGCGGCTAGTTTCTCCATCTGTTTCTTACGCAATAGTTTCGCCTGCCTGAGTGCGGCCTCCTCCCGCAGTGCCTCTTCATCTTCTTTCTTTGCCGCGCGCAAGCTAAGCTGTTCTTCATGGTCGACATCAAACGCGCCAGCTTCCATGTCAGAGGATGCGTCAGACATGTAAGATTCTTCTTCGTCTTCATCTTCATCGGCGTATGCATAGCTGGGTCCTCGATTCTTCTCGGATATCCTGCCATTATAGCCCTTCACGTAAGGTGCGGACTTGTGGGATTTCGTCGCAGGACCGGAGCGCGCAGTGCCGCTGTATGATGGCTCGGGAGCCTTCCCATGCGCAGTGCCCTGGTACGAGGGCTCGGATTTCTTCTTCTCCCTTGCAGTATCGGACTTTGCGTCAGGCTTTCCCGGGCGTCCATTTGTAGTTGCCGACTTGCCTTTGCTCAATAGCTGCTGTTTCTTTGCCTCCTCTTTACGAGCCAAAAGCTCCTTCTTGGTCAATTTCTCGGTCTGTTTGTGTGTGATCGAGCCGACTACGGGCTTCTCGGATTGAGTGGCCTTGGCCCGAGCCAACATGGCTGCATATGATCCGGCTTTAGGAGCAGGTGGCGCCAACCCACTGTTTGCCGGCGTCGTGGGCCTGGAGATGGGTCTCGCAGGGGCGGATGACACCACTGTAGTCGATTTGACGACAGATTTGGGTCCATTTGTCGTTGACGGCCCGGAATTCGCAGTCCCACGGTATGGAAGACTATCCGGGCCAGTTGATGCAGGCCTTGACGAAGGTCGACTCACAGGTGGCGTAGCACTGGCTTTTGCAGTCCCGGTATACCGAACCGCACCATGCTGCTGATCGTCTGTCCGAGGTGCCTTTGTCGCTACAGCGCCTATGTCACTCTCGGCCTTGCGTTTCGTCGCTTGAACTAGGGTGACGCCATTTATGGGAAGTGGTCTTCTGCTACCAGGCGTGGAAGAGAGCGTTGGAGCTCGTGCCGGGGCTGTAGAGGGGCTCGCCGGCTGGCCGGTGCCAATAGAGGAAAGAACGGAGTTGAGGAACTCGTTTCATTGTCAGCGCATCGCCCGCGTTATAATCAAAGGGTTTAACTCACGCTCATAGTATGACCTCGATCTGTAGATTCTCAGTGCTTTGATATGCAGATTCTCGCGCGCATCATGGGAATAAGAAGGGCGTGTGGTGAATAATATGGCGTGCTCGTCACGGCGAGACACGCCAGATGTAGTTTGAGGGAGAAAGATGGCCTGACAACAACCTGCTAGGAGACGTGGACGCCGTTGCAATTTATAGGCGGGCAGGGACAGCACGTGATCTTATCGATGGCGGTGACGCGAGCACAAACGCGGACTAGCGCACACATCTGCACGCGAAATTCAATGAGTCTCCAAGCCTGTGACTGTGCACTTTGATAGCCAAAACTTCTACAAACCACACCCAGAACTTGACGCTCAGTCTCCGCCCACGCGGTTAAATCGATTGAAACGCTTGTTCATATAACGCTCAAAAAACTGTCAGTCTTTACTTTTACTCTCGCAAATTCCGTATTCTGCCAATATACTGACCAAAGTCTGTAGTCCCATCCTACAAAATGAAGCACCTCGCAGCCTACCTCCTCCTTGGAATCGGTGGAAACACCTCGTACGTCGCCGTTATCGTATTTGGAGCTCTTTCTAACAGACAGCAGTCCCTCTGCCGCAGACGTTAAGGCTGTCCTTGAATCCGTCGGCATCGAAGCTGATGATGAGCGTCTTGACAAGCTTATCTCTGAGCTCAAGGGCAAGGACATCTCAGAGGTGCGGAATAATGGTCTATTGAGACGTCAAAGTTACTGACATGGTGTAGCTGATCTCTGAGGGATCCTCTAAACTCGCTTCCGTTCCATCTGGTGGCGCTGGCGGTGCCGCTGCTGGTGGTGCTGCTGCTGCCACTGCTGGTGGTGACGCCGCCCCGGCTGCTGAGGAGGCTAAGGAGGAGGAGAAGGAGGAGTCAGACGACGACATGGGCTTCGGTCTGTTCGACTAAGTGCATTGGCTACAACTCTCTGCCTCACGACGTGTCACGAAACACAAGCCAGTCGATGGCGACACGTTTCCCGGCTGGAATTGGGAAAAGACTTTGCCCGCTTTGTTACGACAGTATGAAACATTTCAAGAACTCGGGAAGTGTCAATTGGCACCCTTGTTCAATAGTAACATAGCCGAGTCTCGGACCATATAATTTCAAAAAATAGAAGAAAGTTACATGCCACCTACGTGCATCCCAAACGAACGTGAACATCACGCATATTTCACTTCTGGCTCCAGAATCAGTGTTGAACTTCGTTAGCTGCAAGTGTGCTTTTGCTGCGCTGCGAATCCAGCCGTGGCGGCCAGACTTGATTGGCCATGAGGTGCCAAGACTCGCTTCTCGCTTAATATTGTGGCCGCACCCGTGTTGGAGTTTCATCGTCAACCACAGCCCTAGGCACAGCTTTTCGACTTCTACTAACCCTCCAGCCAACGTCGAAGTCGTCCTCATACCCGTCGAACTTCGCAATTATGGCTGATTCCGAATACGTGAGTACATGTAATGGCTGAACGGTTTCTTTCAGACTAACCCGATGTCATAGAACGCAGAGGAAGCCGCCGGTATGCACCCATCTACCCACGTCTATTCCAAGCCCATCCTCGCTTTGAAAACCTGAAATACACTCTACTGCGGACACAAATCACAGCAAAGAGAGGACCCGCTGACATATGGATGCACAGAGCTTAAGAAGAAGCGCGCCTTCCGCAAGTTCTCGTACCGTGGCATCGACCTTGACCAGTACGCACCACCACACTCACGCCACTCGATCTCGAAAGACCACAATCTAACAAATCCATCAGACTCCTGGACCTTTCCTCCGAGCAGCTCCGTGATGTCGTTCACGCCCGTGCCCGCAGACGATTCAACCGCGGTCTGAAGCGCAAGCCCATGGGCCTGATCAAGAAGCTACGCAAGGCGAAGCAAGAGGCCAAGCCCAACGAGAAGCCCGACACCGTGAAGACGCACCTCCGCAACATGATTGTTGTGCCAGAGATGATTGGCAGCGTTGTCGCTGTCTACTCCGGCAAGGAGTTCAACGCCGTCGAGATCAAGCCCGAGATGGTCGGCCACTACCTTGGAGAATTCTCCATCTCATAGTACGTTTTCTTGATGCGTCGACAGAGTGACGGGATGCGTGAGTTTGATAATGATGCTAACTTTCGCTACAGCAAGCCTGTCAAGCACGGTAGGCCCGGTATTGGTGCTACCCACTCCTCGCGTTTCATTCCCCTCAAGTAAATTCGGATTTGGGTGCATGGTCTGCATGGGTGCTTGAATGGGAAGGAGGCTATGTACTTCATGAACACAGATATCATGAGTTAAATATGAAGATTCGCCTCCAAAATTCACAACATTACTCTACCTTTGCGATTCATGTGTGAACGTGAAACCTGCTTGTTCGGTTTGTATATTTGATATCTTATATTCATATGATATATACGCTACGCTAATTCTATACTCTTAAATTATGCAAGTACACTGTACCCCTTTATACGACATCAAGCATATTATCGCCCACCATAGCCCCCATCTCAATCCCTTCAGAACAGCATATCCTCATCCCCACCAATCCCGCCACCCACAAGCCCATCCAACGCCTTCCTCAGCGCATCTCGCACAAGCCTAGCATCCACTTCCCCAAGCCCCACCTCGCAACCACCACCCTTCCTCCCCCTGACGAGCATGTCCACAACACGTCCAGTCCACAAGCCGACCTCCCCATCCGTAACCACCGAACCATAAACCCCGCCGCAACACACAGCATCTCTGCCCGCGCCATCACGGCCGAGCACATCGAACTCACCGTCGTCCAACCTGCGCAGCAGTCTCGCAATCTGCGCCCCGGAGGTGTGGATGCGGATAGTCACAGTGCGGACGTTCGACGGACGCAGGAGTGGATTCATGGATTTTGTTCGCGTGCGGCGTCGGCAGAGAGGGATATGCTGCTGCTGCTGCTGCTGCTGTGCCGTGTTTGAGTTTATTCCACCGGAGGCGGAAACGGATTCGTCATTGGCCTGGCTTTTTGCGCGGTCCGGCGTCTCGGTGACAGGGGTGGCGTGTGGGTTAGGGGTAGTAGCAGGTATGGAGTGCAGGGTTGCTTCGGCCAGACTCGCGAGGAAGGAGTCGATTGCCGGAGTGGCGATCGCAGGGGCCGGGGCTCGGAAATATGGACTATCGGCGTTGTAGTGCTCGTTGTGGTGCTCGTTGTGGTGCTCGTTGGGTGGAACGGGCGCGTGGCTGGAGAAGAAGCGGCCGATATCGTGCTCGGATGGTGTCTGATGGGGAGTCTGAGCGGACCGTGAATGGTGATGGACGTTGTTTGTCTCTGTCATGCTGCTGCTACTTGAGTTGTTTCTGTTGCGTTGTCGATTGGATCGGGGGTCTGTTTGTCTCCTGAGGGGAGGGGTACGGGGAGCACCGTTTGTAAGGGCTGGCGGTCTGAATTTCTGCTGACTGCGACGCTTTTTGGGCTCTGCTCTTCTGGTGTCATTCGCGTGTTCGGGGTCGAAGAATCGGACTCCGGGGCTGTGATCGTCTTGGATCTGGAGGCTCTGACACTGTTGCCGTTCCGTTTGTTGTTGCGGTTGTTGTTTTCCGAGTTTTGCTCGTGGGCGCCGTGAGATTTCAGGAATTGCTGATAGTGGGGTTCCTAATACGGAATTCGGGTTTGGGTCTGGGATTGGAAGACTAGAATCTTGAAATTGTGGAGTTATAACGTCCATAGGTCGTCTTTGGTGGCTTGCGTATACCTCAGTTCCATCTTCGACCCTTGAAGACGAAGGCGGATCTGCTCTGTTGCGAGCCTCCGCTAACGTCTGTGTTGGTCGAACAGAGCTACTCGAAAGTGTTGCCGGGGGTGTCTCCAATCCAAAGTGTTGTTCATGGAAGCCAAATTGAGCCTGTAGGCTCCTCGTGCTTGAACTTTGCGGAGCGAGGTCGGAGGGTCGAATCTTCAGCGGAGTCTTCGCAGGCGTGTTGAGTTGGACCGGCTCACGGTATCTGCCCCTTGTCTTTGTGGCCATTTTTGCAAGTGTCCATGGATTAGACACTTCGACGGACCTCAATGCTTCCTCGGTCTCGTCATCATCATAGTTTTCGTAGTTCCCACTTGTAGTATCTGTCTCGTTGACTACATCCGCAAGTTCGTCATCGTCATCGTCATCGCCACCGTACATGTTAGAAACCCACGCAGACGATCGCTGTGGAGGGGGGTAAGTTCCAGATCCTTGTGTGCAGTCCTCATGGGTCGAGATTATTGCTTGAGGAGGAAGTTCCATTTCAGGCTGTGGTGTTGGATCTCGGTTCGCAGACGTGTCTCCCACGACTTCAGTTGACTCCAGGAAGTCTATCAGTTGGTCTAGTGCCTGAGGAGTATCCTTTTCCGTCTGGATCTGATAGAACGAATGCATAAGGTCCCCGACAACTTTCAGTACAGCTTTCTCGTCCATAAAGATGAAGTCACCTTTGCCAGGCTCCACGTTGACATCGTACGTCCCCTCTGGGCATGCAATATCAAGCCAGATAAAGCCTTCCTTGACCCCACCCAAGCCGGCTGTTTTCAGGTTGTGCTTCCACAACTCCAGGATTTTCTTGAGAACGCCTCTGGCATGCCCGACAGGGCGTCCGTCTACCTGAAAGAAGCAACCAAACCCGCACACATATGCTGGTTTAGCATCAGGTCGTGGTAGAAAGGCGCGGACGTGATATCCGTTACCTTTGAGTGCATCGTATCGACATTGGCTAGTGGCCTGGTGGCCTATTATCTTGATAGCAGCTTCTTCGACAAGTGATGCCATGGACTCCGAATTTCCATCGTGTACTTTACATGGCGCAAACGTCCAGTTCCCAGCAGTTGAGGTTGCCCTGAGAATCTTCAGCGAAAAGCGTACTGTTGGCCTAGTAAAGGCGTAAGCCTTCAGCATGCGTTTAATGTCCGCAAGACATTTGCTGGTAGTCTTGAGCGCTGCTTGTTTGCGCACAGGTAGAGCCGCAAAGAAGTCCGTCAGACGCACAGTAGTACCAACTGGATGCGAGGTAGCAACTCCTCTGCACCACCATTAGCCCTGACTTGAAAATACCTCATATGAGTGGGAGCTTGAGCCCAGACAATAGGGTGCATACATGTGATTGACTGCCCAGTGCCCAACGTCCCAGCTCCGTCCTACTTCCTCACCTGCGACTCGTGTCGTTATCCTCACTGTCTTGCAGACACCCTTTACGAGAAGGTCCCCCGACAAAGCACTGATGGCCTCACCTCTGAAGCCTAAGGTGTTCCCACCAACCAACCTCAGATCGCTCTCGTCACGAATCTTGCTCGTGCAACCTCTCTTGCCGAACAGCAATCTATCCTCGGGCGGAATACCGTGACCATTATCTCGGATCTGTACCTTATTAGCTGAGCCACTAGAGTTGAGAAGAAGGATTCAGTCATGGTGGTTGCTTGTCCTCAGACGATGCCATACAAAGCGCTCACGTACCTGTATAGAGCTCATCGTGTCAGCGCTGATATCGACTGCAACTGACGTGGCGCCAGCATCCAAGGCATTGTCAATCAGCTCTTTGGTGGCAGAAGTGGGACTTGTCAGGAGCTGTGAACTGCTGAGAAGATGTGCGGTCGCTGCTGGAAGTGCCTGAATTGGCATGGCTCTACGCAATGTAGCACTCGGAGATCAACTTCGCGCAAAGCGGACGATTATATCCGCAGGACTATGGTAGTATAACAAGTGAAGAATTGACGTTTACGTCCGGTGTAAAATTCGGTAGTGAGTATGCGGAGAGGATTGACCTTCCTAACAGCGGACAGAAGACTACACCTGACCATGTGACATACGAAGCAATTGAGCAGCAACAATAAAAGACAGTCGAAGCGTTCTACGTTTGTTGTATAGATAAACACATTCAGATGCACGTCATACTAGACGTGCATCCAAGAAGCATACACCGATGCTGTACTAAGTAAATACTAAATCACAAATGCAGAGACCGTGAACACCCGGGACACCAGACTTTGAAACCGCATAAGGTACACTTTAGACTTGACCGTACCATGTCTGTCGATAGGCAGAAACCCAGTCCGACCGTCTCTTACGCTTGAAGGAAGTAAGAAAAAAAAGCCCAGGGAAAGAATTCTTCTCACAATGCATCCGCCATGACTACATCGGTACCAGCGTTTGCACTCGTGGACTCAATTTTCTCACCCTTGAGCCGTGCATATTCGGCATTTATTGCATCGACTTCCTCCTTGCTCATACCTTTCATCCAGGAGTTGTTCAGGACGAGCTTCTCGCGTGCCTTTTCACCTGCGCGAATGCTCTCATTCTTGATCGCCTCGAGTCCTTCCTTGCCGCCTGTGCGATCTTTATTCGATTTGACGAGATATTCTTCGGTCTTCGGTTCGAATATCATCTTATAGCTATGAACTGCAATTCGAATCGTCATGACGTCGTTACTGGTAATGTAACTAGATTTCAGGGAGCTATTGCTAGCATCGCTCTCATTATCATCAAGGCCGTGCGCCAGGAACACCTTGGACAGCCTTGTGTTCTCCATGCCTTCTGTGGGATCTACGTTGGTAAACGTCGAGATGTAGTATCGCCATCTCTGCTCCGCGGTGTAATTTCTCTGATCGAATGTAAGGTCATCCTTTTTGAAAATCTGGACCGTCGCCTTCATTTCATTCTGTTTCTGTAAACACGCGTTAGAAAAGGACTTACTAATGGCAAGGTCGATACTTACAAAGCATATGCGGTATACGTCTCCATCTTTGGCATATTTCTCCACCTGGCGACGGTAGTTGATCTCATCTTTGTGAGTCGTTTCCCTGCGCTGACGGTCCTTTTTGAACAATTGGTAGATATCCCATGACTTGTCCTTAGTATCGCTTGTGAGGACTGCCACGGCGAATCGACCAAGCGAACTGAGCAACTTATCAACGGAGTATAGTTGCCAGCCGTTTTGCAGGTAGAATCTTCGAAGTGTTTCCTCTACGTGAATCATGTCCATGTCACCCTTGACAACTTCCTCAAACATGCCTAGTACCTGTTGGTAATAGTTTGCATTGAAAGAGGTGTCTCCGAAAAAGTCGCTTGGTAGTTTATCGATGAGCTTGAAATCGGTCGCCGGCTTCTCCGATTTTGCGTTCACGACCTGGTCATGGACTTCGTTTTCGACCCTCTTTAGGTTCACGAGACGCTCGTAAAGTATGACTAGCATTCTGAAGAAGCAGTATATCGGGAGGTTGGCATACATGTTGTATGTGTCACGTTGGAAAGGCTCATCAGGGGCGATATCGTTCTCGTTGCCTAGAGTTGGATGTTCCAGCCACTTGTTCAATGGACGCTCTTCTGCAGGTTCGCCACTGGGGCTATCAGCGACGCCAGTCATTTCATCGTCGATGTTCGAACCAATATCTGGAGTTGTTGCACGACTACCAGAGGCATTGCTGTCCTCGCGATGCCTTGTGGATGCTCGGCCTTTGTCAAGCACACCTCGAAGTAAATTTTGGTTCTTGCCCTTGCCACGGGCTGATCGAGAGGATACATCGTCGGGGCTGGTCATTTCATCATCCAGGTCCTCCTCACCTGGAGAACCGTTAGGCGAGATACGGATGCGCTCGTCGAAGGTTGCGACATCGAGTCCAAAGAACATGGGGATGAATTCCTTCATAAAGTTCAACAAACGCGGGTGGTCAGAGCTTTGGTTATTTTCTACCTGTACGAGCACCAAACGGGCTGCGTCGTACAGGACATCAATGTCGTCGAAGGCATATTCGAACTGCCATTGCGGGACATAGAGTTTCTGGACCTCACGTTGCCGCTTTTGTTCTTCGTGCTTGACCTGGATCTCGGTCTGCAGTGTCTTGGTCTGAAATTGTCGCTTGTCTGCTTGTTTTGCACCGATGCTTTGGTGATCAAGACTTTTCCAGAAGATCCTCTGAGTCTGTTCACGCCAGACTTTCTCCCACTCGCGTTGCGCCGCTTTCCATTCCTCAAGCTTGGATTTCAGACGACCAAGAACGACAGGGACAACTTTGTATGGTGAATCGAAGAGACTGTCAAGAACCAAACGTCCTTTTTCGCGACCATATACTTTGAGGATCACACGCTTGTAGATAGCCTCGCTTTGCCCACCGAGTCCCTTTGGCAGTACAAAGTTGAGACGATCTTCCGGTAACATCTGGTATAGTTGCTGTGCAATGGGTTCTAATTGCTGTACAGTACGAAGACAGGCTTCGATGTTGAAGTCATAGTCATGGCGTTCTTCTTCGATGCGATGAAGACCCTCTTCATGTTGATTCTTGCGATGTGCGATAAATCCAGAATCTTCCGATGCCCAAGTGGGATGCGATGCCCATTCGTCGTTCAGGACAGAGCGACAAAGATCGTCGCGACCACTGCACACACGCATGCGATCTCTCTTTGGCAATAGCCTATAGCTGGGTCCCAGGCCACGACAGTTTGAAAGGGAAACTTTCGAGCTGAATGATTGGATGGCTCTAGCTTCGAGAGTTTCTGGTTTGGGGTCATAGCCCATGAAATGTTTGAAATAGGTCATAAGCTCAGGATTACCGCCGAGAAAGCTGTGAGCTCTCTGTATAAGCAACTCAGAGCTGATGAGATCTTGCGAAAACAGATTGCAGAGCTTCAAGAACTCATTCATATTATTCTTGTTACCGATAAACTTCTTTGCGCGGTCGAAGAAAGCCAGTTCATCATGCGTTGCAGCGGTCGATGACGTTGGCGGGATCGGCTCAGGAAGAGCTGGAGTCAAGGTAGGCGATACAGGGGGTCCCTCGGGGACTGTAGATTTGTTCATAGTATGGTGTTGTTTGGTTCGCTGAAACGAGTGACCGACCATTAGTGTCTGCTGGTAGGTGTATGTATATATGCGACGCCACACAAAAGAAAAAAAAACCAACAATGAAATTCGGCAGATGACGCATTAGGACGAGGGTATGAGCCGCAGAAAGAAGCTTCAATAGTGCTGCATGCGAATCGAAAGCTGAACAATGAGGGCTGAGTTGTACAGGAGGGCAGGAATAAAGAATAATGGAGGATAGTTAATGGAATGCAGTTACTAACCTTGGCACCCGGAGGATAGCCTCCACGGCTACTGTGTGCTACTTCAAGAGCAGGGGGTGGGATTGCAGCCTGCCCGGCAACAGGGCCCTGTCTGTCACCTCTCTTCCGCTTGTTGCTATCTTTCGCCGGAGTGGGTGCGAAGTTCCCGATCGGAGGAAGACGACCACCTTGCTCGGGTCTTGGGGTCTGTTGTAGTTGCTGAGTATGAGCTATGTAAGTAGCATCACTGCGTATATTGCTTGTCTGGGCTACATCTTCGGCCGTCTGGCGGGCAGCGAGTGCGGCTCTTTGCTGGGCTCCGGTAGTGGAATCGGGTAGGAATTGTTTGAAGTCTTCCAATAAGTCTGGGGCACCTCCGAATAATGTCGTGACTTGAGCGTATACGTCCTGGATAGGCTTCGACTCTCGTTGATAAGTCTGCAGAATCTCGAGGAACTGCTTGTAGATATCCGGTTGTGTCGCGAAACGATTCTTGATTTTGTTGACATAGCTGATCGCGTGGTTGAACTCGACCGGCCCTCTTTTCTCAGCAGTACTACCAGCACCGGATGGCGCGGCAGATGCGATACCGTTGATAGACTGGCCATGGAGGTGGGCAGCAGCGCCACCAGGCGGCGACTGCATACCTTCCGGGCCTTGACCAGCGTTAGCAACCACAGCAGCATTTTGGAGTGAAGACATGCTACGCTGCTCTAGTTGTCGAGCTTCGACCTGTGCGGCAGATTCTGGGTGTGCCCTTTGTATTTCAGGCGACATCGAAGCCGGCTGGCCGGGCTGCGGACCATATGGGCCGGATCGCCCCGGCCCAAAGACGTCTGAGCCTTGTGGTACCGACTGTTGCCAATTATTGCCGCCATCTCGGTTTGACTGTTCGTAGAATTGCTGATCTGACGGAGTAGACGTGATGCCATTCGTCACACTTTGGGATAGAGGGTGGACTCCCAATGCCGATACTGTCGTACCCATTGGTGTAGTTACTCTGATTGTGTTCGGGTCGTCGCCTGTACCACACTCTATACGATATCCAGGCGGGAGGAATGTATTGAATCCTTGGATCAATGCAGGGTTCCCAGAGAAAAGTGTGGAAACTCTGTCGATAACACCAGGAGTGTCAATTCTACGTCAAGAGTTAGCCGCGCGCAACAAGTTCACGCTTCCAGGCTGTCACTTACGCGCCACTCTTGAAATCTTTCATGATATCCAAGAACTGATTATAGACAGTGGGCTGTTCGCCAAATTGTATCTTGACTTGGTCAAGATAGCTGAGTGCATCCTGTGACGCGGTGGATATTAGGTACTGTATGAGTGTGAATGAGTAGTGATACGTACATTCAGTATAGGCTGCTGTCCTTGTCCCACATTCACTGGTGGCTGTTGCCCTTGTCCTACGTTCACTAGTTGTTGCTGTGGCTGCTGTTGCTGCTGCTGTGGTTGTGCATTGCCACCAGAGAAAGGGACGAGAAGAGTCTGAGGCGGTGGCTGGACAGCGTGTTGATTTCGAGCATTGCTCTCACTTGGAGCAGTTTGACCTGAACCATTTGCAGACAGCCCATTGACTGGTGCGCTGATAGGACCTGGTAAGCCACTTGTGCCTGTCATGACGGCAGCATTACCAAGTAGACCGTTTGGACCATGTATACCTCGAGTCTGAGGAGCGACTGCAACAGGCTGGTGAATTTGTATCGGTCCTCCATGATTCTCGTGCGCGGCCTGCTCTTGATGGTGCCGTTCACGGTTCTCACGATCGCGTTGCTCGGCCGCGGCCATCTCCAGGTGTCGATCGAGCTCTCGACCATCTCTCCCGTCAATCCTTCTTTCCATGTTTGGGGGAGGTGGGCCATGGTGTTGGGCGTGAATCGACTGGTTCAGAGCAGGCAGTGGGTATGGGCCGCCAGGCATATTTGGCGTGGCGTCAGACCCTGTCGGTAGCGCTCGCTGAGAGGCCTGATGTGGAGAAGTTTGTGCAGGTTGTGCAAGTCCTGAGATTGACGGTAGGCTTTGGCTCGGTTGTCCAGGAGGGTGATAGGAGCCTAGAAGTAAGTTAGAAGGTAATCTTTGTAGTTGGCAACACGGGTGATATCACGAACCTGGGGGAGGTGGTAGCACCGGGCCACCACCAGAAGTTGGATTTTGCGATTGTGGTGGTTGCGCAGGTGCAGAAGTACCACTACGAAAAGATGTGTTAGCTAAATGTATAGGACGTATTGAATCGCTTGCGACGGCTCACGACCTATGCATAGGCGAAGTTGTACTTACTCGTATCTTCCTATGAATGGTCTTGACGATGGCCCAGATCCTGAATCATTGTTTTGAGGACCTGTTCCAGGAGTCTGATTCTGTCCTGAAGCCCACGGCTCGCGAGATCCTGAATTCATTATAGGCAACGCCAGCCGATCGTCCGTTTGATTTATTCGTCTTGTTCGACACCGAAACAGTCGCTCCCAGAATTCGAAGCGCCGTGTTCAAGGGGTGGTATTTGTATAGTAAGGTGTATGCTCGATGAATTAGGGAGGTAGCGGACGGCATGCGCCTTGTAAATGTTCGAAACTTCCTGTTGCAGCGCAAAACGCGGAGCGTGTTTGAGCTGATGGCGCGTTGCTAGGTCTTCGCAGAAGAGAAGGTAGATCAAGCAAGAAAAACGGAGCTTAAGGAAGCCCAGAATCTCTCTTCACATAGGTAGAGCCGCCGTAGAGGGAGGGGTAAACGTGTAGGTAGACAAGTGGTGATCGTGAGGGAGCTCTGATTGCGCTTTCATGACCAAAGCAGAATCTCGCGCAAGAGCTTCGGAGAAACAATTTTCCATGGGTCCATCACGCAGGGGTACCTGGGCAGTTGAAAGCATGCGTCAGTGGTCTGTGCACACATCATTCAACGCTTTGTACTGAGCAATCCATACATCGAGCATCATTATATTGACCGCAGCTAAGTCTGGATAACCCGTGTTTGACGCGCTTGTCAGCATCACTTCCCTCTACCCTGACTACTTAGAGTCGCACTCTTCACCTATATTTATACCGGAATACTTTGACCATTTTGATGGTCGTCTCACGTATATTCGCCAGTGATGGAGTATATCCATCAATCATTTGGACATCATAAAGCAGTCTCATGTATTACAAGCATGCAAACAGCGCACTTCTGCGCTATATTCCGACGGATGAACCATAAGACGAATGAATGGGCTGCGCGTAGACTGGCGTTTCCATCCCAGACTACTTCTACCAGTGATGATAACTACGGATTCGTGAACGCGAGACCGCTCACTAGATAAGAACCGGTATTCTCAACCACGATATCGCAGGGCAAGTAAGGCCGCTAAATGATTTGCGTGGCAAGCTCGCTCGCCAGCTACGTATAGCTTCCGAGATTGTTCTGGACAAGTACGTCCCTCAAGGTTTCCCGTTACGCGATATCAGGATGTGCTGTGATACTCAGTCATTATGCGTAGAGGAGAGATTTGTATTATGTCTGCGCTCATCCAGTGTAGCAAAGGCTTGTAGAAGATAGATCCAGGGACTGCTCCACTCTGCACATCTTCACTTCGAAATACCAACACCGGTATCAGTCGATAGCCAGATGAAACAATATAATCAGAGTGAGATTTGACGAGCAGGTAGAGGCACGCCACATCACAGCATGCCTTTCCAACGACACTAGAGATCGACAACAATTTGAGAACCGAGAGTGGGATGCACACCGAACAAGGGTAGTATGGCATCTCAAATAGTTTTCAAGTGAAAAGCATTGCACTTTGAGGGATAGATAGCGAAGACAGAGCCGAGACGAGAACTGGAGAATACCATTAGTGTAGATTCTGTGAGCAATATCTTCGGCGGCCACTCTATTGGTAATAAATATTCAACGTACCGTCTCGTGGTGTCGTCTCCGGAAGGGTAGATTGTCAAGTTCACGGTATACAGGCAGGGGATCAATTCAAGTCGCACAAGATCAGACTTCAATGCGTCGCTGTCTTGGCTCTTGTGGCACGGTGGGGTATAGTATCACGCCCACAGTGGTGCAGGCTGTAGTCATCGCATGGCCATGCCCAGACTCGAAGAGGCTTGTGCCCACCTATTGTGCGATACATAGGTTGCGAGAATGTCTGAATCCTTCATGGATATTATGAGCCGCCATGGTCAACGAAGGTATGGAGTCAAAGTCAAAGATATGCTGTAAATACGTGATAGATTGAACCATCTTGAGATTGAGCGATGAGGGATCTTTTGCGTCCAGCGCCCCTTGTTTTCGAAAAGGCAAGAGGCGCGAGATCATCCTGTACCAAAGATTCCGAGGACTTATGGTGGTGTGGAGGCTAGAGTGGCCGAACGGAGTTACCCCACATCCTGGAGCTGATGTTGTGGTTGCAGTAGTGGCAGGGTTATGTTCGGGTGCATACATCGACGTACATCAGAAAGACGCCCGCTGAATCACCAGGATACCAGAGCACCATAGTTGGCATTCCGCAGAAACCCAACCGAAAATTCGGGTTTGATAGCGAAGGTACTCGTGATTCCTGCATGGCTGCATGGCTGCATGAGTGAGATCGAGCTGCTCGTTGTAATAGCCATGGACATCCGAAGGTATCTCCGGCTAAAAATGCACTCGAGATAACCAAACCGCTGGGGACATGATGCAGGATGCGACCCGGCCTTCGCAACGCAGCTTGGATACGATATCCCGAAGTGGCATTGCATAGTCAACAAGTCTATGATATGTGTCTAAAATACCCGGAGACAGACCGAAGTCCGTGATGCCTGCCACCTAGATCCTAAGGGCTTAGGGATATTAGCACATGAGAAACGAAAACCGTTCACCAGTGCTTGGCAAGAATGAGGTCGGATGATGATGGCTGCCCACATTCATCCACGAACAACGAATGGGAACGAAGCCAGGACTGCGGCGTTTCCCCATGATCGGCCGTTAAATATGCAGGATGAAACAGCATGGAAGTAAGCGAGCCAACTGTGCAGTTCAGCAGCCCGCACGAAATTTGACGTGCTGGTGACCCAAGAAGCAAGACAAGCCTCGCTGAAGAGGGGCGGGGAGTGTGGAAGAAGTTCACCAACTACGGCAAACGCTCGATTCGGAGAACTAGCATACACGTAGTATTCGAAGTGCATCCACAATATGGTCGGTAAGGGTACGGTGTCATGGCTGCAGGAAGACTACGAACTGCCATCCATAGAATCTCACCTGACGTGTGAGTGGACGTAAGGACAAGCTAGCGGAGAGCGGAAACAACACGAAGCATATCTGGGAGGCTGTGAGAGGCTACACCACGGCTGGTTAAGAAAGACTAAGAGAATTGAATCGAGTCTCACATTGTGTTGACGTGATCCATCGTCGAGTCCATCTTCCATCCACGGGGTGGCAGCCAAAGGTTGTGGCTGTGATGATATCTATTGGTGTGGGGATTATTGGGACTTACAATTGACCCTAGGGTAAGGACATACCAGGAGACTAGGCAAATATAGGTTAGAGGCAACATTAGCTGGATGCAGAGGTGGAGGACAAGGACCCAGTCACCCAGGACCCCTCACTTTCCCTTACGGACGCCAGTGCCAAAGCGGACTCAGTGCTTAGGTACGCCGTTTCTCAGAGGAACCACACACACACACACACTTACCTACCTATACTTCGTCTAACTTTCTCCTGTGCTTCGTCTGCCGTGAACTTTTCTTTACTATACTTCGATATCTTCTATTCACGTCTGTCCAACTACGCGTCTCGGTCCAGCTCCTGTCCAATTACGTCTTCGCTATCTTTCACGATGCGCGTCTGACTGGTCTTGTTAAACATCTCAACCCGGCCGTCCTTGAGCGAATGCCACCACGCGTCGTGACCTCGATCGGCCCTCTTACGCTCGAGTTCTCGCCCGCGAATCTCGTCTTGCTTGCAAACAAGAGCAGTGTCCATGATGGTCCCGCACCCAACTGCCGCATAATCCGCCATCTGCCTCCCCCCGGCTGGGCGGACCACGACAACAAAGGAACTATAGTCATAAGAGAAAGAGATTCTGATTCCTTCTGTCATAATGTCAGAGGAAGTTCCCAAACCTATGGCTCCTCCAGCTGTTACAGCCCTGCGAGAGGCTGCAGCTGGTGAGCGTCATCTTGGACCACGCATACCGATGGAAAGGTCGGTCAGCCAAGATATTCGAGAGGAACGACAAGACCTGAAAGAGGCCGCTGAACACAGCCTTAATGTGCTCATGGACTTGGATCTCGATGGCAATGTTCGATGGGTTAGTCTGAGCTGGGAAGAAGTCATAGGAACATCGCCGGATACTGTAAAGGGAAAGCCTATCTCGGACATCCTGGTGGGCAATAAGACCGCATTCGCTGATGCTGTGGATTCAATGAAGAAAGATGACTCTCGAAGTCATATCATTCGCTTTACAATGCAGATGGGGCCTTCTTCGGTCCTCAGACCAGATCCCAAGTCTCCAACGTCGCCAACTAGCGTTGATCCAGCAACCTCTGAACACGAGGAGACAGAGTACCTGAACCTAGAAGCACAGGGGATTATGGTTTACGACTCGACGACAGGAAATGAAAGTCATGTGAGTTTTCACTAAGTGGTGCTCGTGATCTAGGGACTTTGCTAACAGCGGAAGACTATGTGGATGATCAGGCCCTCCGTCGTTCGCGAAGTGACGATCGATCTACCCGAAATACTGGTGGAGTCCTTAGGAATAGGCGCAGAGATGCTAGCTCATTATCTGACGGGCCTGGCAGAGGCGGGCCCGACCAATTCGGGGGAGCATGCCCCTCCATTGCCTGTCTTATGTCGAATCTGTGAACGCCAAATTACTCCGTGGTGGTTCGAGAAGCATACCGAACTCTGTCTCCAGGAACATAAGGCCGAGATGGATGTTCAAATGGCACAAGAGAATCTTTCAGAACATCGCAATGCCATTGTCAGAGTCTTGGATGCGTTGGAAACCAGTCACCAACAAGTCACAGCTGCGTCAACGGAAAGCTCAGGGACTTTATCCACGGTCCCAGAGTACAAGGGCTTGCCTATACAGCCGTCGTCAACACCTTCATCTGGTACTGTGTCCGGACGCGCGTCTCCCGCCTCGCCTCCATCTCGATCTCAGGACAGGTCTACCGGATTTGGACATCACCGAGCACGGTCCTTTGCAGTCCGGAGGCCTATCGCCAGGATAGTGGAGCTTGTGCTCGACCTATGCGACACTGCAATTGAAATCAACACACCAGCCATCAAAGACAATCGTGGTACCTCGAATGAGCTACGTACCCAATCACCACAGTCAGAGAACCGTATCTCGCAAGTATTGCAATGGCAGTCACCCAATACAGGCTCTTTAGAGCAAGGTCTCGCTCTTCTATGTGAAGACACTTCAAAGCTCGCTCGAGCTAAAGTTGACAGTGTGTACCGTCATCGTCGAATTCTCGAATATTCGGAGAGAATAAGGTGTGAGTTTGACGTACTTGTGCATGAATGCATCGAGGCCGCGATGCACAAAGCTGCCAAAATTGCTGCGGGAGAAGATAGCGAATCTTCTGAAGAGTCTGCTTCACAGGTAGACGAAGACGAAGACGAAGATGAGCCGTCTGGATCCTTGCTGGCTGCACCTGAAGAGAATGTTCCGGATGGTGGTATATTTCCAGGATCGTTCGATGCCCCTTCTTCTATGGCGCAGGCGTTGCGCAAAGCCTCTGATGCTCTAGCTGCAAACCCCGAACGTAGAGCACCTTCAACCACAGCCTCTACCAGATCAAGTAGTCCACATGGTAGCCAAACGCCTCGATCGCATGCCGGTACAACGGGTTTCGTCTCACAGACTAAGCGAGCATCCATGCAGTTTGAAAGTGATGCGGGTGCGGATAGTGACGCCAGCGTCAGGTCATCAGCCAAGTCTGCAGCTAGAAGAGGTGACTCTCCTGGTTCCGAATTGAACCTCAGTCGCGTTGCAAGCTCTCGCGAACGCAAGAGAAAGAGTTTGGTCCTTCCAAGTGTAATGTCAAGCCGGCAACAGTCTCCCGCGAGAAGCATGGGTCCACCATCTTCCCCTCTAAGGACGAAGCCACGCATACCTAGTGGAGCAGAGCCTTTCCACTCCCCTATAACATCCCCTGTTCTGTCCAACAGTGACTTCTCTTCACCGGCCATTGCTCCGCAGCACAATCATCATCATCATCAGCAGCACCACCGACGTCAGTCATCGGCTGCTGGTTCCGACATTCTGCGACCTTTGTCACCGCGTATGGTGCCAACTAGCAATCCCCAGCCTCGTGCTGTAGCTCCCTCTATCAGGGATTTTGAGATTATCAAACCTATTAGCAAAGGCGCATTCGGGAGTGTCTACTTGGCAAAAAAGAAGTCGACCGGAGATTACTTTGCAATCAAGGTTCTCAAAAAGAACGACATGGTGGCCAAGAATCAAGTCACCAATGTAAAAGCTGAGCGCGCAATCATGATGTGGCAAGGTGAAAGCGACTTCGTAGCGAAGCTTTATTGGACGTTTTCAAGCAAAGACTTCCTGTACCTCGTCATGGAGTATCTGAACGGAGGTGACTGCGCATCGCTTATCAAAGTTCTAGGAGCTCTGCCGGAAGATTGGGCGAAGAAGTATCTTGCAGAAGTTGTCATGGGAGTGGAACATCTCCATAGTCGCAACATCGTCCATCGTGACCTGAAACCCGATAACCTTCTCATCGATCAAAAGGGTCATTTGAAGTTGACAGATTTTGGACTGTCACGAATGGGTTTGATTGGGCGCCAAAAGAATGCACTGAATAGAAAGTCAGATGAAGCAGCTGTGCCTGATCTCCTCAAACAGGGTCCCTTTCAACGCGCTAAATCGATTGGATCATCGCGTTCGGCCTCGTTCGACTTTCAAGGCAATAATGCCTCTCCATCTGCCACACCAAGCTTGACACCGGCCCTTACGGGTGACATCGGTCAGCCATCGTACTTCAATCTCAATCGTGATAGTTCCCACAACCGCGAAGCCAGGAGAACGTCAGGCAATCGGAGTGATAGTGGCGATACTGATGTACTGCAGGCCATGTTTCGTCGCTTCTCTCTCGTAGAAGAGCAGCAAGCCAATCGTAAATCACCCATCGAAGAAGAGAATCCCAGCGAAGACAGTGGCTCCCCAGATCCCTATACACTGCATCCCATACTGAGCCAATCGAGCGCCGCGCAAAACATGACACCTCCTCAAGTGTCAACCATGCTACCCCCGCCAACTACCTTGTTTGATCCTGAAGACAAGAACCGGCGATTCGTTGGTACACCCGACTATTTGGCCCCTGAGACCATTGAAGGTGATGGTCAAGGAGAAGTAAGTGATTGGTGGTCCTTGGGATGCATCTTGTTCGAGTCCTTGTATGGTTACCCTCCTTTTCATGCCGATACACCCGAGGAAGTGTTCCAAAATATATTGGACCGCAAGATCGACTGGCCAGACGAGGAGAACGATATGGTATCAGACGAAGCAAAGGATCTGATGAACCGGCTCATGTGCGTGGACCCGAACAAACGCCTTGGTGCCAATGCCGAGGAGAGGTACTCCTGTGGCGGGGAGGAAATCAGAAATCATCCGTGGTTCAGCGACATCAATTGGGAGACTTTACGTGAGGATGAAGCATCCTTTGTTCCTGCTCCTGAAAATCCAGAAGACACCGAATACTTCGATGCACGAGGTGCTACGTTATCCAGTTTTGCTCCGGAGTTCGAAGATCAGCAGTCGTCCTCCAACACCAATACCCCCGGAGCAGACTATCCTGATCGACCACATGATGCACTTTCAAGGATTAGATCACAAGTCAATGTCAACACTATGAAAAGGGGTCTCATTCCGCTGCATATACCTCCGCACGTTAGAGAGGGAAGAGGTCGCCGACTTAGTGAACCAATGGCACAGGACGACTTTGGAAGCTTCAACTATAAAAATTTGCCCGTACTCGAGAAAGCCAACAAGGACGTTATACAAAAACTTCGAGCAGAGGCAAAGCAATCACAAAGCAAGCCACCTTCTACACTTACATCACCAGGTGTAAGTTCGCCGACGCCTTCGCTCGAGTCTAGCCCAATGTTACCAATGCCGCTCAAGCGCACGATGTCCACGAGCAAGAGCGGCCAAAATGCGAACCGACCGGCGTCGCCTTCGGTAAGCCAAGCGAACTCTTCGCCAAGTCGAACGTCTCAACCTTCGTCACCTTTGTTAGTACAATTCAGCACAGGCCAAAATCATGAGCGACGAAAGACTTCGAGCGGCTCCTCTTCACTCTCTCATCAGCAGCCGTCGCTGCAACCAGGTAGCTTCTTTGATCAGAGTCGTCTTCCACCCGGTCTCAAGACTAGTTCTAGCGTGTCGTCACCGGTCAAGATTGCCAAGACTCCCGGAGCAATGCCAGGCCTTCACACTGAGAAGACGTTCCCCGGTCAACGGCACTCTTCAGGTTCTGGTAGCTCACTAACATCCCCAAGAGCTCGATCTCAGACTGTTGGTTCTCAAGAGAGCGAAGCATCCAAGGACTCACTACCAAGTCATCACAAAAGGAGGAGTCAAGTCATGGATGTGTCGCCATCTTCATCTGATAATGAGGATCAAAGGGCCAAGGCACTTCTACGAGTCCAAAGGCGAAGGCAAAGCTCACGCAGGCTTTCACAAATCAACATAACCGATGGCCCATTTTTTAGACCACTAGATGTATTGGTATGCGAAGACCATCCCGTCTCGCGCTTAGTCATGGAAAAGTTGCTGGAGAAATTACGATGTCGTACAATAACAGTACAGGATGGCTCCGAAGCCGTGCGGTATGCTATGAGCGAAGTCAAGTTCGATATTATCATGATGGAATTCAAACTTCCCCAGATCAACGGTGCCGACGTTGCACGGATGATTAGAGACACCAAGAATGCCAATTGTCATACCCCCATCGTAGCTGTCACAGGCTACTTGAAAGACCTACAAGCGCCACATCATTTCGATGCTCTGATTGAGAAGCCGCCTACTATCGCAAATCTCACAGAAGTCTTGGGTCGACTTTGTCAATGGAAACCTCCACCGCCCAATTGGACACCAACAGCATACTCAGCCCTTGCTCCGTCCAGTCTACGCATGGAATCGTCCCGCTTGGGCGATAGTCCTACGTCTAATACATCAAGCTTTCCTCAAATGCCTTCTGGTAGCTATCGTGGATCTAGTCGGGAGGATTCCATCAGCTCAAGCTTTTTCGGAGACGGTGAAAGTATGAATGACCTACCTATCGTCATCAGTCGATCGGCAACAGAGGACTGGCGTGACAGAGACCTGAGCACCGCACTTGGTGGTCTTGGTATTACAGAGGAGGCCATTGTAACATCAGATATGAAGTTACCACCACGAACCGAAGAGAGGAGCCTGGCTCTGGACCATCAGAATTCAGCTCCCGCGGTGTTGCAACATCCTACACCCAAGGAACACCGCTCAGGCGAGCAGAGCACCAAGATTCGAGTACAAGAGAACAGGCGAAACGAAGCAGCAGATATGGGAGATGACGAAGATGAGGAGCTTGGTGATGCACAGGTGCGCGCCAAAAGTCCCAGGACTCGGCCTAAAGCTTCGTCGAAACTTGGAACCGAGATGATGCGGACCAACAGCCACGGTAGCGTCATTTCTGTAGAAGAGATCAAGGATACTGTCGACGTACCATCTTCAATACCGCCATGTATCACCGAGGAGATCAACCCACTCGAGACAAGCAAGACTCCCAAACAGCAAGTCTCAATGACACCCCCTGAGATATTCCCACCTCGGCCAGGAGACAATGTACAGATCATCGATATGGATGCCACGCCCAAGGCAGTGCAGACTGATTTGTTGGAAATATCCCCTATGCCTACACCAAAAGCCTCGGCACTCAATGCCAGCGTCGAACGTTCTGACAAGTCATCGGGCTCGCCAAGTGAGCGAAAATAGAAAATCTGTCTGAGTCTGACTACCTTGGCTCCGTAGCCCAACCCAGTCTTACTACTTTCCCTTTGTCCGCCTTCTCTTTGTGATTAATTTCCTGCAACTTATTGAGCTTTGAGCAAGGTGTTGGCGGAGTTCCTGTTGCCATTGTGTATAAGCATTTTCACTGGCGTTACCCAATGTTCACAAAGACAGGCATTCCTGCCACTACTACTTTCCTTCAGTTTGGGGACCTCGCCACGAATCAGCGGAACATTCATCTTTTCTCAATCATATTGTTGTGTCGTTTGGGGACCTGATCAGTCCTTGGCCCGTGGGCCCTTTGAGCAGATCACAACCCAATTGTTTTTTTTTGATCCTTGTCCTCAGTTGGCGTGCGCATTTCGCCGCTTTGTCAAGGAACACATACCTCGACAGCCTACGTACCTACAGTGGTGACCCATCGTTTCGATTGCTTGCTCGTATATAATTTATTAACAACAATCACAAAATTGAGAACTCACCCTCCCCGCCTCCATGAATGGTGTATGTGCATGTGTGTGTGTGTGTATTGAATCTTGTCTGTGTGGTGTTTTGAGGCCTGTGCGTATCCTGCTCACGGCTTGAGGATGTATGTGTTCAGGAAACATCCGCAGAATATAATTATCAGGCTTTGATATGTGCGTGTGTGTATTGTATTGTATTGTATTGTATTGTATTGTATTGTATTGTATTGTATTGTATGTATGTGGATGTGATATATATGCTGAACACATGAAAAAGTAAAATAAACCAGGCGGCTATGTAAGGGGCAGCAGACTTGCATGATCAAGGAGCTGATATTGGTATCAAAGTCGAACTCATATATGTGGACAGGAGTCCGAATATTCATGCTATCGTGTAACATTACTGTTTGTAGATAACGTGTGTTGACCTTCGTATTAGCACTCAAAGCAAACCTCTAATACGGATTAGTTTAGGGACACTTTGCTGCCTGAGATATGCCTAAACTGTCCCCAGACTAATATTCCCTTACTGGATGTATGTATACGGTTCATGAAGCACGCATACTCGTAGCAGGCCTATTCCAAAGGAATCATAAAAAGATGCAATGTTTTGTCTAGCGCCCGCTAGCGCCCTCACCAAAATCACGTCTGAAAATTCACCTTTTGCCACATATTAAATTAACCACGCCCTTAATTAAAAATTTAACCGATAATTCTGTGGAGAACAAAACGCCGTGTAATTCTATATACTTTTTACTATCTATAGCCGCGTCGTCGCGGACGAGTAGGGTTTATAAGCCTCTGGTGTCGTTTGGTGGTAGGTTTAAAAATTCGACTTTACCGTGGATTTTCCGGCGTGCCTTAGTGCCTTAAATTCAAGACTGCACGCAGTCTGCCGGCCGCAGGCCACCCTAGTTCCATATAATCATATCTCCTAACAACGACGAGACCTACTCCTCTTCCATCGATCAAATGTATTTTCACGGGCGCTGGTTTAGTCCAGATGGATCATCTGGATGTATATAAACCAAACAACTACTACATGCAACCGTGCGTGCTCTTATCTTTCACCCGTTCCCGGCGATCCACGGAGTCGGGGCGGGATAATAACCAACCATCTTAGCTCCGGCGGCGGCAACGGGAGGAAGACACGAAACAACAAGTGTAGATAGATAGAACAGATGTATTTACTGCTGTGGATAAATGATCCATAAAAGACGAAACCGTGTCATAGACGTCAACATACCGCAGTACGATCAAAGCGGATATTATATTTGGGGACCGCCGTGTTGTGCCGGTCACGTGCATCCAGGGGGCTGAATCGGCGTGTATATCAGCCCGAGCCGCGTCTGCTGGATGGATTAGATGGTTTCAGGCGGATGGGCAGGCATGGCACTGGTCGATATGCCATGGATGTGGAGCAAGCGACTCGGCTGTCCCTGCGCAGCTGTTCTTGTTCCTCTTTTCAGGGCTTTTTTTCGCGAAAGAGTCCAGACCCAACGCCTCAATGCCCCACACACACACACAAACACACACACGCCGCTTGATCTCTTCCATCTCACCACTCATTGCTACACACTGCGGGTGCATAGCTGCTCCGCCCGGCGGTGTATTAGGGCGCTGGCTCACTCGCTTTACGGCCGTCGTCGCTAGCTAGGGGCAGCCAGGCATGTAAGGATGGATTTCGTATGACTCGCTATGGTATGGCGTACTTGATACACGAGATCCCTCGACGGGATGATGCATGGCCGCCCGCCGAACATGAGTGTGAATGAGTGAGGGCTGGAAAGTCGGAGACGGGGGGGCTATAGTACGCTCCTCCGTGTGTTTCTGGGTTTGAGTGTAATCCGTCCGTGTGTGTGTGTGGCGCCTGGCTGCCTGGGTGTTTTTTGTCCGGGTGTGTAGATGTACATGTGTATGTATATATATATATATATCAGATGCCGGGGCTCGTGGCGTGAAGATGTTATGTGTCGGACTATCCATGATATTTGAGTATTCTTAGCGCTTTTCACATACACGCACGCACGCACGCACGCACGCACAAAAACACGCAGGACTGTGGCGTGGTTTGGGGCTTTGTCTGGACTTGAGTTGGCTTGTTCGCACATTGACTTGTTGACTTTTTGTCTTTTGTTTTTTGCGTCGTTGATCTTGGACAGTCAGTCAGTCAGTCAAACAGACAGGCAGACAGACAGACATCATGGGGAGGTCTTCTGAAGACACTCAGGCCAAAGACTTGCCGTCGGAAGCTCACTCTAGCACGTCCGAAGACCACTCGACATTGCCGGCGATACCTGAGCCGGAGGGCTTTAATCCGGGATGGCGGTTCTTTGCTGCCTTTTCGTCGCTGTCTGTGATTACACTCATGGCAGCACTGGATGCTACGTCTCTATCGGTGGCCCTGTCGGTATGTTTCTGATATTTTGAACATCTCTGGAGCAAAATCTGACACGCGTTCTTGTTAGATAATGGCTAAAGCTCTTGGTGGCACTGCAATCGAGGCTTTCTGGGCTGGTATGTTGTGCGCTATGCCATCTTAGGAATATTGTTTACTGACTTTGCCATAGGCACGTCCTTTCTCCTGACCAGCACCGTCTTCCAGCCGATTCTGGGCTCTCTGAGTAGTATCTTTGGACGCAAGCCTCTGATATACGTGAGCTTGGTGCTGTTTCTGGCCGGCTCGATAGTCGCTGCTGTTGCGAACAACTTCACGGTCATCCTTGTCGGTCGCAGCATTCAGGGGACAGGAGGCGGAGGTATCATTGTACTTACTGAGATTGTCGTGACGGACATGGTCCCCCTGAGGGAGCGTGGCAAGTACTTCTCCTTCATATCAGCCATGTGGTCTGTCGGCACTGTTGTTGGTCCTCTACTCGGTGGTGGCTTCGCGCAGAATGTCTCCTGGCGTTGGATTTTCTGGATCAACCTTGTAGGTCATCCCTTCGTTCCATGATATGTGGTGATATGACTAACGCACAACCCAGCCTTTCATCGGAATTGGCGCCGTTATGATCACTCTATTCCTGAAGCTCAACTACATCACAGCCGCATTTCTTGACAAGCTCCGCCGCGTCGATTGGCTCGGCATGATCCTCTTCCTGGCGTCCGTCACCGGCTTCCTCATCCCGCTATCCTGGGGTGGCATCATGTACGAATGGACCAGCTGGCGGACGCTCGTCCCACTCGTCTTGTGTGGCGCGGGCATGATTGCCTTTGTTGTGCACCAAGAGTGGTTTGCGCCCGAGCCCCTGATCCGCACCTCTGTATTCAAGAACCGTACGTCGGCGGCCATGTACGCGGGCACGCTGCTGCACGGCATGATCCTCTGGTCTGGACTGTACTATACCCCGCTATACTTCGAGGCTGTAAAGGGCTTCTCGCCCATCCTTACTGGCGTGGCGCTGTTTCCGCAGACTTTCACTGTTGCGCCGGCGGGTATGGCTGCTGGTGTGTACATTGCGCTCACGGGCAACTACCGCCGTATCGTGTGGGCTGGTTGGACGCTTACTGTGCTGGGATACGGCTTGTTGCAGCTTCTCGAGGTGGACTCGTCCACGGCAACGTGGGTGTGCGTCAACATGGTCGCGGGCCTGGGCACGGGTATGCTCTTCCCGGGCATGGGCATCGCGGTGCAAGCTGCTGCCTCGCAGGCCGATCAAGCGTATGCGGCGACGATGTTCAGCTTCATCCGGGCGTTTGGACAGACGATCGGTGTTGCGGTTGGTGGTGTCATCTTCCAGAATCAGCTCAAGAAGAAGCTGATGGACTCGGTGGTGTTTGCGCCGGTAGCGGATCTGTACAGCAGAGATGCCAGCGGGCTCGTTGAGATCATCAGGGCTATGCCAGATGGTGCGGAGAAGCTGGAGCTGCGAGGTGCATATACAGATGCACTGAAGGTGATTTGGCTGGTCATGTGTGTGCTCGGGGGCGTGGCACTGATCCTGTCGGCGGTATCGAAGCAGTTTTCTCTGGACCAGGAGATGGCAACCGAGCAAGGTTTCCAGCACAAGGAGAAGAAAACCGACGAGGAGAAGACCGCGGCGTAGATTTTTTGTTGGGTATGTTGGTGTTGTAATGATATTATGATTGATGTAGTATGGACGGATCCCAGCTCAGCATTGGCGTTTGGTGTGCGAGATATATAGGTAAATATAGGCATATAGAGTGTAGTATTCATATTAATATTCCATATTCTAACCTTGATGGGGATGTTAATCTTTAATGGTCTGCGTCGGAGCATTGTGACTTCCCCTAACATAAGCCAGACCCGATCAGCACCGTCATGGACTCCAGAAATGTGTCTGAGCCGCAATAGTACCCTCTGAAAGCATTCCAAAGGATGAGAATGCTAAGTCATGGCGATAATGAAGAATATTCCATGGGGTGAGGAGTTGTAGGACAAGATATTTCTGTGATATATCACTTGGACCGTTGTAGGAGAGAGAGGGTAGTGACTCGTTTTTGATTCTTATGATGGATAGGAAACTGAACTTGTGGGCTGATAGAGCGACGATTTCCCACTATGCTAGAATCATTCACTGATGATGACAGCTGCGTTAAGCAAATGGCTCATCTTAAAGTGTGAACCGACAAACATAAAGATAGCTCCTCCGTCCTCGGCGTAGCAAGTGATACTTGACGTTTCCGACGATCTGTTTACAATTATGGCAATGTCCAAATCTTTCACATTTCACTAGCGAGGCCAGCACAGTACCGAGTCTACGCAATATACCTTCGAGCATAATAAATGGATCGCCCTACCTGAAAAGGTTCAAAACCTGAGCGACGACCAGTAATGTACTTTCGATGAATGCTGCGAGACAGATTAATACCAAGCGATATACAAAACATCACTACGCATTGCTATATCAGTTCAGTTCATGTTTATTGACAGAAGCCTTTTGCGACTACCAGTGTGTTGTTTTCTAGACATTGGAGCTGTGCGAACAGCTTGGCTTTGAACAAATTCGCGATACGCATTCTATAAGGTATTATCATACAGACTATAGTCATGTAGAGATTATACTTCCTTATGCAGTAGTCAATAAATAGATGTGTGGTGATGTCTAGAGAGCGCTGACTCAGTCACGGTGGATCTGACGCGTCGACTGACTCGTTTCAATTCTTCGCGTCTCCACTTCGGAGCTTGAAGCTTCCCACGTTTACAGCGCTTTGACCCGGAAAGGACGACAACGTCTCCGCCGGGCGCTGGATTCGATCGTCTTATCTCAGTGTTGCCCAATCTCGGCTCTACCATTCACTGTCTTGTTTGTTGCCAATGATCGCCGTACGGACGCAAACGGGAACTTTGGGAACAGGGACCCAATGTGAAGGCTGCGCAGGATCTGTTGGAAAGCCTCAATACGTTTCTACTTCGCCGCCTTCTTGTGTGATATAATGCCGCTACTTTCACGACATGGCACCCGCAGTTTGTTGCGCACGGTGAACGGCAAGACCCACGCCACAGACCAAGACCATGAGGAGGCAAGACCGACTACAACGACAAGCAAGAGGGAAAAGACGAAAGAAGAGATTGAAGAAGAGATCAATCGCTCCCCGCGCAGCTCAGACAGCGAGTCTTCGCCTTTGAGGAATGACGCTACACTGGAGGGCAAAAGCTCCAGCAATACCACCAAACGTCCGTCAACACCAAACCTCTTCGCAGCGAAGCCGACCAAAAGGACCAACAAGCCCCGAGTCAGAGCTCCAACAAGAGCAGCATGCAACAACTTGAACGAAGCGAGGAAGCGGAGAGCTGAGAATGAGCACGACGATGTGTCTCCCAAAAAGAGGCCGCTTAGCCCCACACAGTCTGCCGACAGCTGGAATGAAGCCGCTTTCATCAAAGCGCCAATGCGAAAAATGAAGACAGCAACGTATGGGAGAGCCAACATACGCAAAACCACGTTTGGACCTAGCAAAAGCTCGAGCAGCAGCGCTGGAACAAACACGGAAGAGCGATTACATGGGTCAGTGGCGAAGTCGTCAGTGAAGCCAGAGAACGGCATGGCCGCAAGATTTGCAGGGTTGAGCAAACGAGCTTCTCCTGTGCAAGAAGAGCCTGTGAAGCCAAAGGATGATCTGGGAGCGAGATTCGCCTTGTTGTCGGCGCCCAAACAGATGGAGGACGAACATCCGCCTTCTTCGGCTGAAAGCCTGAAGGAAAGGTTTACTGGTCTCGGTACGACGGGATCGAGCGTAAGTGTAACAACAGCAACTACATCTGCTCCGAGAAACGACACTCTGAGATACAGCTCCCCTCTCAGTTCTCCACCAGACAGCGAAGCGTCAGATGTCGAAGGACTGGAGTATACAGGCGCTATTTGCCCGTTCTGCAGAGAACCCGTGGATCCAACGATACTCCAAGCCTTCCTCGGTACTCGAAGGGCATTGAAAGTCCGACAGCAGAATGAATTCCATGTCGTTCACAAGAAGCATTCTGCGCTACAGGAATACAGAAAGCAGGGTTATCCCGAGGTCGATTGGGGCAGCTTGGAGAATCGACTCGCCAGCCACCACACCTATCTGGAATCCATTCTCGAGGACAGCGTTCCGTCCCATTTCCGAAATGTGTTGGCAGACAAGGTAGACAGGGGCAAGGAGCGAACGTTGATCCAGACTGAGAACACAGGTGCTTTGTCGGGCATCATGCCTGGCTACTATGGCACGCATGGCGCGCGTTTGATGTAGGTCTCTTTTTTTAAAGATATGGATAAATGTATCTGAACCCGGCACTGACAAGACTGCAGGGCCGACTACATCATACGCAAGTACGGCACAACACTAAGACACCTCGCCGTGAAGGACAAGACCATTGCGTCTCGTGATACTACGGGATTTGTGCAAGCCGTGCTAGTCCCAGAGCTTGCCATGAAGCTCATCATGGAAGACATGGACGTGGACGAAGGCCGAGCCCGCGAGATCATGCAGGAAAGTGCGCTTCTAGGAGATCTCGTCAACGAGGAGGTCGACGACATATTGCGGATGACACAGGCAGCAAGCCAAAATCTCTCGTATGGACATTCCGAATCTGGATCTGACTCTGACTTGAAATGAATGAATGCTTCAATTGATACGTTCATTCTGTACTGTGGATATATATACACTATCCACATTGTGGGGCGGCGCACCCAGCGACGAAGTGAGAGTGCAGTTTTCATGTTGGAGGTATATATGTACACGGCATTACGGATGGATTGGCATGTATGAATGACTACATTTACGCATTATGGTACAGCAAAGACAGACAGACAGCATCTATTTGAGACGGGTCTAGCTAGCCTCATCATCCTTCTTCCATAGAGGTATAAAACTGTTCAGAATTCTCGCTCGTCCCATAATACAAATGGACCTTTTGCAGCATCTCATATACATATAGACCAAAAATGGTAATAGTGAATGCAGACAATAATGTTCTCAGCCAGAAAGTGTTAAAAAGATCGGACTACTCAGTCTGCCAATCACCACCCGGACAAGCCGATGCACATTTGGGGGGGCCCATCACAGACCATCCCAAACAGGAAAGACAAGCTCGTCTCCGATTGGCTGACAACAGGTTTACTATCAGTGTAGCCGTGTATCGGGTGCAGGGCCGATTGTACCCGCATAGGGCCGCCCGCATTATCGATTAATTCACTTCTTCATTGGATCATCTGAGCTGCGTTGCAGTGTTGCGGTGTTGCGGTGTTGCGGAGTCCTCCCCGCCCTCGCTCTCATACCAACAAAATGGGTCATACTAATACTGTAGCAATCGCTAGGCCAAGCCTGGTCTGGTCCGGTCTCGGGCTATTGTCTGTCTGTCTGTCATAGGGCGTGTGTGCGTACGTACTACCGTATGACTCTCTACTCTACCACCTGTGGCTATTTTCGTCTTTTACTTCAAACGTCAACTTGAGCCGATACATACCCATTGCCTTGGGTGAACCAGAGAAAAGCATAGAAAGAAAGGAAGGAAAGAAACATACGCTCGAATTCTCGCTCAACTGACTTTGGCCTCCTGTCCCGTACCAGCTACCAGCTACCAGGTATCAATCAATCAATTATTCATTTACTGGCAGCTACCTACCCAGGTCCTCGCTGTACATACATACATACATCAACACCGCCATGGCACCACACGCAGCAACAGAAACAACCGCAATCACCGACACCGAGGGCATCCCACTACCAAACCCACTGACCGCCAAGATCCCTATCAATGATATCCTCAACCGCCGCGCAAAGGCACAGCAAGCACAATGGGGCGTCGCAGCACCCACCAGCATGGACGCATTCAGAATCAACAGACAGCAGCAGCAGGAGCATAAGCCCAAGGCAAAACGCTGGGATCGTAAGTGCACATGATTTATTCACTATATGTTTCCCCCCCTCCCCCTTTTTCATTTGACAAACCCCCTCCTGACCTCTCTCTCTCTCTCTCCCCACAGACTACCTATCGCACGAAACAACATCGCGCACAGGCTCCGCGCTCAAAGACGCCGCAAAATGGCTCGGCACACCAGGCATCATCTCGCTCGGCGGCGGCCTGCCCTCAAGCGAATACTTCCCCTTTGCCTCGCTGTCCATCAAAGTGCCACAAGCGCCCTTCTTCAGCGAAGCCGCAACGGCGCAGTCCGGCACCCTCCTAACAGCAGGCAAGCACGATCTCGCCGAGGGGCTATCCATCTTCGACATTGCGACGGCGTTCAACTACGGGCAGGGCTCGGGGGCCGCACAGCTGCTGCGCTGGATCTCCGAGCACACGGAGCTGGTGCACGAGCCCGGGTATGCGGATTGGGCGTGTACGATGACGGTGGGGAGCACGGCGGCGCTGGACATGTTGCTGCGCATGTTTACGCGGGCCGGGGATGTGGTAGTGAGCGAGGAGTACACGTTTGCGTCGGCGGTGGACACGATGCGGCCGCTGGGCGTGCGGGTGGCGGGCGTGGCGGTCGATGCCGAGGGCATGCTGCCTGCTGCGCTGGACGGGCTGCTCGAGGCGTGGGACCCGGCTGCGCATGCCGGGGCGCGGAAGCCGCGTGTGCTGTACACGGTGCCGAGCGGGCAGAATCCGACGGGGGCGACGCAGTCTGGCGCGCGGAGGGCGGCGCTGTATGCCGTGTGTCGGAAGCACGATGTCATCGTGTTCGAGGACGAGCCGTACTATTTCCTGCAGATGGATCCGTATAGCGCTGGGGCTGAGGCGGATACGCCTGCTGCTGCGCCTGCTTCGCTGGCCGAGTTTCTGGACGCGCTGGTGCCGAGCTACCTCCATCTGGATACGGATGGGCGTGTGGTGCGGCTAGACTCATTTAGCAAGGTGCTTGCGCCGGGCACTCGGATCGGATGGATCACGGGCTCGGAGCAGATTGTCGGGTTGTTCCGTAAACACGCGGATTTGTGCACGCAGGGGCCGAGCGGGGTCAGCCAGCTGATGGTGTTCAAGCTGTTGGACGAGCACTGGGGCCACGGCGGCTATCTGGCGTGGCTGATGCATCTGCGCGCCGAGTACACGGCCAGGCGCAATGTGATTCTGCAGGCTGCTGAGCAGCATTTGCCCCGGGAAGTGGTGCAGTGGACGCCGCCGATGGCAGGCATGTTCTTCTGGATGGGTCTGGATTGGAAACGGCATCCCGACGCCGCGAGCAAGAGCGTGATGGAGATTGAGGAGCAGGTGTTCATGCGCAGTATCGAGCATGGCGTGTTGGTGATGCGTGGTAGTTGGTTCAGGGCGGATGCAGATAGCGAGATGACGTCGTTGTTTTTCAGGGCCACGTTCGCGGCTGCGCCGTTTGACAAGATTCAGGAGGCTATACGGAGGTTTGGCGAGGCGATTAGGGTCGAGTTTGGGCTTGTGCAGACGGCGTAGGGTTGGGGGTTTGGTGCCGCCGGAAAGTGGAGGAGCACTGTGGATACAAGTAGCAGATCAAAATGATTCACAGCAATGTTTTTGCAAAACTTTTGACCAGTATTGAGTATACCCCTGAATGGCTCCATAAATGCTTTAGTATTCATACAGATATCGTGTTTGTATCTGAAAAAAAGGCCATCTCTCTCCACTCTCTTATTCAGTTGATAAAGTTTACACAAAAGAAGTGTAGAATTAGACTGCCAAAGACAAAGTCCGCGAACGCTCTGTGGATGTGTCAGTTTCTGTGCGCGACGCAGCCAAGCTAGATGCCACAATCTTACCTCTCATTCGATATGCTCTTGAACTCGTTCTGATTCTCTGGGTTTGTCTGGATGCGCAAGCTCGCCGTGAGCACGAATTGGCCTACACAAGCGCTAAAGCCCGACAGAAACGCATTGAACGGCTGGATTGTAAACAGTTAGTGAAGAGTTCTTGCAATGCGTAAATTCAGTCTCTCATGGCTCTTCGCGAGTGTCTGCGCCCAAGCTCTTCGGACCACCTCTTCCCTCTCGCCCCCTCCCACAACGTCCTCCCCATATCAACACCATTCAGTAAGAAGTGCCACTTACATAATTCCCCACCAGTATAACATAGACAAACTGCAGCGCGCCCACAACCGCAAGAAAGGCCAGGAAAGCATCGAGCAGCTTCGTCCGCTGAGGCGTGTTCTTCACGTAATTACTCCAGATCTTCTCTGCGATGTCCTTGGCATCGTATTGTGAGGCGGGCTTCGCAGTCGTTTTTGTCGACTTGGATGATTGTGCGGACGGGACGGCTTGCTGCTGTGACGATAATGTGGTGGTGGGTGTGGAGGAACCGGACGATGCGGCGGTGCGTTTGGGCGCCATGTCTCTCAATTGGCGAGCTGAGAAAGGGTTGGGTGAGTGTGTTTGGTTGTCGAGTGCTGGTGGTGCGGTGCTGGAGTGGATTATTATGTATTCCCTCGCTCTGGATTGATGAGGCCAGAAAGTCGATGGAGCTCGGTTGCTTACGTACGTGTTGCCTGATGGCCTTAGGTACTCGAAATGCCTGAGGTACTCCGTAGCGCCAGCAGTGCAGCCAATGAGAGCGCGCGGAATGGAGCTTTCCCCGCGAGATGTCGTGATGACAGCGGCGAGGAGCTATAACTGACTATTACGAGAATGGAGCTCCTTTACTTCTTCGTCTGACACTTATTACACTGTCGCATTGCTTTGTACACAACCACTTGCCAACTACACTCCAGCCATACCCAAACCATCTCATCATATCTCAGCCCTGTCTTCATCATGGTATGTCTCCTCCGTCATCACCAGCATCAATCCATCAATGTTCCACGCCATAAACATCGTCATCCATAGCCTCGGTCCACCGAACTAACAACCCGCGCAGACGACCCTCGAACAAACCGCCTTCATCATCGGAACCCTGACCTCCGTCGGCGGCAGCATCGGCTACTTCCGCACCGGCTCCGTGCCCTCCATTGCTGCCGGTTTGACCGTCGGCGCACTGTACGGTCTGGGTGGTCTGCGCATTCAGAACCGCCAGCCTTACGGTGTCGAACTTGCGCTGCTTGCTAGCTTGGTGCTTGCCGGTAGCTCGATTCCGAGAGCGATCAGGAGTGGGAAGCCGCTTCCTGTTGGATTGAGTGTGTTGGCGACGTATGGACTGTATCAGTTTGGGACGGCGTGGAATGGCAGGATCCGGTAGATGACGTATATTTGGGGAATCGGAGAGTGCTTTCATTTCAGAGGCGGTCTGAGGTGGAGTTGACACTACGAGGATATGACGTATCAAGAGGCGAGCTATAGGATGAAGAGAAGACATAATATCAATATACAGCAGAGGTGTGGATCATTATCGATGTGAGATGTCATTGTCGCTCTGCGATCAGACTGACAACAGGCAGCAGCGCAATTGAACCTACACCTCCCATGCCATACCCACCACCATTGCAGCACACCATACACGGGAAGCACTGAAACACTTTGGTTCGTTCTTCTTTCGCAGATGCTCAGATTAACAAGATGATCGATTGCTAGTTTACAACGTCCAGCCCAGGCTAGTGATCAGGTATTTATACATCCGTACCCTCCCAAGTGCTGCTGTGTATATGTGTGCGACCGAACACGCCATCTCCAATGCACCGTCCACATCGCCCTCGATCGCATCTTCTCTTCCCTTGCATATGTACGTGAAGTCGTCGTAAGTGGCATGAATTGTCGTAGGTTCCCGATGTCTAGCAGCAGTCTGCCGCGCACTCGCAGCAATCCGCGCAGCACTCGCATCCTTCTTCGCAGAGGAAACAGCAGCACATTACGGCCAGACTGTGTGCGTGGTTAGTCTGTCATGTAGTCTGCTGAATGTCCAAACACAGTTACGTACCAGGACATGAGACAGCCTCTGTCCTTCTTCTGCCTGGTCTTCTGACCGCCGGCGCTGTACGCCATCTGCATTCGTAGTTAGGCCCTGTCGCATCAGGCACCGCATATGCTGGGATACGTACCGGCGCTTGTTGGTTGTATCCGCCTGGTGGGAACCCGCCGCCCTGCTGGTATTGAGGGTATCCGCCTTGTTGAGGAGGGTAATTGCCTTGGGGCGGGCCGTATCCTTGCTGGGGATATCCTCCGCCGTATCTGTTGAAGGCTGCGTGTTAGCAGTGCTTTGTAGGCTCACAACGGTCCAATGGTGCTCAGACTGCGCCATGGCGAATGGCGATACGTACGATTGCGGTGGCTGCTGAGGATAGCCGCCATGTCCTTGTGGTTGGTTGTAGAACTCGGCGGCTGCTCCTTGGTTACCGTAGCCCGACATGGTGATTGTGTACGTTTGCGCTGGCTGGTGTGAGGTGCGTATCGACGAGGCGTAGAATATGTGTGTGTGTGTGTGTGTGTGTGTGTGTGTGTGTGTGTGTGTGTGTGTGTGTGTGTGTGTGTGTCAGACGTCTATGAAGCTGGCTAAGGGATGGTAAGAAATGCAGGCAAACGGATGCGACGAGGCTTTGGCTAGGCTAACTGGGACACGATCGAGAAAGCACGGGAATGGCCGCGTTATCCGTGTAATGACTAATGAAACGTCTATGTCATACTTATGAAGATCGGGATTTTATTCACTTCCACACCTCCCGTGGTGATCACATGAAGTCTCCAGCCGTCACACCGCAGTAACAAGTAATTAACGTCTATTAATGCTGAATCTGACGTTGACGTTGCTTGCTGCTGCTGCTGCCAACCAATCACAGCTGACCCCGCCTCCCGGGCCGCAATCAAGAGGTTCTTGTGCTTAAGCTTTGCCAAGAGGTTGCACAAGGCGGCTTGGCAGATATGTGTCACGTGGCAGTCTATATTAATCCACAGTCGGTCCGTCGGCATAGCATCATAACAATGACTTCCACACCGTCTTCTGCTTCATTAGCTTTGAAGTCGCTAGACGATGCCCATATCGGCCACAGCGATACGGTCTTGTCTTGGTTCCCCGGACGTCGTGTCATATATCGCTCGCATTACTACTTTAATCGTAATGCCGTCTGCATGCTATGGCGATGAAAAAGACGATATATGTTATATATGGTGAATGATGGAGGTTATACGTATTATCGCTAGAGTTCATGCGATGAAGCTGGGTGGTACGTCATTTTTCAAAAGGGGTCAACTTCCAATATATGGTCGACCACCGACCCCCATACCACGGAACGGCCATGCTTCTGATACCATCGCGCTCTGAACATATGGCCAGTACAAAAGATGGCAATTCCCCCAATCTCGTGCAACCTCTACCAATACACTCAAAGCATTTTCTTGCAAGTCTACTGCCCTGATCCGTCTACCAGCTTCTATTCCATTGACTACGCCCACGACCTTACCATCACGAATTCATCACACCAACACCACTACACCACCACCAACAACGACACATAATGTCACCCTCCCCCATCCAAACCACCACCCACCCCAAGGCACCACCCACACCCCCTCAAACCCCATCCCATTCTCCATCTCCACCTCCACATCACCGCCCTCCCCCCAAACCCTCTCACCCAACCGACCACTGCTTCCCCTGCACTCTCTGCCCCAAAGCCTTCACCTCCCTCGCCGCCCAGCGCAACCACCAGCACAGCTGCGGATACAACTTCTGCTGCGGCAAGCGCTTCAAGACCGCCAAGCGCCTGCTCCAACACGCCGAAACCCACTCTTTCACATGCGCTACCTGTGGAAGTGGGTTTGGCACTAGGTATTTCCTCATGCTGCATTTGAGCGAGTGGAGGGCGCATGTTGTTGGTGAGGGGCTTGTGCAGGCTGTGCAGGCTGAGAGCGAGGAGAGCGGTGGGAGTGTAGGGAGAAAGGAGGAGAGAACAGAGGAGAGTAAGGAAAGTATAGGGAGAAAGCAGGAGAGGAGGACGACTCCGTACCTCACGCTCGAGATACTGGAATATGAGCGTCTGCACAGGGCTACTGAGGGGCGTGGTATGCAGTGTGCATACTGTATGACGCAGTTCTGCGAGAACGACGATATCATAACCCACGTGCGAGTGTGCGCGCAAGCACAATGGGCGAAGACGGCATCGTTGTCGAATGGCGTTGAAGGTTCGGTTTAGGTTAATTGTAATTTCAGTTGGCAGGTGCTAGATATGGGAGATTTGCGAACATCGGTGTTCTGCGTGGCAGAAAAGTGATCGTTGCTCATGAGTACGTCTGGAAGCGCGGGTGTATGATCGCTTTTGTTGTTTTGGTTACTGCATAGGCTTGCATGGTGGATTTGAGAGGACGCAGCGGGGGAGTACTGAGTGGTTAGGGGTGTATTTTGGATGTATATAAAGGGCTGATCGATAGTCTAGCCCTGACTCAGGGGTCGTAAGCTCGATGTAACGAATACAAATATAATGATGTCTATTTTCTGATTAGCCACGAGACAGAACAGTGATTTGACACGTCTGGACATAGAATCAACGCTCAGCAAAGAGAAACCTTTCAAGACTCCTTGCCTTACGCAGGCATGTAGTCACCGTATCGTGTGACCAAATATAGACACGCATAACTAACTTACCATCTAGCATTCATTGCACATCCAACATTCTCTACCAACGACCAAGCTTTTTCAGAGCACTGGGACGCCAGACAATGGACATGTCAAATCCCATGCGAATTCTCGCGCACGGAAACCGCTGGATCTACATGTTATCTCGTGCGCGTCAACCCAATACCAGGATATGCCCCTGAGGAAGAAAGCAGCTAATCCCTCGATGAATCCGAACTACGCAGATCCGGTCTCAGGTGAATACTTAATCTGCCCGGGGTCACACACATCAAGCCAAGCCAAGTCGCCCGCAGTATCGAGTTCGAGCACTGAATCAATAACGTCTGGAGAGATGACAGGATGGCGTTGAGCAACGCGTCTGGTGCAGTTGAACTTGTTTGGAAAAATAAAAGTCAGTCGGCAAGTACAAGAATCCCAATACGAAGCCGAGCGCACTAACGTAGCGCTGGATCATCGACTTTATGAAGCTGCATGGATAGATTACTTGGCATAGTACAGTACAGTAGTCTGCTCAACGATACGGAGTGCATGCGGGATTTGTCTAATGCGGGTGTTGGAGCAACGGTATCCCGCCTTCTTGCTCGGGCCTTCTCTGCCCGCGGATGCAACGCCGAACGCGAGACGAAGCGGACCCGAAAGATCGGTTCGGAAGCACCGATATCCATCACATATACCCTATCACTTCGGCATGCTTATCCATCATCTGATAATTGAAACCCACCCCCGCAGACTTTCTCCACTCACTTCTAGCATACTTGTCTCGGACGTTTCGAAAACATGATATACTGATATAATAGCATCGTCGCAATCTTTTTTTTTTCGCCCCCAATGGACAGACTGACAGCAGAGCCAGTCCCCAAAGTCATCCAGGACAACATCAAGCATCTCGCCGACCTGCCCGTGAGCGACGATGAGGCCGAGACGAAATTCGCAAGCGAGCGACTCATCCGGCTCAAGACGGACTTCAGACTGTGCACCATAGCCGGCATCCTCTGCAGCCTCAACCTGCTAGACTCGGGCGTCATCTCGAGCGCATCCGTCACTTCGATGCTGTCGGACCTCGGACTCGACCATGGGAACCGCTACTCGGTGTCAATCTTCATCTTCACAATCGCCCAGATCGCCTTCCAGCTCCCCTCGACCATTGCCGTCCGCACGTTTGGCCCGCGCAGATGGTTCGCCTTCGTCACGTTCTGCTTCGGCCTCGTCACGCTTTGCACGGCTTTTGTGACGAACTGGAAACAGATGATCGTGCTCCGCATCCTGCTGGGCATGTCCATGTCGAGCATCTATCCGGGCCTGACGTACCTGATCTCGACCTGGTACACCCGCAAAGAGCAGCAGCTCCGCTTCGCCTTTCTCCAGAGCGGCGAGGTCATCATCCTCGGCACCGGGAGCATCGTCAACTTCGGCCTGAACCAGCTGAACGGCCGAGGCGGACTCAAGGGCTGGCAATGGATGTTTCTCGTCCAGGGCCTGATCACCTGTGTCATCGGCTGCGTCACGTATTGGTGGATGATCGACTTCCCGGAGAATGCAAAGGACAGCTTCTGGTTCCTCACCGAAGAGGAGAGCATCGTGGCCGCCGCCCGGATTGAGCGCGATCGCGGCGATGCCATCATCGAGCGCTTGTCCGTCCGGGGGGTGTTGATCCATGCCAAGGATCCCAAACTCTACGGCTTCTGCGTCATGTTCTTTCTCCTCAATCTCGTCTCGACCTCGCTCTCGTACTTCCTGCCCATCATCCTCCAGTCCGGCATGGGCTTCTCGTCCAATCGTGCCATCCTGCTGAGCGCGCCGCCATACTACTATGCCGTCGTCCCTGCCATAATATCAAGCTGGATCGGAGACAAGTTCCAGATCCGTGGTCCGATCATCACATTCAATGCACTGTCGTTGATCGCCGGGTTCGTGATGCTCGGCTTCAGCAACCAGGTGACAGTCCGCTACGTCGGCACCTTTCTGGCTACAGGCGCATATGTCGCAAATTGGGCTGCCCTGAACGCATATCTAGCCAACAACATCACCGGGTCAGTCGCGCCGATCCGACCCGACCAGATCATCTACCTCAGCTAACATTATTAAATCAGACAATGGAAACGCGTCTTCACAGCTGCCTCTGTCACAATGTGCAATGGCGCAGGAGGTATCGCCGGCAGCTTCATCGTACGACAACCCGAAGCACCGCAATACATGACCGCTGTCTGGGTATCCATCGGGTCTGTCCTCGTTCTTTTTGCCCTGTTCATGTCTAGCCAGCCATCTCTCATACTGACCTATCCATCCACAGCTCCCATATCCTGATCATCGCCTGCGTGGCAGCGTTTACATGCTATTTCTTCGTTGCTAACAGGGCGCAAAGGAAGGGCCTGCGCACTATCGAAAGAACTGTAAGTTTTGATTGCCTGCGAAAGCGTCACAATAGGGGGGTCCGGAGCTAATAATCCCCGTCAGCAAGGCTTCCGCTATACATACTGATCTCAAACTAAACACAATACTAACAAGCTTCTTTCCTCATCTTCATGTCCCTTTTTTTCCCGTCTGATGCGCACCTGATCCCAAGCCTAGTTCCCAGCAGGCATTTCGAATGCGTCGTCCTTTTGAAAATGTGTGCCTCGCCAATGGTGCCTGAGTCTACGCGTCACGAATGAATGAATGTATCCTCGCTCATTAACACATGCCTATATACCCGAACCACGCCACTGCTTTGTTCATACTGCAACTTTCCTCATGCATTGCAGACGTGTCGAAATGTTAGATGCTATCTAAGTGGTAACGGGCTTTAATTGGAGTTTGTATATCATACTCCACCTCTGAACGCGCTTCTCCGAGTCGTGTATGTTATAGAGGTACTAGTGACGGCAGAAGCACGGAGGTCCGTTCACATTCACCTCTAGACACTGTCACATACAACATCACAAGCAGTCAGGCACGGCCAGGCAAGTAATTGGCAGGCATAGTTTTCGATGGCTAACTAGTTATACACTCCCTACACCCATCCATATTCCCTCCTCCTCTGCACCTTACTATAGCCAGCCCTATGTAGCCGTTTTGCATAACTGTTCTCGTCGTGTGCGACGAAGATCATCTAGGTTCCTAGATAAAGTATATATGTTAGTAGATGCCAGATAGATGTACAATTGGGAAGCAACGATACGCTTCCTCTGGACGCCCCAACACCCCTTGCTGCTTCCTTCCATATGAAACGCCCCCAGATGACCCTCTTACACCAAGATATCTAGCTCGAACCGTGGCAGCTTGGCGTCGTCCATGACAGGATAGTATGGAACCATGCTGTCGGCCTGCTGCACATATGTGCTGTTGTAAAGTCGCCAGTACGGAACCCTGACCTTGCGCGCTGGGTGGAACAGACCAGCCCACACGTAATTCATTACCAGACCGGGGCCAACAGCCATACGAACGGCATCAATGGCCTCGATGATGCGGTCAATGACATGGGGACTAGTCTCGAACAAATTCGGGTACAGAAGGTTGAGCAAATGTAACATGGCGTCTTCGCAACCTAGACCAACAACACCGAGCGCAACGTGCTTGACAACTGAGGCTGCAGTCTGTCTATGGACTTGATCGCGGTCGATGAGAGCGTCTTCCAGGAGCGGCGTAACGGCGTAGACGTAGTCCTTGGCCATTTCACCGATGTATTCGAACAGGAAAGAGAGGGATTTGAGGACACCGTTCTGGACGTTAAGTTCGGGCACGCGGTATTCGTTCATAAGAGCCGGAAGGACCGTGAACGGTGCGCATGTCTCGGCTACAATGCCGATGGCCACGGCGGTACACACACGAGACTGGCGTTCTTGAACACGCAGATTGTTGAGGAGTGTGGCGAGAACATCCTGCGGACCGATGGCCTTGGCAATGAAACCAAACGTGTTGTTGGCTGCGCGACGGATTCCCTTCTTGTGCGCCTTGAGCATGTCGAGCAGTTCGAAGCAAATACGCATCCACTCACGCGCGTTGACAGCTTCAGGTCCTCTGTCAGCGATACGTCCTACCAGATCAATTGTATTTTCCTGCACTTTCTCGTGTCGATTTCGCAGAATGGGTGTCAGGCGCGGAAGAAGGTCTTTAATTGGAGGCTGCATTGTAGAAAGACCAACAACAGTGACAATGGATCTCAGAGCCCCGAGGATGGAGCCGAGAACCTCTGGATACTCTTCACCAAGATACTCATAAAGGACTGTGCTCAACTTTCCGAGAAGACCATCTTCACCACACTGACTCATGATAGGCGCAATGCGAGAGATAAGATCTGCAGACTGTTGACGCACCGGTGCAGACTTGTGGTTGAGCCTCCACAGGATGGTGCTGACAATCTGTGGCAGATACTTCTTGCAGCGAATACCCAGAGCGTTCACGACGGTGCCGAAACCGTTCAGCATGATGATGTCTTCTACACTCTGTTCTTGGAACGAATGCAAGATTCCGTCAATCAACTCCTCTTCAAGTCGCTCGGTGACGTCGGCTGCACCAAGGCCTGCAATGATCTTTTCGATGGTCTCCACCGCCATCTTGCGGTATGCTTCGCTCTCATCTTTCAAATTCTTGACAATCCTAGAGATGATCTCACCAGCACCAACCTTCTGCCCGAGGTCAACGGTGGTGTCTACGACTTGGCGATAGTTGCGCTTGTCGAGAGCCATGCGTCGTACCCAGAAGCTTTTGAAAAAGTCATCCAACACCGTCTCTTTCAGATATCCAGCCGTGACACCAGCGGTGCTAGAACATTGAGAGACAACTTTCAGTACCACCTTCTTCATCTCTTCGTCGGGCGACGAGAATTCTCGGATGAGGATCTCCATGATAACACTGGTGTAGTAATTGGCATATTCTTCGTCCATCAGAGGAATGATATAACCAATGGCTTTCAGGAATCCGGCCAACCCTTTACCACGTTGCTTGCGAGCTCCCATCCAAAGGGGGTTGAGAATGGCATCGAAGCTTTCGATACCGTAGGGATTGGACGCCTCGGCGAGAGCGGCGATAGCAAGACTGGTCACTGTCCTCACCTTGGCCTGCTCGTCGTTGAGATTATCAGCGATACAATCTACCAGCTGCTTCAAATGTGGTAGAACGGCACATCCCATTAAAATAGGAATCTGCTGAATAATCTTGACGCCAGTGTGTCGTGCCTGCCACGACTTTCGACTCTTACAAACGGCATTGAGAAAGGGTAGAAGTGGGGGAATGGTCAGCGCGGATGCGACGACAGCGAAAGCTCTAGCAGTGGTATTTCGGACGTATTCGTCGGCGTGATCAATATCTGGACGCATAGTACTGATCATGTGGGCCAGACCAGCAGCCTTGCTGAGATTGGAGATGATTTCACGACCTTCAACGCGAGCATAATAGTCCTGGTCGATTAGGAGAGGCTCAATGACGACCAGAATTTTGTGCACGAATGGGCGAACAAGGTCATCGAGCTTGTAAAGAACGCGATCAATGACTTTGACCAGAAGATGGCGTTCTTGGTCTTCAAGTGTCTTTTCCATTAGGAGGGGAAGAATTTGGTTGAATAGAGCACCAGCCCCAAATTGGCGCGCGTTGTCAGTGATCTGACGCAGAGCTGTCTTTCTCATGGGGGGCGTTCCGTTCTTGACCTTGAGTAGTAGTCGCATGATCTTGCGCTCCTTCAACTCCTCCACAGACAATTCATTCTCTTCAGCGCCGTCCACGAGTTTGCCAAAGTATTGCATGTCCTCGGCCTTGAAGAATTGTAGATCACCAACGCCAGGGATATCTGTTGGTAGCTGCTTGCCCATGGATCTCGGATCTTCAGATTGCTGGTTCATGAAGCCACCCGTCGCTGCGGCAGGAGTCGGTAACAGCCGCCTGGCGGCAGCAGGCAGAGGCTCATAGCCTGGTGGAGGATCCAAAATCTTATATCCTTCGTTGGGTAGCATCTCATTAAGCTCCTCGTCGCTCAATGACATATTTCGACCGGATATATCTGTTCCAAAGGACATCATCTGCGATGGATGCATTGGTGTCGCGAGCCCCGCACCACTTGCAGGCGTAGCTGTAACGAGGGCTGGAGCCAGATCCCATCGAGACCGCTTCGCTGGTGCAGCACCAGGCGCTGGAATCTCATCCCATCGAGACTTCTTAGGCTTCACGTCCTCCATCTGGACATCTTCAGACACCTTCTCTTCCGTAGATACGTCCCATCTCCGCTTCCTTTTCTTCTCTGCAGATACCGCGACTGTGGAGCCGGCTTCGGCATTCTCTTTGTCACTAGGGCCCTTTAGAGTTGGAGAGTGGTGTGTGTCACCATTTTCGCCGTTCTGCTCCTTTTGTTCGATCGCCTTTCTGACACGTTCTTCCTCTTGTTCGACCTCGCGCATAGCCATGATCTCTCTGTAAGACTGACCATTCTCTTCGACACCGGCCTGGCGATTTTCCGCAAACGGGTCTGCACGGGTTGGGGTAAGGACTCGTCGTTCCATGCCCTTGCGTTGGTAATCGGACTGTCTCGAAGCAATCTGAGCTTGCTTCTCACGTGTCACCAAGATATCTGCTTCTTCTGTCCCGCCATTGGCAAACTCCTCCCTCTGTGCGGTAGTTGCAGTGTATTGACCAACCAGATTCCTACCCGAGTCACCATCAGCGTCTTCCATCTCTTCGTCTTCTTCATCGTTGACCGCGATGGATGTATTGTAGCCCGCGAATTTGTCAAGCCCATTGCGTTCATAGAGCTCAGTATCGAAGGTATCAGTCAATGAAGCCTTGGTCGAAGTGTCAGTCCTCTGGGTGGTCGGATCAAAGGCTTTTGAACCTTTCTTTCCCGCAGCTTTTGCGGCATTGCGCTCTCTCTGCGCTTGCAGGACTTGGTCGGCGGCTGTAGGTGGCGTAGTCAGAAAATTGTCATGAGCGAAGTTCTGATGCAGCTTACCGTCCGACATGGTGAATCTTTGCGAGTTCCCCTGTATTGATGAAGTTTTCACTGTATGTGAGATCGCCAACGATAGCTTGCGCGATTCAGCCCATGTGGTTGAGGTTGATGATGGCGGTGCTGAGGTGAAGAACCCGCGAGGAGGCAAGCTTCACATACTCAGCGCGACGTCGAGGTCACGTGTGACGCGTCGGCGCCAAGCCAAATCTTATTTGTATCAACAGCACAGTATATTGGACACCCACGGTTTCGCAGTGGAGTAATGAATGAGTGATGTTTCTGCGTTCTTCATAATATAATATTGAATACTCAAATAATATAAGCACCTCGTGATAAAATCTATAGGAAGCCACCACCAGAAAACTTTGATCCAAAATCCGCAGCACGGTTCATCAGTTCTTTACGCTGTGCATGTCCCAATTTCAACCCGACACCCATGTCTTTCTCCCGATCAAAGGCACGTTTGCTTGGATCGTCTTCTTCGACAGTATTGCGCTCTTTGTGCTGCATGTATAGGGACTCACCACGACTCTTGTCCTGCCGAGAGTTAGACATTGCATATAATCATGCTATACACAGACTTACTAGGTTTTCTTTGATCTTGCGAGCCCTCTGCTCCTCACGACTCTTGCTCTTGCGACTAGAGTCTGAGCTTCCAGCAGTTGCCGGTTCTGTGATGCCGAGAACTTCATTCTGTAGCCTCCTTTGTTTCTGCTCTGCCGTCTCCGTCCATAGAGAGCTGCCGCCACCTGCATCTCCAGCTTTTGCACCCTTGCCTGTGTTAAACTTCCGTGCGCGTATCTTCGTCGGATCCATTCGAGCGGCAAGATCATCCTGTTTGGGAGGTAGCATCATCCACTCATCTCTTTGAGGCTTCTTCTCTGAGGTGTGACATTGCATTTTCTCAGCTGCTGGTAGTTTGTCTTCACGATAATCAGTCTGGAATATGTCAGCTGTGATAGTATGAGACGTCGTTGAGATACGTACTGCAGACTCATCACCAGTGGGTAGCGCTGGGCCGAAGTCATCATCACTGCTACTACTGTCGTCGACTTCAGGGCTACGGGGCGGTAACTCATCTAGAGGTGCAGGTGGTGGTGCAGGGCCTACTATTCTTCTCCGCTTCTCGCCTGCATCGGGACTTGGGCGCGCATCGCCTTTTGGGATGGCTTTGGCAGTGGTTTGCTCCTCTGCTTGCCTCTTTCGCTTTGCAAGAAGGTGTGGTGGTAGCTCAGGGCCGATCGAGGACATGGTAGCCAAATGAAGGCGAGGATGATGAGTGTGTTCGGTTTGTAGTATGGCGCAGGAGTCCTCTCTTAGGTGGAGCAACCGGGTGGAGCTTTGGAGCTTGGGTTGTCTTAGCGCAGCGTCCAACCATCCGGAGGATATCGGCCTCTCTAAAGATAGCATCAGCATCAACTTCGTGTAGGCAGCAAGCTACAGCTAGGTGTGCGAGCTTCGAAAGCCGCAATTACGTATCACTTGTGAGTTTGAACATTCTGTAGTAAAGCGCCACAATATATACTGAGCAATTAGCATAAGTCGAAACAACTGAGGAACATCACCGGCGCCGTCATTCGCCGCACTGATAGTCAAACCCGGTACACGGATTGCATTCTCGTAGACATCTAGAATTTGACGCACGTCGTCAGTACCTGGATCGCCTCCATACTAAGCTATAGAGTATTGGTGGAGCTATGCGCTCTCACCCGAAGTCCCCATGAGCTCCGTTCCTGGGGAGAACAGCGCCGAGAACAAGGAGCCAGACAGCGGAGAGGAGACGATAGGCTCGGTTGAAGAGCCGAATGAGGGATCTGAAGAGTCGTCAGCAGGCCGTGGGCATAATGGAGAGATTGATGATGTGCCACAACTTGGACAGGATGTCCACGGAGGATTCTTCGAGACGTTTCAATCTGAAGAGAAGGACACGAATGGATATGGTACTTCCGGCACTCCACGTATACCTTCTGTGAAAACGCCAATAAGTCCGGAAGCCTCCGTGTCAACACCGGACGATACGCCATCAATACAAGGCTCTCTACTGTCTTCGCCCAGTAGCAGCGTTCCCGCATCGCATGCTTCAGCGAGCCGGGGGCATCACCGCCCGTCGCTGAAACCCTTTGAAAGAAGATTCTCGTCTAGGCTATCGCTATCGCCTTTACCTTCCCCACGTTCACAGACACCTACATTCCTAGCTCCTCACTCAAGACAATCATCGATTTCGTCCCAGCTCGTACCATCTCGCGATGAGTCGGAGACACCACAACCGCCCTGGGAGGTAGTCAGATGGACTAAACTGAAAAGGATATCCGGACAAGTGTTCTCAGAAGTTGGGAAGAGGAACTTTGGCCGCGCTACCTGTTTGTGCGTTGCTGCATCAATCATTATTGGAACTTCAAAGGGCTTTATCTTGGTTTTCGATTACAACCAAGTACTCAAATCGATCATTGGTCCAGGAACTAAGGCTATAGAATGTGGAAGTATCACGTCTCTTGCAATTTCTGCGGACCATTCCACCGTTGCTGGGGGCCATGCCGATGGCAACATCTTTACCTGGGAACTCGCCAGACCTGCGAAGCCTTTCTTGCACATCCCTCCATTGGACCGTGCTCAACTCGATGATAGACGAAGCGATGGTCATATATCAGGCGTTGCTATTCTCCATTTGGGTTTTTTGGCTACTCGCCACACCGCATTGGTCTCTGCAGACGATGCTGGCATGGCGTTTTCACATCTAGCGACCAGAGGACTGGGCGTCGTGGCAAGATCTATCAAGACTACCCGTGTTTTAGGACGCTATCCAGTCAACAACGGCACTTTTGATCGGCCAAGAAAACCTAGTTCTGTTCTAGCTTTCGCTCCGCTTCCCCTCGGGAATGTGGAACAAGCAACAGACACCTTAGGGCTGACTGCTCTCCTGACTCCCTACCTCTTGGTGATTGTATCTACCACACCCATTGCCCAAACGCAACACAAGTCATCCAGGCCTAAGGAGCTAGCACCGCACAGTACTCTAAGCGGTTGCCTTGCTTGGTTTCCTGCCGTGCGACTGAAAAATAGAAACTCGGGGGAACCACAAGTGTCAAAGACGAAATTGGCTTACTGTTGGTCCAACATTCTTACTATTCTAGATGTAGAATCTGCAGAAAACGCGGACGAAGGAAAACCTGCAGATTTAGATTTCCAGCCGCGCAGCCGTTGGAGATCGGAAGAGGCAATTGTTGCTATACAGTGGCTGAGCCGCTCCGTCTTGGGCGTTTTGACGATCAGTCAACGACTGGTCATTCTGGAAGACGTATCAATCAGAATGACAGATACATTCGATCTAATACAGAAGCACATCTTTCATCAAGACTTGTTCTCAAAGCAGTTGCAGCCTGTAGTGGAACAACTGGATGAAGAAGACGCGTCCATGCATGGAGTTGTGGCGGATGCTTTTTATATGAGCTTCAGAGCTTACAAAAGCAGGCTGTTCCTTCTAGGTTTCAATGATGTCTCGATAGGAACACTGTCTAACTGGGCCGACCGTTTGCTTGCACTGATGGATGAGGGCGATGTCATCGCAGCCTTGGAGTTGGCAACCTCATATTACAATGGTGATGCGGACAAGCTGACTGTTGGACTTCCGGAGGACGATGGTGCTCGACATGGCCTTGTTGAAGAGAAGTTGCTCCCCATGATATCCGCATCTTTGCGATATACTTTCAGCCGAGAAGAGAGCTATAGCGATCAGGATCAAGCGTTGAGCCATAGGAAACAACTTGCCTCAATATGTTTCATAGCTTGTCTCAGTATGGACCAGCTGGAAGTCCTTTTCGAGGAAATCTATGAAGCCTTCGAGAGCGGCGACTGCGAGGGCATCTTCTATGAAACCCTTGAGCCTTATATACTCGATGGGCAGATCAAATCGGTCCCACCAGACGTTCTGAAGTCGATGATAACGTACTATGCGTCGGGAAATCTAGCCACAAGAATTGAAGAAGTTATCATTCGCCTTGAGACATTGACAATGGATATCGACCAGGTCACTACACTATGTCGTCAGTATAGCCTTTACGATGCACTTATCTACGTGTGGAATCAGGCACTCGGAGACTATGTAACTCCATTAGTCGATCTCATGGACCTTATCAAGCTACTCGTTCACGATGAAACAGGTGATGGGCAGATGGAGAGCTTATATCATGAATCAGCAATGAAGGTCTTTCCATATCTGGCATATTCGTTGACCGGACGTATCTATCCAGGCGGGCTTTTCATGGAAGATGAGACAGCTTTGAGAGCAAAAAACGAGCTCTACAGCCTCGTGTTTGCTAGTACAACCAAGGAGTGGCCGATAGGAAGTAAAACAAAGATCCGCACCCAGATTGGTAGATCAGCTGAGCCTGCCTTTCCCTACCTGAGCCTGTTACTGGAGTTCGACTCGGCTAGCTTTATGAGTATGCTCAATGAAGCGTTCGAGGATTCCTTCCTAGATAGAGATTCTGACGCGAACGGTACTGTCAGCCAGGCGAACGGCAATTCACCATCGCCTTCGTTGGTCGCAACTCGACAGTATGTCATCAACATCTTACTCAGAGTCATCACACCAGAAGCCTATGATGCGGAAGATCGGATATTCTTTCTCATGTTTCTGGCCCGAAATCTGGCCAAATACCAGCATGCACAGACAATCAATCTTCCAGGTTCTACGCTTTATGGTATCTTGGTTGGTCTCTGTCAGTATCCCAATGTGGAGATCAAGGAAGATTGCCAGCTAAGCGTGGAGTACCTGTTATCTGTTTATCAACCGTCAGACCTCCCAAAGATCATTGCACTATTCGAAGAAGCTGGTTTCCACCGAGTCCTAAAATCGATATACCGAAAAACGAAACAGTACCCAGAACTGTTGATTGCTTATCTGAAAGACGATGATGACAAGGAGGCGATATTTGAATGCATTAGTTCATGCCTTAGGTTAGAAAGCAGCATGACGAAACGACAAGTATCTGAGTTTCAAAACGCCCTCGTCGCCCATTCACACGAGCTTGCTAGCATCAACGCACATAGAACAGCTCAGATTGTGAAGACTCATGTAGCGCATCTACTCGAACCAATCATTTCAACCCTGAGCAATGAGCCTGAGCTTCAGTACAGATTTCTACAAGCGTTGATCGAACCAGTTTATAGAGGAGACATTGATCAGCGAGCAATACGGCATGATCAGCCTCAGGCTGTCACCGGGCTTTATGTCCAATTGATGTGTCGATTCGACCCGACCCGCGTGTCTGACTTCGTCGGACTGTTGAACTCTGGCGATCTGCAGCTCGATGCTGTCCTCCCAGCACTTGAGAAAGGGGGCGTCATTGACGCAGCTGTGGTCCTCATGGCGCGCGACGGTCTCGTTCAGAAAGCCATGCAAAGACTTGTGGCTCATCTCAGCACTCTAGGCAAAGCACTTACAGGCCTCATCGCCGCATCAGAAGAGAGCCCCGATGCGCAAAGTACAGAAGAGTCGATCGAAGCTCTCCTTGAAGAAGTTGAGAAGTACTGCAAAGTGGGTATCTGGCTGTGTCAAGGCCAAACCAAATCTAGACAAACACGCCCTACGCACAAAGACGAGCGCAAGCTCCTATCCCGTGCCACAGAACAAGACCTCGACCCTGACGAACTCCTCTGGCTCGACCTTCTCGATGCCATCGTCACCCTATCCCGTAACGTTATATCCGCCACCGACGACCTGCAGACCCCCTACGCTATCGATACGACTAAGATATCGTCCACTCTCCGCTCCTCAATACAAGCATCCTTCAGTGCCCTGCTCGCCGCGACAACACCCTCGTCTACCCCATCCTCCAAATCTCAAACTACACAAGTACTTCATCATCCGTCCTTCCTCCTCATCCTTCGGTCCTTCCTTACCCGCGCATCTTCCACAGCGCCATCGCTCGCTCACCTGCGCTCCGTCCTCAGCTCTATATTCGCCACCTACGCACACGAAGAAACCATCCTGTCGCTCGCAGGCCGCTTCCTTGATGCCGATGCATTCGCACATGTCGCTGAGCTCCAAGAGCGCAGAGGCCAGGGCTGGCGTCCACGTGGACAGGCGTGTGAGGGATGTAGGAGGCGAGCGTGGGGACCTGGTGCAGGAGGTGACATATGGCAGAAATGGGAACGGAGGCAAGGCGCGGAAGAAAAGAGGAGGCGGGAGAAGATGAATCCTGGATTCAAGGGGACGAGGGGGAAGGCAAGGGAGGTTGTTGAAGCTGAAGAAGAAAGAGTTGAGGATACGAACAAGGAGAGCCCGGGCCCGTTGGTGGTTTTTGCGTGTCGGCATCTGTGGCATCGGGGTTGTTTGGACAAAGCGCAAGGACCGGGCAGTGATGCAGGGCAAGTAGCTTCGTCGGCGCAAACCAGAATTGCAAATGATGCCAGACAGGCTCTTACGTGTCCGCTATCACATTAGAAAAGGGGCTTAGGTGGTTTCGTCATGTACATCAAGCGTAGCGTGTATTCATCAGTCTTCTACTCTATTTCCTTTCTCAAGTGTTTAGGTCCCTCTTCGCACTCTCCATCATAATGATGAACGCCTGGCCCTCCGGGCTCCCAGATGTGAATCTGGTAAAGTCGCCCCAAGCCAACGGATTGACTGCCGGGCTCGCGATGCCATCTTTCCCGATGTGCTGCCACACGACACGGCGCCTCTTGTCCGCCCACTTTACACAGTCGCCACCAAACATCTCGGGCTCCAGCTTCGCCATTCGATAAATTGCCGCCGCAATCAACGAGGTCCCCGAGATCTCTCCCCACCACTGGTCCTGCTGAATATAATTCCGGACGAGACCTGCGCCTTGCTCGTCGTCCGCAAGCGGCGCACTACGCACGCCATCAATGATACCCTTCATCAACACCCTGAGATCCTTCATCTCGGCCCCCAGTTTCCCTGCAAACGGCCCGTTCTTGATCGTCGCATACACACGCGCCATGCCGGCCAGCGCCCACGCATTTCCCGTGCTCCACAGCCCCGTGTCGTCAGGCGTCTCCTGGTCGTACGGCTTGCCGAGGATATGCTGCCACAAGCCCCTTTCGGGCGCCAGCTTGGCGGCATACTTGACGGGCTGGCGGGCGGCGAAGCGCAGGGCGTTGAGGTCGTGTTTGCCGACGGCGTAGTAGGCGAGGAACGGCGGCACCATGTATTCGCTGTCGGCCCAGAGCTCGGTGGTGGATTCGCGGTGCGAGATGGCGCCGTCCCAGGTCTTGCCGGCGAGTGTGTGGTCGTTTTGGCGCTGGGCGGCGGAGGCGTAGGCGGCGTCGTGGACGGCTAGGAGGACGGCGGATACGCCTAGGGAGTTGGGGTCGCCGAGAGAGCCTTGAGGGTTTGTTAGTATGGTATATTGCTTGGGCCGTGATGTGGAGAGGGTATACCGTCAGGAGTCAGGGTGTCAGCGTCGAGCTCGATGGTGTGTTTGGCATACGCGAGACCCTTGACATCGTCGGCGGTGAAGTCTGTGGGTAGCTTGCCGTTGGGGAAGGCATTTGCACTGAACACGGAGAGCTCTGGGTTGTAGTATTCAAGAAGGGCTTCCGCGAGCGTTCCATTCTCCCAGGAATATGTTGCGAGGCGTGTGGCTTGTGATATCACAGCCGTGATTAGGGCGGTGTCGAGAGCGACCATTGCAGACAGAGGAGCAAAGCTAGTGCGGAAATCTTGGAGAAGGGATCTTGCATGATGTTAGTCCCAAGTAGCCGGTGGATGGCTATATAGTCATATCATAGTGATACAAAAAAGCCTGGAAACATCGATCATGCCTGATCAGCACACTTTACGCCCGCCCGGTACGACGTTCGGCAAACAAATTTTGAATTAGGAAGACGCCTTTTGGAACGAATTGGCAACGGATATGACCACGGAAGTAGACATTAGTCGAACTGCCCGTCTATTTTAGAGTTTCCAAGCTTCTTTGGAATGCTTACGGATGTCTTGGGTCGTTTCGAACGGGGTAGTCCATGACTCGCCACTCGCACTTGGTTTAGTTTATTTGTGTGATGTGAGAAGCCCCCCTATTATAGATGTAAGCACCTTATCTAAGTAGTGTCACCCCATCTTGTTTGTGTCATGGCAGCACACGATGTGTGTCCGCCAATATAGTGCGACCTCAGATCGCAGCAGAACGTTTAATTAACCTACGTCATGTCAGGACAACGATGCTCAACACCAGGCATGGCGCGGAGAAACATCCCAGAGCTCCAACAGCTCTCAAGGCTCATGACTTTCTAATTGGCTGGACGAAACAATCGAATGACAAATAAGATAGGCTGCGTGTAGATTCCGGGGCGTAAGGCTAGATAGTCTGTCTGACAGGCGACTCGCCACTAAAAGCCTAAAACGGATATCCGAGCCCTGAGACGCCTGGGTGTTTCGAACTATTTTTGCAAGCGAAGATAAGTGCAGTATAAGGATAGCTTAGTCACTGTGGGGATGTAACATGTTTCTGGAGGATCGTCGAAGAAACACAACATTCGATGTTCTCCACCCGAAGGATGCATCAACAGTATCATCTCAGATGTACGGAGTAGCGGTACGTGGAGACGTCGACGATTTCCGGATCGGGAAAGGTGGTAAATATCACGGAGCGCGCTAACGCTTGATTGGGTGGTGGCTTGGCATCAATCTTCTGCTTCCGAAGTACTCACTGCACGCCATACACCCAATAATACACTTCCATCTGCGCATCATCATCAGTAATTGCCATCTCGGCCCTCAATCACTGTCCTATAGTTTCTCTGTCTAGCTGACCACGCTGGAGCTCTACCTCCAGAAGGAAGTAAGAGATATCGACCGCGTCAAGCGCTTGCAGCTCCGGTCCTTCAAGCTGACCTCCGGGGGTCTTTTCTGTCCTGTCTTACTCTACAAAGGCTGTCAGTAGCTTCATGCGTCAGGTTGTTTGCTAGTAAACATGTCGCTTGGGCCCGGTGTGTGGCGTCCGGCCATACGACGAGGATGCAAACCTTGCTCTTCTATCAGACTTATAATCGTTGCCCGGCGAGGTTATGCATCCACCACGGAATCAATACCGGAGATATACGATGTAGTATGTGTTGGTGGAGGACCAGCTGGTCTGAGTCTATTGTCTGGTCTACGTAGGTCTATCAGAGAAGAAGTCACGTGCTCAATGCTCATGTACTTCCAGGCGCGACAAAGGCAACTTCTGGACTTCGGATAGCCTTGATAGAGTCCCAAGACCTTCAGAAGTCTGTGTTCAAGAGGGATTCGCAAAATGAGTTTTCGAACCGATGTAGCTCACTTACCCCGGCGTCTGTCTCATACTTCAAAAGTAGTCCATTCATGACCGGCAGTGCTAATTATATACTGACTACATACTAGAAATCGGAGCATGGGCACATTTCGACACGTCTCGCATTCAACCTTACCAAGAAATGCAAGTATGGGACGGTATCAGCGATTCTCGCATCTCGTTTGACTGGGGAAACCTTCAACGCTCTCCAAACCCACACTCCACAATCGCCTACATGACCGAAAACCTCAACATCACAAATGCCCTCAGATCACACCTCTCCTCCCTCGGCGGCATCGACATCTTCTCCCCGGCCAAAGTCGACGCCATCAACTTCGGTCCTGAGACAGAGGACACAGATCTCAGCGCCTGGCCCACCGTCACCCTCAGCACAGGCCAAACCATCGCAGCCCGCCTCCTTGTCGGCGCCGACGGTGCAAACTCTCCCGTACGTACCTTCGCCGGTATCGAAAGCCGCGGCTGGGACTACGGCCGCCACGGTGTCGTCGCCACGCTCCGTCTCCAAGGCCCGGGTTGGGGCGGCAACACTCACAAAATCGCATACCAGCGCTTCCTCCCCACAGGGCCCATCGCCATGCTCCCTCTCCCAGGCAACATGGCAAGCCTCGTATGGAGCACGACGCCCGAGCGCGCGTCACGGCTCAAGTCCCTGTCTCCCACCGACTTTGTCGCCATGGTCAACGCCGCGTTCAGACTCTCGGCCGTCGATCTGTCGTGGTTGCACGACCTACCATCAGGACAGGACGCCGAGGTACAGTGGCGCGAAGCGAACACGCCCGTCAAAGAACGTGCTATTCCCATGCGCGTCACATCCGTGCAAGAGGGCACCGTGGCAAGTTTCCCGCTCAAGATGCGCCACGCTGACACGTACACGGGCGAGCGCGTCGCGCTGGTCGGCGATGCCGCCCACACGATCCATCCGCTTGCCGGGCAGGGCTTGAATCAGGGCCAGGCGGATGTCGCGGCGCTGTTGGATACGATTGAGACGGCGGTCGTGCATGGGCAGGATATTGGGTCGACGATCTCGCTTGAGGCGTATAATGCGGCGAGGTATGCGGAGAACAACGCGTTGCTGGGCGTGGTGGATAAGTTGCATATGCTGTATAGTGTGGAGTCGGGTCCGATTGTCGGTCTGAGGAGTTTGGGCTTGAGTGCGGTTAATGCGATGGGGCCTGTGAAGGAGTTCTTCATGAGGAGGGCGGCGGGCGCGTGAGAGTTGGATTGTAGGGCATATGTATTATAATCTCTGGGAGGTCGATGTATCGAATAGAGACACATAATGCTGGACGCAGCTACTTGACTTCAAACTTTCCCTCCTCGACCGCACTCTTGATAATCCCATCTCCACTCACGATCCCCGTCGTACAAATCACTAACCGCCTCCCTTTCCCTTCTTCTCTCAACTTCTTGCCCACGAACCGCAACGCCGCAATCTCCGCCCGACATATACCACCCAGGTAGAACACAACAACAGTCTTTCCCTCTGCGCCCGCACTCCCATTCAGAATCTGACGCGCCCGCACCGCCTTCTCCTCGCCGCGCTGCACCTCGTCAAATGCCACGCCACGCACCTGCTTCACCGCATCCTCAAATGGCTTCCACCCAGTCGACAAACCCAGCGTACTGGCGCTGACCCCTCTCTTCTCCGCCAGACCAGCGACGACGCTTTTCTGGAGTATGCACTGCACGAGACGCACGCTGAGGGGCGCGTAGCCGCTGTACACATATGCTACATCCTCGGGGGTGGACTCGTTGACTTCGTCGACGATGAGCTTGAGGTGCTTGCGCGCCGTGTTGAAGTTTGTCGTACTGCCTGGTTTCGCCGACGCGCCGCCGCCCAGGGGCCCGCCGCGGACGGTGAGCAGGCCGATTTTCTCGAGCGCGGAGAGGGTGAGGATGTGTTGCGGACCGTAGGCGTGGATGATGTCGCGCTTGAAGGCGTCGAGTTCCTTTGCCTTGATGCCTGCGCTCATGACTGATTCGAGACACAGGAGCCGGAGCACGGTGGGTAAGGGAAGGGCACGGGCGATGAGTTCTTCGATGGTCTCGTGCTGCGAGCTGGGGTCTGCGCCGGCGGCGATGTTTTGCTGGACCTCGAGGGAGCGGGAGAATTGCTCGGCCATGGTGTACTTCTTGACTTCTTCGGCGAGCGAGGTGTGCAGTTTGAGGCTGCCTTGTTCGGACTGGAAGCCGGGCAGCTTTGCTACGAAGTCCTTGAGCTCGGAGATGCCTTTGTTGGCAATTTGCTTGGAGTCGTAGGAGGCTTGCAGACGTCGGGCAACGGTGTTGAGGATTGGGCCTACGGTGGCGAAATTTGCGTCCACGAGCGTGCTGTAGAGGGGGTCTTTCTGGTCGAGTTGAATCTTGCGCTTCAGACCTTGTGGAGCAGCAGCCGATTGACTGCCTTGTTGCTGCTGGGAGCCGGGGGCGGGCCCTATGATAGAGGTGTCTATTTCGGTCTGGTTGGATTGGATGGTGAAGACCTCGTCTAGGAGGCCTTCGTATGTAAGTTGGGTCATGAGAGGTGTGGCAAAGTCAGATTCACGGTCGATTATGATCAGGCTCTCTATCGAAGAACTGGGAGTTAAACCTAAGAACGAGTTTCCAACATCGGCATTGTCTTCACCGGCAGATAATTCCTGGCGCATGCGGAGAAGAAGGTCTGCGAGCCGTTTGGCATTGTCTCCTTTGCCTGTGATTCGAGGAAAGAGGCCATGTTGCTGTTGCAGAAGCATCAGTGCTTTTGCTGACAGAAAGACAGACTTTGGGTCTTTCCGGAGATACAGATCACCAAATGCGTCTTCCAGCTCTAATGAAAGCACGTCGTCTGCAAGCGGCATGAAATGGAGCGGATATTCGAAGATGCTCGTCTCTCCCAGGACACCCTCGGCCTCAAGTAATTGATCGGAGACCAGGGTCCGCCTTGGTATCCAGAAAATGAAGAACTCATGATCAGTCTGCGACTCTTGTCGCAGTTTCTTTATTTGAGCTGTGCTGGGTCAGATGAGTGTCTCGTCTATCAAGATACGAAAGGGTGACAAAGCCAGATTTCATGCTGTTACAGTTGAGAGGATTTTGAGGCTCCGAGACATAGGCCATAAAAGATGCATACCTGCGATTTCTAGCACGATTTTAGAGTTCTCGCCCCGTGCAAGGAATACAACATTGCGCTGGGAAGAGTTCAAGTTGTGATTCTCCAAGAAGAATATCTTCTCAACGCCATATTCCTGCAACGTCGAGACTTTAACAAGCAGATTGATTGGGCCTGCAAGCGCTTTCTCTAGAACAAGGTTCTTCTTCCCTCGAACCTGCAGTAACGTGAGCTTAGGTGATTCGGAGTGTGGAATAGACGATGAGGAATAGTCTTACACCTTCGAGAAGCTGTAGCAACGATCGCCGAGCCTTTTCAGCTATGTCCGAGCTACCGATAGCCGCATGAGGTGCCATATGTTGTTAATATGTGACACAGGCATCAGCGGATGAGGTTGTAGTTGCAAGTTGATGTTATTCATCCGATAGGTTGATGTTTACTAACTCCGGCGCCCGTAGCGTGGTCGGATTATGGCGTACCGAAAGTCCCAAAAGGGTGCAAAACTCACACTGCTTGACGCCTGACGTCGTCAGGCATAATTCGTGTTCGTCATTCATCGCTGGAAGCTTTCAAAACATTGTGACTCACCAGCTTCACCCCAAAGCCGCATATTTGTATGCGCGTCCTCTCTCTCTCTCGCGCCCGACTCTTCCAGTCAGGGCCAACAAGCTACCTGCGCTCCACATCATTCTGCTGGCACCTACCCCACTACCGCCGGCCGTACTCCACAAACAACGAGAGATCACACAAAACTACCGTGAGCGGCGATAACGGTGAAGACATCATGGGCAAGAAAGAGGCAAAGCAGAGCTTCGTGCTCAAGACCCCCAAGGGCACCAAAGACTGTATGTCCTCTATCGCATGCGTATTCGCGTGACAATTCGGCTGATTTGCACAGGGGAGGGCCTGGATATGGTCATTCGCGACAAAATATTTTCCACGATAACTCAAGTATTCAAGCGTCACGGAGCTGTGACAATTGACACGTACGTGTGACTCATTTGGTGTTCTGAAGGCTCATAATAACACCATGCTAGTCCTGTCTTCGAACTCAAGGACATCCTCGCTGGCAAATATGGCGAGGATAGCAAACTCATTTACGACCTCGCAGATCAAGGTGGTGAAATCTGCTCACTACGCTACGACCTCACCGTTCCGTTCGCACGATGGCTCGCGCAGAACTCGTCTGTACAAAGCATTAAGCGCTACCACATCGCCAAGGTCTACAGAAGAGATCAACCTGCCATGAGCAAGGGCCGTATGCGAGAGTTTTACCAGTGCGATTTCGATATCGCCGGAGTCTACGACCCTATGATTCCCGACGCCGAAATCCTCCGAATCACAAGCGAGATCTTCGAGGCTCTGGGATGGGGAGGGAATTACACAATCAAGATAAACCACCGCAAGATTTTGGATGGTATATTCCAGGTCTGTGGAGTACCACAAGATAAGATCCGAATGATCAGTAGTGCTGTAGACAAGCTGGACAAGGTGAGAGAAACTGGTCTCTGAAAGTGGCAAGACACTGACCTTGACAGTCTCCTTGGGATGTGGTCCGAAAAGAAATGACAGAGGAAAAGGGCCTAGACGGCGAGATAGCAGACAAAATCGGCGAATACGTTAAGCTGAAGGGGACCCGCGACGTCCTGGACAAGCTCAACAGCATAGAGGCTCTCCAGGCCAATGAATCGGCAAAGCAAGGGTTGGCCGACATGACCCTGTTATTCTCCTACCTAGAAACATTTGGTGTGTTGGATAACATATCACTGGACATGAGCTTGGCGCGTGGCCTGGATTACTACACAGGTGTGATCTACGAAGTCGTCACCGAGGGCTCTGCGCCACCTGCTGCTAGCAACGTAGAAGGCCAGAAGGTACAAGAGACTGGCAGAAAGGAGAAGAAGGAGAAGAAACCAGCGGAAGACGACGACGATCGATCGAACGATCCTACCATTGGCGTAGGAAGTGTGGCAGCCGGTGGACGCTATGACGAACTCGTTGGCATGTTCAGTGGTAAAGGTCAAATACCCTGTGTCGGTATCTCGTTTGGCGTAGATAGAATCTTCAGCATCACAAAAGCGCGTATGGAGAGCGAGAAAGCTCAGCAGCTACGGAGGACGGAGGTCGATGCGTATGTCATGGCTTTTGGCGGAAAGGGGTTCACTGGCCTCCTACCTGAGCGTATGGAGGTCGCTAAATCGCTTTGGGACGCCGATATCAAGGCCGAGTTTCTGTGGAAGGTCAAGCCTAAGCTACCCGCTCAGTTCAAAGCTGCCGAGCAGAGTGGTATCCCGTATGGCATCATTCTTGGTGAAGATGAGCTGAAGGCAGGGAAGGTCAGCATTAAAGAGATGGGTCTGCCCGAAGGTCACCCGGAAAAGAATGGTGTGCTTGTGGACAAGGCCAACCTGATCCCTGAGATGAAGCAGCGACTGAAGCAGTATGAGGAGAAGCTGGCGTCACAACTATCCGGAGTCAGCATATAGGAGCACCTAGGTATACAAAAAGTGCAAGCGATTCTGACAACTCGATGTATTTACATAGATGGTTTCATACAAAATACCCGATTACAATTCAATTCATCTAGAGGCGTCGTCCTGCCATCTCCGTCTCTTACATCCAACTACTACTACTACTATGACACAGGCCTATCAACCCGCGTGATCCTCTCCGCAACATTCAGCCACGCCTCATACTCGACCTCCTCCCCCTCCACATCCCCATGGTAATGACCCCCCTCGCCATGCTCCGAAAAGCAATGCGTATGCTCCATCCTCAAGCCCAACCCAGCAGCATCAACACTATGCAACGTCACCAGCCCAACCAACGGCGGCCCCATCTCAAAAAACCTCAACCACCCCTCCACCGCCCCTCGATCCTCCAGCGCCGTCTCGCTGAAATCCGGCATCACATGCACCCTCACCCGCCCCCCTTTCACAAGCATCACCCCGCCCAGCGATACCTGCTGCCCGGCCCCGAAACGTCGGGCTAGTCCTTGCCGGACACATTCTGTGAAACTCGCCGTTGTGCCGTGTCGTGTGCCGCTTGCGCTGATGTGTAGTACTTCGCCGGTCGTGCCCTCGCTGCCGTATAGATTTGCCATTAGTCCGCAGGTGTGTGTGTCTAGTGGGCCGCATATACATGCGCCATCGGGTCCGACGCGCGCATACCGTGTGCGGTTTACAACGACCTTTTCGCCGTTTCCCGTGCCTTGCCCTTCCCCTTTTCCTTTCCAATCGGCGTCCGGCGTGGTGGTCGTGGTGGTATACCACGCCATATTCGGCATAAGCTCACTATTCACCCCCAGCTCCCCAAACGGCCCAGCAGCAGCGCCCAGAATCAGGCCTTGCGAGTCAGGCAAGCCCATAAGCGCAGCCATTTGAGGTAGAGAGTAAATCTTGACGCGATTCGGGAGCGGCGCGAGGTGGGCCTGGCCGCCTATGTCGGCGATGCAGGGCGAGCCGCTGAGGCCGGCGGCGGCGAGGGAGTAAGGGGGCAGGCGGAGGTCTGGGGGCGAGGCGATGGAGATGTGGTGGGTGGTGTAGTTTTGTGCGAGGGCTTGGCTGATAGGGTGGAGGAGGGTGGGGAGTGGGGTTTTGGGGAGGGGGTGCTGGGTTGTTGGGTATGAGGTGGACATTGCGAGGGTTTGTGTATGTGTGTGTTGGGGGGTCCTGGTGTGGTGTTTTGGTGTGATCAGGAGGGAGGGAAGGATATGTGGAATTGAGGGAGGTGGGAGAACACTCATGGCGAGCGCTGTGTAGGGATGGATGTATGACGTGAGTAGCGGGGTAGCTTCTTTCTTTTTGGTCGATTACTGTAGATGTGATTGATGGTGATTTACTCGACTCGGTCCTCGTGGTATCAATTATTTAGTAAGCGTTACGAGTGAAGTAAGAGTCGAGAATTTGATCTTTCGTGTAGAGCTGAGATCTTGTTGTTGTTGTTGTTGTTCAGACTGATATGAGTCATGGGTTTCCTCCTCCTTGCTGCTCTTCTTCCTCTTCCTCTTCCTCCTCTGTATAGTAAGAGAATGGCCCAACAGGACCGTTCTCCTCGTGGTCACAGCCACTCCAGATGCCAAAAATTGGGCCTGTTCTGATGCCACCAGGCTGGACGCCTTCGAGCTGCCATTGATCCAGGCCAGAATAGCTATGCTCTTTGTTACTAAATGTCACTCTGGCGTGCTACAGGAAGTGCTTACCGAATGATGAACCTCCATCGTACCTCTTTTCCTCCAGGCACCAGTGATACACACCCTCGTATGCCAGCACCATGTGTATGCATCAGCCCCTGACTTTGGGATGATCCCGAAAAGTATATTGTGGGGAGATCTTCACAAACAGGTAGCCTCGTTTTCAGGGCCTGGTCGTCCTTTATGCGGTCGTCTCGATGGAGACAGAGCCGACTTAGAAGCCCAGAAGCCTCATCGAACTCGCCAAGCGAGATTGAGACACCTCGGGCACGCTCAAAATTGAAGAGCGCAAGATCGGCATAGTCCAAGAAGGCGTACGTGCCCATCCAGACATCGCGTTCGTAGGATATGCCTGCCCAGTCGGTTTCTGGATCGCACGGGTACTTGGTAGCTGGCTTTTCGAACGGGCAGACTTGGAAATTATCCGCTTGCATGTGTACGGCCTGAGCCATCAAGCTGGAGACAGCCTCGACCACGTGCCAGTTCACGCTGCCGTCGGGATGGAAAGGGCCATAGTCACAGTCAGGGCTAAACTTGCTCCAATCATATACCAGCTCTCTCGCTGACGACTTGGCTCCTGGCCTTTCCTGTGTTCTCTCACTTTCGGTGATTCCATGATATATATGAATCTGGCTCGCACACTCAGGCACTCTACGTTTGCTTGTTCTAGACCGCGTCATCGGGCCCCCGGAATGATCCTCGAAGGGCAGTGCAGAATCCCGATCAATCGTGAAATCGTTGAGGAAAAAGCTTGCCTTTGGCACTTGAAATATGTCTTCCAGGAACTCCAGGTTCCTGTCATAGGGATGTGGGCAGTAATCATTGAAGTACTTGTGATTGTGCCGCCCCGTCTCTAGAATGTCGAGGAGGGCGTGCATAACGTCCTCAAAACGATCTCTCTTCAATTCTATCGTCACGTCGTCGTCAAGTATGATTCGTCTTGCTTCAAGTCGACGCTCCAGTTCGCCATACCAGTCCCATTCCTCCTCGCGCTGCTTATTATTGGCCCTTGCTGTAGGCGTCAATCCTTGCCAAGCCCTTTGCGGATTCTCAAAGACGTTCAAGAATACCCTGCGCCACAGTGATTTGTTGCCTCGATCGAGGTGTCCTCGCGCCTGTTTACATGAGAGGCCAAAGTTTGAAATCTCCCCAGGCGATAGGTACGTCAAAATCTCGTGTATTAGCTCTGCCGGAAGCTCCAGCACTGACGATCTGCCTGGTTCCGTCATCAAATTTTTGGAACAGGGATGGATGTCACAGATCTTATCTCATTCAGAATTCCGGGATGTGCCTATTCATCAAATCCAAGAGGTGCCCCATGTGGATGAAGGTGTATGACGATGATTAATATTTACGGACGTTGATCCGAGTTGCACACTGGACCGAGCGTCCGGCCCGGACTTACCGGCTCTAATACACTTTACGGTCGGCACATGATATATGTTTAGGAGATGTGCAAATTATATAAGCTTCCATAAGATCATTAAAAATGATTAATAGAGTTAGATTATATAATATAGAGAGATAGATATATAAAATCTTTTTGATACTAGGCTATTTTAGTAATATATTATATAAGGGTAGAAGTCTAAGCTTATTTTAGTACTAAATAATTACCTTTATTTTTATTATACTCTACTATCTCTTAATCTTATATTTCTTGCAAAAACCTTCCCTAGCCTTTACTGTTACTTAGTAACAACCTATCGCGAAAAGACCACATAGCCCACTAAGTAAGAACTACGTCTAAGCGTTTAAGAAGCGTTACCTAGAGACTTCGTTAAGGAGGCTTAGAGCGCTAGTTTAGAATCGTTATAAGAAAAATCACTACGCAAAGACAGTTGCCTACGGACTGCCAACCTCACCAAATGGCCAGAGGGCCCTTGCCCGCTCTACACTAGCACCCGACTCCTTGATGCTCTCAGTCCATTCATTGAACAACCTCGTATTTTCTTCTTTTGCAGAAACCCATTTATCAGCAGGAACCCATCCATCCGAGTCTGCCTCCAGAACACGTTTAAGAAACAATTTCAGGTGTTGCGCGGTTTCAAAGTCTTCATACTGCTTCTTGTGTTCGGCTAGCTCATTTGGCGTTGGTTCGTACGGACAACGACCGGTAAGCCCAAGGGCAGTCCAATGCTGTGAGAGATCAATAAGTTCTTGTCGCAAAGCGGCAGCGCTATTCTTCCAGGACGCGTCGCAGTATTGGAACGGCCTGAGCAAAGTTTGATCCATGACCCTCGCGTCGTGGAGTTTTCGCACATAGCCCCGCAGCACAATTTCAAAAGTCTTCCTGCACGTCAAGACGTCCTTCTCTCTTCTTTTTCTTGCCATGTCTTCTGCATTGTCCACTATTACTTCTTCCTGAAATATTGTTTGAGATAATTTGCCTTCTGAAGGAATTAAATTTTTCAAAATTGCTATGTCGGCAGTAGCATCCTCGACTAGATCAGGTGTATCGTTTGCATAGATGAATGTTGGTTCTATACTGGTGGATTGCCAGTCGATAATTGCGGTAACGCATGACGGATCTTTCTCGGAGACGTAGATGTTTCGCTTGTGGATGTCGGGGTGAAATAATGATGGACCAGCTACATGTTGTATAATGGGGCTCTGAGTCAATTCCTGAATGACTCTGCTGGTAATGTCCAACAGACGGCGGTGCTCCTGGACAGAGCCGCGATACGAGAGCTCTGTTCGGTGTTCACCGTTGTTCGGTAAGCGTGAAAATCCAGCGTCGATTAAGCCAGAACAGTATGACGCGGCATCGCTCCCTGCAATGTTCAGTGCTTTGCTGGCCTCGTCTCGTGCGTGTGAGAAGAAATGAGCGACTTACAGGGTCCCTGGTTGGGCGCTCTTTCACCATAAAATCTAGATTCTCCAGCGTTGCAGTCCCAGTACTTTGCACCGCAATGTGGCCCTATGCAGTAGCCTTCCACAAAATCAAACTTCGACTCTGGATCGATAGGCGCGTTAGCAAAGTACAGACTTCCATATTGCGGAAATTGAAGCTTTGCCATTTCGTTTATCATGAAAGCTACATTCTTAACGCACAACATGTGTTGATGTGGAGTCATTGAAGGCCATGCCTTGTGTAGCTGAACTCCGCGAGCTTGCTCCATGATGATATACTCGGTGCCGATGGAGGTGTCATCGTCGGACCAGTCAAGGACTTTGGGGACAGGTATCTTCGTGGATGATCGTACTAGGAGCCGTCAACTGGGGGAGCCATGACAGCATTTGTTTGCCATACTATAAGTCATAGTCGCCACTTCGGAATTTGTGGTCAGTCGTCGTGGATCAGCAATACGATAGGGCACCCGTGCGACAACGCGAGCTCCATTATCCAAGGTCATGAGGAAAGCTCTATTAAAGCCTCCCTCTCTCTTCTCATATTGGACTACTTTTGTCGCGCCAGGACATACGTTCACAGCTTTTGCGCAGAGTGCAGCAAAGTCGAATCTCACGCAACGCGCTTCGCGGTGCAGCTTGTCATTGTTGAGCCAGCGGCCAGAAGTGTAAAGGTAGGGATCAGTCACTAAAGGCTGTATCAGGTCGTGTCAAGGTTCCAAAGGATGCGCCTTTACGATGGGATTGTTCGTATGCACACGGAGCAGCCGGACGCAAAGCTTTGCTTGCGTTTGCTACTGTCTCAGCTAGTGTGGGCTTGCTGTCAAGTACAAGCCGTCGTACTTGCCTGAGCATGGCAGCATAACAAGTGTAATGAAGAGGAGAGACATAAGTATTGAGGAGTTCTGTTGTTACTTCAAAGAGAAGAAAGCAAATGTCGGAGTGGCGTTCAGCCACAGCAGCACAGCCTCAACAGCGTGCATCCTCCAGAAGACTGCTGAGTAATTACACTCCTCTCACATCTACCCGAATATCTGTCTTGGCACGTTACAGACGAATGGCCATGGTATGTATATAGGAGGAGCGAAAAGAAGACCTCGTCCTCGGCACTACATATGCGCGAGATGCGTGCTGCTCGTGGAGAAATGCTCCAGAGCTTGACGGACGGCTCGCAAAGAGTCTGTGTATAGACGCGCCAGAAGAAACCTAAAGCTCATATTACATACTGCAGAGCAAAGACAGACGAGACTCCTCACATGCCGTCTACTGCCCTCGATACCTTGTCTTCGATCTCGTTCTGCAGGTCGTTATTGCGTTGCACACACTTGGCTAGATACTCTGTCCGGCCAGCCACAAACCGTCGAACGTCGAGCTCGGTCGCACGAACTTCGAGTGTAGGCAATCCGGCAAATTGGCTTTGAATGTCCGCGATAAATCGTGAAGTAAACATCAGGCGGGTATCCGATTTCACCTGTAGAGGTCTTGAAGTGTTGCTACAAGTTGTTCTCGAGAGCGCTCTTGGGTGGGTCATCCATCTATCGCATCAACAACAATAAATACAGTTGTGAACTCTGCTTAGACGAGCTGAAGAGTCTGGAGTATCTCTGCTGATGACGGCCTTGTTTTCTTTGCCGCGTGACGGCTGTAGAGTTCTTTTAAAGGGCTCGCGCTTTCTGCGCGGCTTTGTACAAGCTGCTTTATGATAGCTAACTCCTGTTCCATTATATCTATAAAAGAATAGATTTCATGTTATAGTAAAGATGTTCCTCCTACTCTAGTTCAGCATAGTGCCATGATGTATGAAACGATAAGACACATTAGCTCGCACTCTTCAGGGGAATGACGGTGAACAAAACTCTTTGGACTGATCTCTAATGTTGACAAGAACTCATAACCCTAGTATCAGCCACTCCTTCCCTTACTTTCACCAAACCGTCTTGCTCTCGACGCTGCCCATTCTGCCCGCTCAGACCTTGCTTCCGTTAGCTTGTCAACAAAATAAGCCGAGATTTTCATTTCAAAGAGCCGGTCCTTTAGACCTTTGAGAAAGAACGTATCACCTGTACCAGGACTAACGGCATATAGTGTATTCGGATTAGGTGTGTGCGTTTTGGCCCCTCTGCTTACGAGGAGGTGGTGTATTTTGACATACCCCATCACATCTGCGATGTGATAAGGGGTGAAGCCATTAATCAGCTTGGCTTCGACATTCGCTCCACTCTCTAGCAGCACTCACACAACTTCGTATTCGTTCTGAAAAACTGCAATGTGGAGTGCTGTAGCTCCGTCATGAGTCCGCAAATCAACCTCAGCGTCATGCTGTATGAGAGTGTAAGCAGCTTCAAGACTGCCACAGTCGGCTGCGAGCATCAGCGCAGTTCTGCCGAAGAAGTCTCTCTGTTTAACATCCATCCCTTTTCTCACAACATCGCTCAGTCTTGCGACGTGAACCGTGAACTGCTGCCCATTGAAGGAGACCTCTATGTTGGAAGTCCGTTGCGTTTGGATCAGCACCATGCTCAATCAACATGTCGACTATACCGAAGTTTCCTGCCTGTGCAGCGCGGAAAATTGGCGAATAGCGCTCTGTCTCGAACTTGCATCCGGCATTCTTCTCCAGTAACAACTTGACAACCCAAGGCCCTTTTGGTTTCAAGCGCATAGAACTAGACGGGCTGAACACAACGTCCTCAAGACCATGTTTAGTTTCTGACCTGCCCACCCAACGTCGTTCGTTGAACAGTGTTTTATGTCCTGCGGTGCGACTGCCTATTCACAGACCCTCGATTCGATTTTTCAGTGCGATTACAAGCTCCGAAGAGTCGAGGATCTCGCCATCTAGGGATTCGATGCAAACATCTTTAACCCTGAGCTCGCTCAGGCCCTGTATGCACGGATCGGAAAGGAAGTCTGCAATGTCTCTGTTGTCGAGGATCTCCGCTTCCATCCGGAGGACCAAGTGCTTCAACCGCTTGCATGCTTTCAGCAACATTATACAATTAGACGTATGTATGAATGGAAGCCGTAAATGGTGTACTTCGGCGGATTCAGGCTGGTCCTTCCACAAAGCAGCCAACGAGATGCGGGATTCCAACGGGAAAGATAAGGACTCGACGTTATCCCGGCCAATGTCGCCAATAGCCGTCAAAAACATCACTAGGTCGTCCATATCCTCGACGTGAAACGTTGTTTTGCGATACACATGAGGTAATACTTCGCGACGTAGAGACTTGTTGACTCTCAATAGGGCCATGTCACTCCACATTGGAAAGAAGAATCCACTAGGATCAGCGATGCCTCTGGTGAACGTCCCCTTAATGTCATCCGTACAGTTGGTTACCGTTCGAGACTCGGGGTCATCACAAACGAAACCGTATATAATGTCTCTAATCTCAGTGGGGAGTTTACAGAGTGTCGGTGGCGGATTGTCAGACCCCGGACGCGTCATCTAGGTAAAAAAGGCTCAGTACTGACCAAAACGATGAAGAGAGAAACCGCACCTGAGCAACTCTGCGCATCTCGTCTACCTCGCTTTGAGAGCAAAGTAGTCTAATGTTCATGCCAAATGTGAAAAGAATATTTACTTCGTACCGGTAGTATCCCAAGGAGTCGAAAGGGGCTACCTCTATGGCATGCGAACCAGCCATAGTAAGCTAAATTTTGTCAGCCGAGTACTGGCAATGCCTGATCATTGCTGACTTCTGTTTGGGGTTCCTTCACTCCATTGCATTCTGTAGAAACTATGGATGGCGTTGCGTGATGAGAAATGTACAAGTGCTCTTCGTACTCTCGATTGATTCTATCAGATCCATCATCAAATTGCATAAGATCAGAATAAAACCTCTCGTTGGCAAAGCTCGGCTTGCTAAACGAGGCTGAACTGTATCCAAGCGCACCCTCCATTACTTCAGGCTTCGGGAAGCCTTGTCTCTTCGCCATTATAAAATATGTATACAGCGAGACTGACGTCGGAAAACAAACCAATATTCTAGAGAAATGGCCAAAGATGAGATATAAATAGTTGATCATAACATGATGGAGACACATGTACTCATAAAAATTGGAACAATGTTTCAGTGATTCAATCTTGGCATCAAGTAGTTAGCGTCGTCGGATAAGCCAGGACCCGCCAATCAAATTGGGTGATCTGTGTGAGACCACAAAATTGTTTGCATAAGTAACAAAGGCATACCTCACAACTCTATGTTCATTGTCCTCTCTGAAAGTGTCCATGGACAAACATAGTTCCTTCTTTGCTCGTGCAAAAGACCAAGGACTCGTATGGGATGGAATCGCTTTCGCCCCTATTGCTGGACTCGGTAACGGTGTCAAAGCAACCCGGCCACTGAAGGTAACTTGCCTATCATCATGCAGTTGCTCATGTATTCTTGTACCGGGGACTTGCTGAATTGATTTTTATCAGACTGGAGATGTGGTATTAACGGTCCCGGCGTCGACCTTCCGTACACTTTCAACATTATCACCTCGAGTAGTCGAAGCTCTCCCCGATCATATGTCACTGCACGGCCGTCTAGCTGCCGATCTCTCCCTCGACAATACCCCTGAATTCGCACAATGGAGTGCCTTGTTTCCCAGTATATCCGACCTTGAAACAGCCCTTCCCTTCTTCTGGCCCAAAGCCATTCAGGAGCTGCTCCCAGCACCAGCCAAGGCCTCCTTGGAAGCGCAGACAAAGCGCCTCAACAGAGACAAAACACAAGTCGTTCGTGAGCTGCCGGATATACCACCGTCTACCTTCACGTACTACTGGATGGTAGTCAACTCCCGCTCCTTCTACCTCCCCACGCCCGAGATGCAAGCCCTGGACTTCATAGACCGCCTTGTGCTCATGCCAGTTGCCGACCTGTTCAACCACGCCGATGCCGGCTGCCGCACGACCTTTTCGCCCGATGGCTACCAGTTCGCCGCTGATCGGGATTACGCCGAGGGCGAGGAAGTCAAGATTTGCTATGGAGACCACACGAACGATTTTCTCTTGGTCGAGTACGGCTTTGTGCAACGGTTCAGTCGGTGGGATAAGGTGTTTCTAGACGACGTCATCCTACCGAAGCTTGATGTACACCGCAAGACGGTATTGAACCGCCGGAAGCTGCTTGGTAGTTACGAGATCGGACCAGAGATGCTTGGGTGCCCCCGGACACAAGCGGTGCTGCGACTATTGTTCTGTGGGAGAGGACAATGGGAGAAATTCGTAAGGGGAAACAGCGATGGTAAGGAGAGCCAGGCCGACGCTAATGCGTTGCTGGAGACTCTTTTGGCCGAGTATGAGGAGCTTGTGAATCAGCGTATCGAAACGATCGCAGGGGTTCATGATGGCTTAGAGGCTCAAAGACGTGTTCTCATGGATAGATGGAAACAGATCGAATTGGTTGTGTCACTCACTAGAGAAGCGCTAAGGGCGAAGATATAGCCCATGTATACTCAACCTGCCCTTGCATTCATCAGGATTTGGAAGACCCTACTCGTACTTAACTGCTCATGACCGTTAGCGTATTACTGTCACAGATGGTAATACTGCGATCCTCCAGCAAAGTATTCATTTTGGACAACCACGCCTCCAACGCCACGCCATAAGAACATCACATTTATTTTAATCTATACGCCCAATCCTCATACCACCCCAGTTTTCCCAACCAGAATCCCAGTTGGCTCCGCGTCCCGACCTCCCAGCTTCACCGTCACGGCGCTCTGCAACCCTATGGTTTCGAAGTTGATGGAATGTCCGTTGATCATATAAGGCGCATTCTGCTCGCCAGCGTCAGCAGGAGGAGCGCCCGTTGGCGAGGGGGCTTTCTCGCTTGTCGCAGGCGACATGACCGAGGGCTTGGATTCCATGGCGGGCTCCTTGACTGCTGAGGGAGTCTCTTTGGCAGACTCCACCATGATTGAAGAGGGTGTTTCCAGTGCCATGGATGGGCTCTTGACAGAGGACTCGACGACTGCTGAAGGTGTATAGACAGCCGAGTCCGCTGGGGTAGACAGCGTATGCATCATCATAGGTATACTGGACTTCATCATGGTCTCGTGAACCATCGGTGGCACAAGAGAAGACCCGACAGACACCACCGGCATAGAAGAATTTACAAACATATACGGTGCCGACGAAGGCGGACTATGCACAGTGAGCAGCGTCGAAGCTGGTGGCGGGGGCAGCATTTGCGAATAGTGGCTCGCGATGACAGGGGGTACGGGCGCTGGGTATGCGAATTGGCCGGGTGGACACATGCACTTGCAGTCACAAGAGTTGTGCATTGCTTGGGTTGGGACAGGGACTGGAGCGTATGCGACGGTGGATTCGGCGTTCACGATTGCGGCGGAGGAAGGAGCGAGTTCGAAGGATAATGGGGGACCGGACTGAAGATTCTGTGATTGTTAGTGTGATTTTGATTGAGTATTTTCGATTGAGGATGTGCACTTACTGCCGTGGCTTCGGGTGCGCCGGCCTCAGTGACAGTCACGACGTGAGTGATTGACTGGGTTGAGACGTAAGGGGAGCCCTCTTGCGTGACAGTCACTTGCAGTTCCTCAACGGAGGTTACCAAGACCTAAAAGTGTCAGAGAGCGGGTTTTCGTAGGTACGTTCATGCCTACAGTGTGTTCCATCACAATGGTTTGTTGGACAGTGTGCTCCATCAGTTGTGTGGAGACAAGTTGCTCAGTCTGAACAACTTCAATGGTCTCAGTGGCCTGGTCTTCCACTGTAACGGTATGTTGCTGAACCTCCGTCTGGATAACTTTGACAATTTCCGTGGCTTGGTCCTCGACCGTGACAGTCTGTTGTTGAAGATCAGTCACAATTTGCTGTTGAACCTCGGTCTGAACGAGAGTATGTTGCTGCACATCTGTAACTTTGATAGTCTGCTGTTGAACCTCAGTCTGTACTACATGCACTATCTCTGTCGCTTGGTCCTCAACGGTGATTGTATGTTGCTGGACTTCAGTTTGCACGACCTGGATGGTCTCGGTCGCTTGATCTTCGACCGTAATGGTATGCTGCTGTAGTTCAGTTTGTACAATCACTTCAGTCGCTTGGTCCTCGACGGTAATGGTTTGCTGCTGGATATCGGTGACCGTCTGCTGTTGAATTGAGATCTCAGTCTGAATGACATGGACTGTCTGCTGTTCAACATCCGTAACCTCAACTGTTTGCTGCTGCACTTCGGTCTGTACAACATGGATAGTCTCCTGCTGAAGCTCTGTTTCGACGGCGGTCACGGTCTGCTGTTGAACCTCGGTGGCCACGATGGTCTCTTGCTGAGTTTTGACATCGGTCTGAATTTGAACTTCTACCTGCAGCTCAGTTGAGACTTGGAGCTCGGTCTGGACGTGTACTTCTGTCTTGACATCGGTTTCAACGGAGAGCTGAATCTCTGTCTGTTTTTGAATTTCAGTCTTGACCTCAGTTTGCTTCTGAACTTCGGTCTGGACCTCGGTCTGGACTTGCAACTCGGTTTGCACCTGTGTCTGCACTTGCAGCTCAGTCTGAACAATCGTCTTCTCGATGAATTCAGGAACCTTCTCCGTTTGCACGTGGATTTTAGTCTCCAGGATAGTTTCAGGGATGATCTCAGTTTTATGGATAATCTGAGGGGGCGCGGTTTCCACAACTGTCTGGTGCATGACTTCGGTCTGGACGATGGTTTGCGGGACGACCTGGGTTTCCACCACGTGTTGGACTTGAGTCTCGACTACGTGCATTACTTCAGTCTGTACGATGGTTTCCGGCACTAGCTGCGTCTCGACGATGTGTTGGATCTGAGTTTCGACGACATGTTGCAGTTCGGTTTGGACGATGGTCTCTGGGACCATTTGTGTCTCGACCATGTGTTGCACTTGTGTCTCAACCATATGCTGGACTTTTGTCTCAACTACATGTTGGATCTCGGTCTGAATGACGGTCTCGTGTATCGTCTCTGGAGGAGATTGCTCAGTGACGGTATCATGCACTACCTCGGTGACATAGTAATAGACAGGGGGAGGCGGCGGTGGTGGAGGGTGGTAATATTCCTGTGATGGTTAGTGGAATCCAATTTGTCTCCAAGATTAGATCAACACACTGCCTATTGTTAGTGAAAGAGCACAATGTATAGTCAATTACAAGACGCGTACCAGGTGGAGATGCATAGTCATCAGTAGGTGCAGCAAGAGTCTGTCAAGCTGTTAGTATGGTCCCCTACGTGAGAAGCACTGCGTGTACAGACCAATGGAAGAGCAATGAGAAGCGCAACGGCGCCGCTTGGGAGTATAGACTTCATTATGGCTAAGAATTTTCGAGACGGCAACGAATAGAAGAAACAGTTAAATTAATATATCAGACCAGCTGCAAATGAATGAAAGCGAAGGTCGGCTGGCCGAATATTAGATTGCTTTGATGGTAAAGCTCAAAGGTCAAAGGAAAGCAAAGAACGAGCGAGAGGCATGTGAGATGCAAACCCAAACACTATAGGAGTGTAGCGGAGTACCAGACGATAAATACAAGACTGTAGGCGAAGATGTGCAGGCTTCAAGGGCAAAGTAGCCCCAGTCTCAGCCATCTCGGTGAGTGATTACAGAGGATTGTTTGCCGTGTATACGCGGGCCATGGTCATAATGGCAAAAGGTACAAATTCATGGGAGATCATGAGAGACACATGTCGCATTACTCTGGCACCTATACAATCTTAGCGACGTGCGACATAGACACGGTCTCAGACAGGTCTGATCTGGGGCCTCGCTGGTGTTGTGAGACGGCCAAGGTGTGAATAGCAAGGCCTTGTTACAGGACGCGTTTCGGCTGATGCCCACCCGAACGATGGCTTGGAGTCTTTTTGGATTGGCCCCTTCAGCTTTGCCAGGACGAAATAAGATGCATATTCCTAATATTCGCGACTGTTATGATGTCTCTAATGTGTTGACGTCGGAAATCCAACATTAGTGGCCATCCACGTGTTGGCATTGGATAGGGAGCGATACAGCCGATTGCTAGCGACCATCGGGGCCGTTTCCACGATCGATGTCGTCATGATGGCGCCGTCATCGTTCCTACAACTCATCGGCCTTTGCGGGCGCAGAACTCACCGCAGTGACCTCACGACTTTCGCTGATACACTTGTAAAGATACTATTTGAAGCCCGTAGAGCAGCTCCCCTGTCTTCAAACGCGCATTTTCAAAGACCTGACTGTAAGGCACAATAATTCTTAATCTGGTAATCAACATGGCGACCCCTGTCCACGTCCTCGATGACTACTATCTGGCCATCACACTTCTCATCACCGTCGCATACCAACTCATTGGCTTCTCCATTGCATTTAGCCTCAAATTCGACAAGCTCACTGATTTCATGGGCGGGACGAATTTCGTCATCCTCGCAATCATCACCCTTGCCTTTAGCGGCGTCCACCACGCGCGCAACATAGTATGCTCGCTCTTCATCATGCTCTGGGGCGCGCGCCTCTCCGGCTTTCTACTCTTCCGCATTCTCAAGACGGGCAAAGACGACCGTTTCGATGATAAGCGCGACAAATTCTTCCCGTTTCTCGGCTTCTGGATCTTCCAAATGTTGTGGGTGTGGACGGTCAGCCTGCCCGTGACGATTTTGAATTCGCCAAAGGTTACGCAGTACGCACAACCCGACTTTGGCACGGGGAGGGATATTGCGGGTGTGGTGTTTTGGGCCGTGGGCATGCTGTTGGAGAATACGGCGGATGTGCAGAAGTATCGGTTCCGGAGTAAGCACCAGGGTGATGGGTCGGTGTGCGATGTTGGCGTGTTCAGCTGGTCGAGACATCCAAATTACTTCGGCGAGATGCTGATTCAGTTTGGTATGTCGAATCTCATGGGAACTCCATGTTTGCTTTACTGACCATCCGTAGGTATTTTCATGATCGCCGTATCGCCCGCAGCGATCGGCTACGTGCATGGCGGCGCCTACAAAGCCCTCTACGCGTCCATTCTCGGTCCATTTTTCTTGACCCTTCTACTCATGTTTGTATCCGGCCTAACACTCCAAGAGCGTCCTGGAGCCAAGAAGCGATACGAGAAAGGCAACAACTGGGAGGCCTATGCACGATGGCTTCACCGAACCAGCATTCTGATTCCTTTTCCGCCGCAATTTTACGCACCAATGCCCGTCTTTCTGAAGCGCACCATTTTCCTCGAATTTCCAATTTATGTTTTTGATCCCGCCAAACATGCCGACTCGAGCAAGACACAGTCAAACGCGGAAAATGGCAGTGTGCGGCAGAATGATAATGCTGATGGGGCGAGGCCGAGTGATGAGCGAGGTCTCCGAGCTTGATCGGTCGAAATGCGAGCACTTCGATTGTCACACGTTCGATAGTCAATAGGATTTGCGCGAGGTATAGATTTGACGTTTGTGTTTCTATTTTTATTCAGCGACGGTGTTTCAGGTCTCACTCGGGAATTCGACTTGTCACGAGATATCCGTGTACTATTATTATTACGGAAGGATTATACCAGCTATGCTCTGCCAGCAATGAACTTCGCGCAAACAACATTATTGATTTGGTTGATAACACGGCATATAGCTCACCATGTAAGTCATGGATCAACAGTCTAGTCATTCGACGGCTGTCCTTGGATCTAATATACCACGACGCCTGATGTTCTTGTGCGCGAGACGGAGGCTTTGGCCAAAACCATATCGGAGTCGACAAGAAGCCAACGATTTCTAAACTTGTGTAAATGCCATCCAGCGAAGGCCGCCAGTTGCCTATGGAGTCTGTTTGATTTGGTTCATACTCGGCTCTTTCCACTTATTTTTCAAGGGGTTCTTGAAGCGTGCGCGACAGACTACGTCCTCGATGAGATCGGACCGGCACTGATGTGGTTGGCGCCCTTTCGTAGAAGCTGCGTCTAATATTTCTCTGTACCCCCTACTCGGCATTGATTCATGGGTCTTCAGATACGCCACTCCACGCTCACACGCGTTTGACGATGACGCATGTGATATCGAATCAGGAACATGGCAGCATCGGCACCATACGTTGTTTTTTATGGACCCCAGATGCGAATTTCAAGAGTCGGCTTCTCCTTCCTGACGTTCTGGCTGGATCGGCATCGCTTCCAATCGAGCTTGCTTCTCACGTCGTTTCTTTTCACGTTTTGAGATCGGATTATCTGTACTTCCAGAATCTGCATCAACTTTTCGCTTGTTGTTCTGCTGCTGTTTCGAACCTTTCGAGACCAATGGCAAAGTAGTCTGCGGTTTTGGCCTCTCCCCTCCATAAACCACATTCACGGCACCACGATAGCTGTTCCGTTTCAGTTGAGCAAAAGCTACAAGATTTCTGGACTCAGTAGATAGGGCTTCTTTGCCTCTTTCTTGACTCAAGCCCCAAACAGTGGTAAGGTTTATGACGTCCCACGGAGCCCGACAGCCTAGCGCATTAGTCGCGCCACTGCTAATGATGATACCTCTGCCTCTTGTCGCGCGTATAAGCTGGATTACATTGCTAATGACGTTCCTTCGTGCAAGACTGTCCTTCGCAAGGATGCTTGGTCCGTAACAAATCTCAATGCGCGCTCCTCGCTCTATGGCTTGGGATAGCATTTTGAATTTGAAATAGTACGACAGTCGCTGTGTCATGTCGATCGACACGATATCGCAGTCAGCGCTTTCACAAGCCTGTTTTAGCGTCTTTTCATCCGTAGGCCTAAGGGCAAGGATATCGTAATTGGCACTCAGTGTGCTTATGCGGTGATTTTGTGAGGGGTCATGTAGCGTGAGTGTACAACGGCGCAAGATACGCATCGATGGTGGTACAGGAAAGTCGGGCGTCTGGGGTATGGGACAGGTCTAGTTGAGTCAGAAAATGACTGACGCGCGGTGAAGTAGGATACCAACTAGATCACCAGGAAGCTTGCCAGAAAGCGTGTGATTGAGAGCAACGACATTATATCCTACTTCACATAATTAGAATTTTGGCCCATGATTTTTCAAAGCATCCCCTCACATTCGTCGAGAAAAGCAATTGTACGTTGTAGCTCGCGGTCCTGTGCGGCCCAGGGTACATTGAGATCGTAGAACATCTTGTGCAGCTCTTATCGTGACTTTGTCACTGTGGCAATACTAATATTGGCATTTTGGCAAGTGGAATAGAAAAGTGACCCGAACAGTGAAACCACGAGTTGTATATCGTAGCTTTAGGGCGGTGGTTGACATCTACCCGCGCGCCTGCCCGGCGCCGGTAGCCTGGTAGTTTAGTCATCACTTAGCGCGCAAATCGGTCTGTAGGGGTACCGGCGAAAGCATCCATCCCACTTCACTTCATTGCTGCGTTCTGTGCTGTCTGGCCCGTAATCCCCAACAGTCTGGCGATTGTGGTCGTCTAAAGTCATATACAGACGAGCATCTCTCTATCGGTAGGTCATCCATCCATCAGATATCTAGCGAATGCCACAACTGACACACTGAACAGCATCAACGGCAGCCCTTACGCGGCGATTGCCTAGGATGGCGCGTGTCTATGCGGATGTCAACGCAAACATGCCGCGGTCCTATTGGGACTACGATAGCGTCAATATCTCATGGGGTGTGCTTGAAAACTACGAAGTCGTGCGCAAGATCGGTATGTTGTCGTCTCTCACATGCGTCCGACGCGGGGCTGATTCGAGATCACAGGGCGGGGCAAGTACTCGGAGGTCTTCGAAGGCATCAATGTGGTGAACTACCAGAAATGCGTGATCAAAGTGTTGAAGCCTGTCAAGAAGAAGAAGATAAAGCGAGAGATCAAGATATTGCAGAATCTCTCTGGTGGACCAAACATAGTCGCACTCCTCGACGTAGTGCGCGACAATCAAGTCAGCCCTCAATCTCCTTGTATTTCTGTATCGCCTGCATATTGTCATTTTTATCCGCATCAGAGATTTAACGATTGGACCGAACAGAGCAAAACGCCGTCCTTGATATTCGAATACGTCAACAACACCGACTTCCGCGCCCTCTACCCCAAATTTGTGGACTATGATGTGCGATATTACATCTTCGAGCTGCTCAAAGCTTTAGACTACTGTCACTCCAAGGGAATAATGCACAGGGACGTCAAACCACATAACGTCATGATTGATCACGAAAAAAGAAAGCTGCGCCTGATCGATTGGGGTCTAGCTGAGTTCTACCATGCCGGGACGGAGTACAACGTTCGTGTTGCGTCAAGATATTTCAAGGGCCCGGAGCTATTGGTTGACTTCCAAGAATACGATTATTCGCTAGATATGTGGTCCTTAGGAGCCATGTTTGCCTCGATGATATTCCGAAAAGAACCATTCTTCCACGGTAACAGCAACTCTGACCAGCTGGTAAAGATTGCAAAGGTGCTTGGCACAGAGGATCTTTTTGATTATCTTGACAAGTATGATATCGAGCTCGACGCTCAGTATGATGATATCCTCGGAAGATTTCCAAAGAAGAGCTGGCATTCGTTCATCAATGCAGACAATCAGAGATTCGTCAGCAATGACGCTATCGACTTTCTAGACAAGCTCTTAAGATATGATCACCAGGTCTGTACAAACATGTTCTGCTGAGAAGATGATGACTGACCACGTTTCAGGAACGTCTGACTGCCGAGGAAGCAATGGCACACCCGTATTTCAGTCCCGTCAAGCAGAATGCAGCCCAGTCGCAAAACCATACTGTTGCGTCTTCATGAATTTGATTCACATCATTACCGCAACTATTGTCGAGACGTCACAAGTTGCAGTCAGGCCGACGAAATTTAGTGCTTTTTGCCACGGTATCGCCAATAGCGGTCAGCCTGGAAGCGCTCGAACGTGTGGTGGACGTCCTGACAGCATTCACATTGATTGCCTGTGGAATACGGGCACATTATATTTGGGCGAAGAGGAATCATTAGCGATCTCATCAATGGGAATAGCCGCGTTTGTGATCGCATTGGACTACGACAGCTTGTCATGGATAGACGATCTTCAACCTGTACATTGTACATAGTAATACCCACCGTCCAATAGACGGACCATCGGAAAGCCCACTCGCAGCTCTTGCTCTCTCTGCTTGTTTGCTGAGAATGACTGATACCACGTGAAATGACTCTTCTAGTTTATGACTGACTAGAACGACAATGAATGACTCTTTTAGTTCATGACTGTAACCATCTAGATGTGAAGGCAGTTTCTGCTATGTATGACCCTTGGACTGCCGACCGGGAGGGCTCCAGTCGTACTAGCGTGCTTATGTAAGGGCAAAGCTCTCGGTCTGAGTGACTCAATTGGCGGGGGTTATGTTAGTTATAAGCAGAGAGCTCCTCTATATATTTTAATGATTTCGCGCCTGCTATTTGCGCGTACATTAAGAACTCCACGGTCATCAATCTATTTTGGCAGGATGGCGCTCAATGCTGGTTCTCACAACATAGGTTAGCATATATGTGTGGTCGAATTCGCCCTATTAACTTCTAAATAGCGGGCGAGGAGACTGGCCCTGTAACTGGGCAACCCCCGCCACTCTCGAATGAAACGAAAAGTGAGATACTTCACTCTTCAACGCAAGATGCTACCGGCCAGAATGCCCCAGGTCGCGACGGTGGAGATGCAAACGCCGAGAAGAAAGTAAAGTCTGCGAAAGAGCTAGAAAAAGAACGCAAGAAAGCGGAGAAGGATGCGAAGTTTAGAGAGAAGCAGAAGAAACAACAAGAGCAGGCTACTGCAAGCTCAAAAGCGAAGAAGAAGTCTGACACAAAGAAGGAGGCCTTACCAGAATACGTAGAAGAGACTCCCAAGGGTCAGAAGAAAATTTTGAAGCCTCTAGATGACGAATGGCACAAGGCATATCACCCCAAAGTTGTTGAGTCTGCATGGTACGACTGGTGGGAGGCAGAAGGCTTCTTCAAGCCGCAGTTCACACCAGAAGGGGACGTCAAGCCCGCAGGTCACTTCGTGATTCCCATACCACCTCCCAACGTTACGGGAGCATTGCATTGCGGACACGCTCTCGCTACTGCGCTCCAAGACACCCTTATACGATGGCATCGGATGAAGGGGTTCACCGTCCTGTACCTTCCGGGATGCGATCATGCTGGTATATCAACACAGTCCGTGGTGGAAAAGATGCTTTGGAGACGGGAGAAGAAAACACGTCATGATCTGGGCCGACAGGAGTTCACAAAAGTCGTATGGGATTGGAAAGATGAGTATCATCAGAAGCTCGTGGCTGTATTGAAGCGACTTGGTGGATCGATGGACTGGTCAAGGGAGGCCTTCACTATGGACGCCAATCTTTCAAAGGCAGTTACAGAGACATTCGTCAGATTACACGAAGAGGGATATATCTATCGGTCCAACCGCCTGGTGAGCTGGTGTACTCAACTTAATACGGCCCTTAGCAACATTGAAGTTCAAAACAAAGAGATCACGGGACGCACCAAGATCTCCGTGCCCGGGTACGACAAGATGATTGAATTTGGAGTGCTCACATATTTCAAATATCCAATCGAAGGTGAAGAGGCCATTACTGTGGCCACGACCCGGCCCGAAACCATGCTTGGAGACTCCGGTATTGCCGTGCATCCGGACGACGAGCGTTATAAACACTTAATTGGAAAGAAAGCAAAACATCCATTCGTAGACCGAGAGCTGCCAATCGTAGCAGACACTTATGTTGAGAAGGATTTCGGTACCGGCGCGGTAAAGCTGACCCCAGCACATGACCAGAACGATTTCGAGCTTGGTAAACGCCATAATCTCGCTTTTATCAACATTCTTAACGACGATGGTACTCTTAATCAGAATGGTGGCAAATTTGCGGGACAAAAGCGTTTCGATGTACGCTATACTGTCGTCAAAGAACTAACAGACCTTGGCCTGTTCGTAAAACAAGAGGACAACCCAATGAAGATTCCCCTCTGTGAGAAATCGAAAGATGTTATTGAGCCATTGATCAAGCCGCAATGGTGGATGAAAATGGGAGAACTTGCGGAGGAGGCTGTCAAGGTGGTGAAGGCCGGTGAGATCAAGATTCGACCTCAAAAATCAGAAGACGAATACTACCGCTGGATGAGCAAGGTCAATGACTGGTGTCTCTCGCGTCAATTGTGGTGGGGCCATCAAGCACCTGCATATTTTGTAAAGATTGACGGCCACGATCTACAGAAGGACAATGCAGATGGTGAATATTGGGTCACAGGCCGCACAGAAGAAGATGCCCAACAAAAGGCTACGAAGAAGTTTCCAGGACAGAAATTCAGTCTCGAAAGGGACCCCGACGTCTTGGACACATGGTTCTCATCTGGACTATGGCCATTTTCAACATTAGGCTGGCCTGACAAGACCCACGACTTTGAAAAACTTTTCCCTACTTCTGTTCTAGAGACAGGTTGGGACATCCTGTTCTTCTGGGTCGTCCGCATGATATTCCTTTCTCTAAAGCTTACCGGAAAAGTGCCTTTTAGCGAGGTATATTGTCATTCACTTATCCGCGACTCAGATGGCCGTAAGATGTCTAAATCTCTGGGTAATGTCATAGATCCGATCGATATTCTAGAGGGAATCACACTACCGGACCTCCATGCCAAGTTGCACGTTGGCAATCTAGACCCGAAGGAGGTGAAGAACGCCGAGAGATACCAGAAGGCTGCTTTTCCTCAGGGCATGCCTGAGTGTGGTGCTGACGCGCTTCGATTCTCACTGATTCAATATACTACTGGTGGTGGTGATATTGCTTTCGATATCAAAGTAATGCATGCGCACCGTAGATTCTGTAACAAGGTATACCAAGCAACGAAATATGTATTGGGGTCACTTGGCGCAGGTTACCAGCCGCAGAAGTCTAGCGCCTTGTCTGGAAATGAGTCTATGGGTGAAAAGTGGATTTTACATAAGCTCAGCATTGCTTCAAAGGACATCGATAAAGCGTTGACCAATCGCGAATTCTCCAGAGCGACAATCATCGCTCACAAGTATTTCTATGATAACTTGTGCGATATCTTCATCGTAAGTATTAGCTCTCTTATTGACGTAGGGCAGCCAGCTGACAGATTAGGAAATCTCAAAACCTGCTTTGAAGGAGGGCTCTTCCGAAGAGCAGGCATCGACAAAAGCAACACTATACACGGCACTAGAAGGTGGATTGACGATGCTGCACCCATTCATACCGTTCGTAACAGAGGAACTTTGGTGAGTAGATCTAGTCTTCGAGTAGTGCATTTGGAATTAACAAGTCAGGCAACGTCTTCCCCGTCGCCCAGACGATTCAACACCTTCGATTTGTCTTGCAGCATACCCACAATACGTTTCAGAGTTCGATGATTCTGTGTCGGAGGCCCGCTTCCAACTGGCCTTGGATGTCAAGCTTGGAATCACGAACCTCATCAATGATTTCAAGCCGGAGAACGCCAAGAGTACGTGGCTTATACTATTTGTTTGGGACCACACTAACACTCGTCTCAGTCCTGATCCAGGCATTCGACCAGGATTCTGAACAGATTCTTGCAGCAGGTCTCTCCGAAATCAAGCGTTTGTCGCAGTATCTCAAGACCTCGTCCATCGAGATCTTGCCATCTTCGCAGCCGATGCCCAAAGGATACGGTGTAACAGTCGTGTCGCCAACTGTAGCTGTCTACGCAGAAATACAAGATCTCGACATCGAGTCACAGGTAAAGAACGCAACAGAGGCCATGAGCAAGGCTACCGACGGCGTCAAGGAACAGCGCAAAGTCTTGGACGAGCCCGAGTTCGCGGAGAAGTCAAGTAAAGACGCGCAAATCCTTGAGCAGAAGAAGTACGATGATTTCCTCGCGGAACAGAAAACTTGGGAGCATATCATTGAACAGTTTCACACAATGAAGCTATAAAAGTAAAAAGGGGTATCAAGTATTTGTGGGATTACTAACGTGCTGCATGCTAAATGATCGAATATGATTGGGTGTGATGATGATGGATAGCTTGTGTGGCACGCATCTTCGCTTGAAATAGATAGCTGTTATGTCCCTATAAATGCTGCAATCAAGTTTCCGTTATACGTCTCGGACTCCCTATTGTCGCATTTGCATCGCCATCAACACACAACGACGGAACACAAGTAGTGAGTGTTTATGGAACGGCACGGTATGCATGCCCTCAAAGCCAACGGGATACGATAGCCGCAATACTACCCCCAGAGAAGAAATTCGCTTGCAATCACCTCGGGCATGGCGGGTGGAGATAGTGAATGATCCATTGGAAGGATGCACACCATGGCTTGGCTTGGCTAACATGACGTAACACCACAGCTATCACTGTCCCGGTTTCGACTATAGGTACTCGAGCGCATCCAGGAGCTTCGTGTCTCATAGAAGACATAGGCTCTCATAGGCTCTTCTGTGCAGACATTCTCTCTCATCAGCACGCCAACAAGAAGTAATCTCAGCGACCTCCCGTTCACAGTATTTAGGAGTTTCCCGCGCTCAAAACCCTGGTAAGCCTTGCGAGACCCACTCAGGCCCAACGGAGATAAGCAGATAGCTACAAGTATGCTGAACCGTGCTGTCTTCTGCATCATGTGTGTCAAAGAAGTCGTTTTCTTCTCTCATATATTCTCCTAGAGAGATTGTTCTTCTAAGCATCGTAGCAATTGAGGCTGATTTTGCAGCAGGGTAGGCTAGTTCGCGAGGCTACTATCATCGTGAGTCCGAAGAGAGCTCCCAGCTCGGAGGAACGAATTGCTCACGCTGAGTACCATAGGAATCATCATGCCGCTTTCATTGCCTACCTTCAGTTCTCTCCAGAATGTCTACTCGAGAGCATCTCCCCTCACACAAAATACAACAACAGCGATGCCACCCCAAAGGACTCCGTACCAAGCGCGACAAGAGCTCTACGGCGCTCTAAGCGTTGCCGACGATGCCAAAGCCAAAGCAACGCAGGCTTCTGATATCGCCCAGCAGAAAGTCGAGAAAGCTAGTAGTGCTGCACAGGCCAAGGTTGGAAAGATTGAGATGTACAGTTCTAAGTTCTATGCCACATGCACACTGGGTGGTCTCATGGCTTGTGTATGCTCTTGCGTGTGGTTTATGTTGAGGCAAGCTAATATGCCATAGGGTCTTACACATGCGGCAGTCACACCACTGGATTTGGTGAAATGTCGTCGTCAAGTAGATTCTAAGATGTACAAAGGTAACTTTGAGGCTTGGGGCAAGATCTCGCGTGCTGAGGGTGTACGGGGTATCTTCACTGGTGCCGGGCCTACTCTTGTTGGATACTCGGTAAGAAGGGACCATCTCAAGCCAGTCTCGGCATGAGCTGATTCGATATAGTTCCAAGGTGCCTTCAAGTATGGAGGATACGAGTTCTTCAAGAAGTACTACTCCGATCTGGTCGGCGAGGAGAATGCAGTCAAATACAAGAGCGCAGTCTACCTTGCTGGCAGTGCCTCTGCCGAGTTCTTCGCCGACATCGCTCTATGTCCATTCGAGGCCGTAAAGGTCCGCATGCAAACCACCATTCCACCATTTGCGAACGGCACTATACCTGGTCTGACCAAGATCATCAGCGAGGAGGGTGTCGGGGGATTGTACAAGGGCATTACGCCTCTCTGGGGCAGACAGATTCCATACACCATGATGAAGTTCTTTTCATTTGAGAAGACTGTTGAAGCAATTTATGACTACTTGCCGGGGAGTAAGAACGACTACAGTGGAGCGGCGCAAACGGGTGTGTCGTTCCTTGGGGGCTACATTGCTGGTATTGCGTGTGCGATTGTCAGTCACCCGGCAGACGTGATGGTGTCGAAGTTGAATGCGGACCGCAAGGCAGGCGAGGGTTTCGGCGCTGCTGTGGGACGCATCTACAAGAATATCGGCTTTGGCGGCCTGTGGAACGGTCTGCCCGTCCGTATCGTGAGTCTACACAGCACAGCTGCTCAACTGGAAGGCCACTACTAAAAACCGACCTAGGTCATGATTGGAACTTTGACTGGAGCGCAGTGGCTTCTCTACGATTCGTTCAAGGTAAGCCACTCTGATCCGTTGGCGTGTGAATGTAGGCTAACACTGCGGACAGATGTTTATGGGTTTACCAACGACTGGAGGTGCACAGGAACAAGAGAAGAAATGAGATATGCATGTCCGGAAAGGACTTTACGCAGAGATGTCTTGCTTGTGTCGTATTGTAGAATAGATGCCATTCCCGTACTTGAGGATGGTCGTCAACCATATCATTCCCTTTTCCTACTTTAAGCCGGAACATTCCCAGGATTCTATCGCTCTATCGTACACTCACAACCATACACACATCCGCAACACGAACAGTAAGCATCCACGAATAAGCCAATCTATTCCAAGTGGGCCCTAAGCCATTGGTTCCCGCCGCCGCTCGCGTGGGTTGGTAGCCATGTCCCCGTATCTCTCAGCCACACATGTTAGTAGTAGGCATGGCTACGGGCAAAAGTGTGTCAGACGAATTAGAGTGGAGTGGCTTATCTCGGCCACTTTTCGTGATAAAGTTCTTTTCGAGTACAGATGATTATGTTATGATACAGTTTTATCTGAAAAATGTGAGAGTTGTCTTGGGGAATGTATATGTTATTGTGTGAGGGGATCCATGTGTTGAATGGTTATTTGAGTACTAGGTTGTACATGCTGCTTTGTTACGTCATTTGAACCACTTCTCTAGACAGGGGATAAATTGCGATTTGCGAGTACGGTTGCATCCCTCTCATGGGATATACGAACTGTCAACCAACTGTGTGTTGCGCCGCCACAGTCGCCGCCGGCCTGTGATTAGGTATCATCCCACGTGAACCCTTGCGTCATTTACTGTCTGTTTATTTATTCCTCTGGCCCTGCACGTCTGCGCTGGTGACCGGGATAGAGCTGCAAACACTTACTGCCACGCCTTTGAGCCTCTTGTCTGCTGCAGCAAAAGAAAGAAAATAAACATTATGCCGACTGACCCTCTTGTATCGACCGGCCGTGGCGGAGGTGCGTTTTGTGCTCGTGCTAAGAGGCGTCTAGCTGATGCTAATGGTGGGAATATAGCTGGCAATATCGGGAAGTCGGATGGCACAGAGTACGCAGATGGTTCGATTGTCCGCGAGAACATCAGCGATACTATTACCGAGCCTCATTCTGGCGGCGTATGTGGTTCTTCCCTTGAGTATTTGTACAATCCTAACGCTGCACAGAGAGGCGGCTTCGGAAACATACACGTAGGCAGATATCCCACCCACGACGAGAGCGACATATACATACACTAGACGCTGACAATGCAAAGACCCCGACCAAAGGCACGCCCAAGCTAGGCGCAACACAGCGAGATGACGCGGAGATAGTGCCGGAGACAGCACTCAAGCACGGAGAATACGAAAACTATCATACGGGGGTGAGTTCTCCGGACTACACAGCTTCAGAATCATGTATTAATGCAGACTTCAGCGTGGTGGAGAAGGTATAGACCATACATCCGACGAGCTCGAGTGACTCTCCCAGAATGCTGATTGTGCGATAGGCAACGTACACAAGGAGAAATACGGCGGACATAGTCAGGCTCAGAAGGAGCACAAGACGACGGAGGAGGGCAAGTCGAGCATTGCGGACAAGGTCAAGCACGCGCTGCACTTGGACAAGGACAAGAAGTCTGGAGCATGAGTGTGCGGGTGTAGTTTGTTGATACTGTCATCTGGAAGGGAGTATTCATTTGCGGACTGTCATTAGGGAGATACCAGGACGGGATAATAGGATGCGTGTTGTTGATTTCCATACTTGACACCGTGCTTCACGAGAGATGCTTCAAGGACGGGGTGCAGAGACCCGGATTACGGAACAGTGGTTTCATGAGAGTATGTGTTATGAGGAAAAAGAGGATGGCGATGTGGATGTATGTGTTGATGTGTTGATACACCCCGCCATCAATGATCCATCAATCATCAGTCCACACTCGCGCACGGTCCTCACTTGCTCCTCAGTGGAGGCATGACGGAATTGCCAAGCAGTCCCAATCCGGTAAGGCCGGCAATGAGGCATCAAAAGTTTACAATTCTCTGGACAAATTCATAACCACTCCAGACACAACCTCTTTGTTCCTTTTTCTTTTTGGTCCTCTACACAATCCACCATGGCATCTGCTGAGCAATCGCGCATCGAGAATGACCATCTCGTTCTCTCCAGCGACCCCGACCACCCCGCAAACCTGATCTGTACCCTATGCGCCAAATTCTACACACTCGGCTGGGTGAGCAATTATACCGGCGCAACGGCAAGAAACTCATAGTAGACACCAGGTGACTGGCACCGGCGGCGGCTGCAGCATCCGACACAACCAGCACATCTTCGTCGCGCCCTCAGGCGTCCAGAAGGAGCTCCTCAAGCCCACCGACATGTTCGTCATGGACGCCAACACAAACACATACCTTCGCACCCCGCAAGTACGCTGGTCCAACTACGACATCCCCTATGCAATTGTCCGTCCCACGCCTCCCTCTCGCCCACGTTACTGATATGTACCCCGCCTCTGTGGCGGGAAAACTAGGCCCTGAAACCGTCGCAATGCACGCCGTTGTTCCTGGCAGCGTTCAACCGCGGGGCCGGATGTACAATCCACTCACATTCGCAGTGGGCGGTGCTGGTGACGCTGATTGTGGAGCGGGAGTTTGGGAAAGAGGCGTGTTTTGAGATTGAAGAGATTGAGCAGATCAAGGGCGTGCCCAAGGGCCGGGGCAAGCAGGGGAACTTGGGATATTTCGATCGCCTGAGGATTCCGATCATCGAAAATACCGCGCAGTATGTTCGAGAGATACATGATAAGGGATGAGGGGAAGAGTGGAGAGATGTGGCTGCTGACCAGTGTGTGCACAGGGAGGAGGATCTCACGGGTGCGCTGGAGGAGGCCATGGACGCCTATCCAGACACGTACGCGGTCTTGGTTAGGAGGCACGGAATGTGAGAAGCTCCCTTTGCTTTGCGGAGACTCGATCTGAACACCGTTTGACTGAAATAAATAAACAGCTACGTATGGGGCGACAACGTCCACAAAGCGAAGACTCTCTGCGAAAGCCTCGACTACCTCTTCCAGCTCGCGGTGGAGATGAAGAAGATGGGCCTGCCCTGGATAAAGTAAGCGTTTTCTATTAGCACACTCGCACTCAACTGCGAGTGTGCCGTTTGGTTCCATTGGCTCCGCGGTCTCATTGAATGTTTCTCCAGGCTGGGCCTTTTTGACAAGCTGATCTATGCCATCCGGAATGACTAGGCGAGTGGCGTATGGAGGGAGAGGTTTGTTTGCACCGGGTGCATTGCTTGTGACTTGGGTTGATATGGACGGTGCGAGAGAAAGAGTTGTTTTGAGTCCTGCATATTCAGCGCTGCATACCGACCTGCTGCGTTCAACACACGAGCGTTATCCATTAGTTTTGGGAACGGCGCAAAGTCTTGCTTGCTCGCTATATATGTGCCATGTGTGTTGAAATCACCACTCGGAGTGTCCAGGACCCGTGAGAAGAACATGGATCTATACCATCATCCACTTTCATATCCACAGAACGCAGCAATCACGCCCACTCTCTCTCTCTCTCTCTCCAGGAAGATCACAGTCTCTCAGACTAGTTGAACTATTAGCAGCAATTAGCGCAATAATACATCCATGGATGTCCCCGCGCCAAATCCCTGACCCCATATTTGCTACATGACATGACAGGAGCAGGCACGTATCAAAAACACCACATATGCACATGCACGTGCACATCTCCCCCTCCCGCTTCATCACACAATATCTCGCACATGAACCTCGGTTCGCATGCCACCATCACACAGCGGCGTGACGACGGAGCGGAGCCGTGTAAGCAGGAGGGGAAAGGTGGAGGGGGCCAAAAGTATGTTAGTTGGTTTGTTACTGTAGTTACGTCCGGGGGGAGTGGTTAGTTGGGCTTGGTTGCATATATATATATACATATATTCAGTATACGTGTGCGTGCGTGTGCAGATAAGAGAAGGTTGGTGATATGTTGGCTGGAGGAGGTTGTCGCTGTGATAGTGATGGTATTCCCCAGTGTGTCGTGCTGACGGGGAAGAATAGAAATGAGTGAGAGGAGTGAGGGGGCGTTCGTACTAGACGGGAGTTTAATGGATCCATCGACCCACAGTAGTAGTGGTGGTGGAGTGCAGTAGTTTAGTAGGAATAAGTAGTGCGTAGCGAGAATATATATAAATACATATAAAGATACTGTATATATATAACAGGGATTGATACTGCATATCGATTATAACCCATACCCACACATACATACATACGTACATCCAGCCGGCCTTCCCACCAACTTGCCTCCAGCCAGTCGTCTTCTCTCTCTCGCTCGTATATACGATCACCATCCTCGCTCTTCAACCTTGATAGAGACAGCATCCGGTCGAGCCCTTTTGCGCCGTCGATCTTGAGAGATTTGTACTTGCTCAATCTACCTAAGGTGCTTTCGCCGCATACGTAGCCAGCGTCTCATATATCCTTTGCCCTTGCTCTCACCCTTGTCGCATCCCATTGCGTGGCATTGTAACTGCATATACCTACCTATTCATTCCCCTCGGACTATTACCCGCTACAATACAACATCATGGCCGCCCCACCGTCCATCACCATGGATAACCTCACGGGGACCTACGTCATGGTACGTTACAAGACCACCACACCACCAATCTCTCCAACTAACAAGCCCCGACACAGGAACGCAAAGTCTCCGACGCACCCGACGCCATCCTCGCCTTCCAAGGCATGTCCTGGCTGACCCGCCAGGCCATCTCCTGGGCGACCATCACGCTGCACGTGCGCCACACCAAAGACAGCGCCACGGGCGCCGACCACATCGACATAGTGCAGAAGCTGACAGGCGGCTTCGAAGGCACGCGCGAGCAGCGCATCGTCGACGGCACGGTGCGCACCCACGAGGACCACGTGTTTGGCAAGGTGCACGGCAAGAGCACGTGGGTTGCGCGGCTCGCGGACGTGGGCAGCGAGCGGCGCGACGCAAGCTATCTGAGCGACGAGGACAGGGCGTTCTTGGTCGAGGGCTGGGGCGCGGAGATGGAGGGGAGTGAGCGGGTGTTTTTGGGCTATGTGGAGGCGGAGAGTGGGTGGGTTGCTTGGAGCGTGTGGGGGTTCAAGGAGGTTGAGATTGAGGGTGTGAGCGAGCGGCGGTGGGCGCGCCATCATGTTGTTGTGAAGCCGGCGACGGGCGAGAGTAAGCGGGCGCGCATGTATTATGATTATCTGGGCCCGCTTGAGGAGGGTGAGGTGGAGAAGCCGGCGCAGGACGATGGGATCAGTGATGTTTGAGGGGGTTGGTGGTGAGGGCATCGATGGAGAGACAGAGAGAGAGTCATGGAGAGATGGATGTATGTATACCCATTTGGTAGAAGATAGACGGACGCGTACGAGCAAGATAGTGCTTGAATTGAAATGAACAACCTGGTTTCCTCTCTGTACTATTATCGTCTCTTTTCTTGTGTCTGTCATGAGGGAAGACTGGAGAGTTGTTGTCGATGGGAATGTACAAAGCGCTGCTGCTATCCCGTGCGCCTTTGCAATGCTATAAATTCCCCACGCTGCACGCCATGCGAGACCAAACGAAAGCAGTAATCGTAGCGACTGTTGTTCATATCCAAACAGCCGTTCAAACGTCTGCTGTATGGGGACAAATGTTAACCATCATCATGGGCCTCCTCGTGGCCGCAATGATCTAGGCCGTATATCCTGGATCTTGATATTGACCGACCTTAAATTGTTCTGCTTCGGATCGTAGACACCAATGACTTGACTGATGACTACAGATTTATTCCCGACAACTTCTACGGTGCCCCTTAAGACGACAGTGCCCCGCGGCGCTTCCGATCTGGGTGCCCTTGTGCCTTCTACAAAGTGTCGAGCGAATGTTGAGAATAGTGGAACGGCTTGCTGCCGCGGAATCGAAGGCCCGTCTACGTTCGGTGGTACCAGCGCGCCTGGAGGCTGCCCTGGCGATTTTCCTGCAGGCTGTCCCGGCGATTGTCCAGGACTTTGTTCAGCAGGAGCATCTCCAGACCCTGCGATACGACCATCGATTCTTTTCAATTCTTGAAGCCCTTGATCGAGTGTAGACATGGAAGCATCCGGCGGGGGCTTGTTGCCAAACACGCCCTTGAACTGCATCCAGTATTTCTTCGTCAGACTCGACCCGATTATGTAGAAAGCGTTCATGGCGCCGGTGGGATATAGAAACGTCTCAAGACGTCGTTGGTCTTTCAGCTCTACAGCCCTTGTCGACCAAGCAATTACGACGTCGTCGTCCTCGAGAAATATAACCTCAATTCTGAGCAAAAGTTAGTCGAGCTCGGAGATCCTGTACGACCGTTCAAACATACCCGCTCCGTTCATATTGAGGTGGAGGCCCAGGTGGGTAATAGAAATGTATCCAGTAATTGTTCCATCGATCGTCAATCTGCCCAAGAGTCCGCTTCAACAAAGGATGCCGGCTCACCTCAGTCCGCACCCGAGACACTAGTTGTTCGCGTGCCCCCGTCTGTCTTTTTCCGTCTCTAGCAAACTTCATAAATTCTCGCCATTCGGGATCAGAGCCTTTGTAGTATTCTCGCGGCTGTTCTTTCGCCCAGGTCATGGGTATGAAGATGGAATCCTCAATGCCGTCCTCGTCGTATTCGCCCTCCTCATCCTCGTCCTCGTCCTCCTCCTCATCCTCCGACTCTTCCTTGGTCACGTCCCGGCCTATTCCAGCTGCTCCCTTCTCATGCTCGCCATCAGGTCGTCGTTTCCTGTCCATTGCTTTGAGCACAGCAGCCTTTTGCGCATTCGTCTGTTTCGGGGCTTGCTTCCATTCTTTCTCCTCCTCACCCTCCAGTGCCCCGAGTATATAATCTAGTCCATGGTTCAATGTTATATATGCTGCGCCCGTGTATAGCAGATACGTGCCAACACGCTTCCATGTGAGCCACCGGCGCACGAACTTCACTTTCTGTATGCGGACATTGGTAGACTCTCTGTACTGAGGGCGACGGAGGGCAAAAGCCCCTGTCTGTCGAAGGAGCGGCCTAAATGTCCGTAGCCCGAGCGACTGGGACATATGGAGCAGGTCGAGGGCAACAACACCGATGAAGATAGGTGTTGGGCAAGGTTTACGAAGTAGGCACTCCCCGATGCGATGCTCTGATATTCATGGATGACTCCGAAAGGCTTGGTGACAAGTCGAAGATCAGCAGAACAGGTGAGTGTAGAATGGCACCTCTCGTTGTAGACACGATCCGGATCCCAAATAGAAGTTGAAGCGGAGGCAAATGATAGTACTGGACAACCGGTTGGCTGCAGCCTGAGGCCGTAGTTTCGCCGACGTTTCACTCTCATGAGCTACTAGGCTTCGACGCTTCGACGTCAGTCAAGCTGTTACTATAATCTCATCATCGGCATCGACATCGACGGCAACATGAGGTCTGGCTGGAGTCTTACGCTGCCGTTCTTTTATCCTCTCGCCGCGGCCCTCTCATCTGACGAGGCCCGCGTCTTCCTCTTCCCCAGCTCTCCCAGAGCTCTACCGAACCGGGGTCAGAAGCTTGACGCAGAAACAGCTCGACTAGTCTTCTCGAGGCGTCTAGGACTGGCCCAATACTACAATGTTGGGGATCTGAAAGACGAACAACTCCAGCAGATTAGTGCATTCGGTGGAAGCCCGTCAGGGCTGCTGGATCTCCAGCATATTACTGCTGCGAATCAGCAAAGTCAAGGGTTCATCGTCGTGGAGGGGTTCGACAATGTCCAAGGTACTTTTATCACGAGCAAATTGTTCTCCTACGATACTTACGACTAGCAGATGTTGTCCCAACAACTCTCGAGTCGGGTTCATACGACGAGTTCACGATCCCCATATCGCCATCCGCGGCCGACACACTGGAGCTCATGGAATCATTCGACGACAAATTGAGATACTTGGAGTCCATTGATACAACTATAATGCCAGCAGTGTGCGACTCTATTCATGATGTAGTAAATAGACAGGGCATCACTCCTATGCGACAGACCTGCAAACCCTGGTCATTCTCTTCCGCAACGAGTCTCAAGGTAGGCATGGTTGTATGACTTGGGCTGAGCAGCTCATTAACTTTCGCCAGGACGCTCAATCTGCAAAAGATGTCAAAGCTACGCTTGGTCAGCTGTTGACTGAGGCTAATCAGCACAACTACCAGTTCACAGTTGTCTTCACCTCTCCCAAATCAAAAAAGGCCTCGAAACGATCACCGAACGTCTACGGTGAGATTCCATCAAGACATGGCAAACAGGAACTAGAGATGATCCTGTCCGAGGCGACACCCATCCGTTCCTCCGCTACGTCCAAACCAACACATTCAGGTACCCCGAGCACGAATGACACATCGCCGGTCCGAGGAATCCTTCCCAGCTGTTTCGCATCTGAAGCGGACTGCGAAGCCAAGACAAAAGGCTGCTCTGGGCATGGGCAATGCCGTACGAAATATAAAACTGACAAGACAGAATGCTGGACTTGTGCCTGCGAGGCCCAGGTTCACACCAACTTAGACGGATCAAACAAAACCACCAGTTTTGGCGGCCCGGCTTGCCAGAAGAAGGATATTGTTATGCCTTTTTGGCTCTTCACTGGTTTTACGATTGCCTTTTTGTCTATCCTGACTTGGGCCATTGGACTTCTCTACAGCATGGGTGAACAGGAGCTTCCGGGCGTGATCAATGCGGGTGTTTCTGGACCTTCGAAGAAATAGATGTGGGATGGCAGTGAGCAAGAGACCTTGTATGATTTTCATCATGTATCATTATCTAACGTATTGGTGTTCGACGAACGTATGAGTCCTATTATACATGCAACAGCGCTTTGCAAAAGTCAGGCCTCCGTGGATATATGCTCCCATTGAACATCGTTGCAATTCTAGAGTGACTGTAACGTGATCGGATTTGAAGAGTCGAATCATCCATACACGCTGCGCCCAGAACTCCAGCAATGCTCGTTTTAGTTTCCAGCACTATAGCATAAGTGTCAATTCATTTCTTGCCCTTCTTCTTGTTCTTTGGAGCACTATCGGACGGTCCGCCAGCTTCCACTATGACTGCATCATCATCGCTACCCTTCGTGTTCGTCGGACTTGGCTTGTTCATTGCAGAGGGTGGGCTTGCCGCAGCCTCATTGTCCAACTCCTTCATGAACTCAGAAGAGACCGAAGCTTTCTTCTTCTCCCACCATTCTTTGTCGGCGTCGACCTGAGCTTGTATCTCCTCTAGCCGTTTCCTAGCTACTATGTTTTGTGCGATCTCGGAGGCAGACTGGAAAATGACTTGGCCCCACCCAGGAACAAATCCGTTCGCCTGAATGAGCATGTACGTTAGTATGTAGACAGGCTCTAGTGGCGAGGAGCATCTACCTCTTGAACTACATCTCTCAATTCTTCTTCCACCTCTTTCTCCGCACGCGAGAATCGCTTCCACAGATCATCACCCACACATCCCTTTTGTAGAAGTGTGCTCAACGCCTGTTTCGCATTCCTAATCTGAACGATTCGATGGACATCCTCAGTCGCACGCCGCAAAAGTGCTGCCTTCAATACACTGTCCGGGACTTTTGGTTGCCCTGCTTCGGGCTCCATGTGGAGTAGGGTGAGGTATATGTCCCGTTGGAGGTTTTGACCAAACCATGGAGCGAGAGAAGCAGCCTTTGCGAGTTTTCGTTTGCGATAAAGAGACGAGAATGTCACGAGTGAGCCGATGAGTATGCCGAGATAGGCAAAAGGCACCATCAACGTTAACCAATTCACCATCCTGGCGATAGTGTGTGTACGGTATTGGAACTGGACTTTTTCAGGAGCGTGGTCTGCCGGGCGCGAAAATGCGCTTGGGGTATTTAAAGCCTCGGAGCTGCGATCTTGGTAATGAGTGATACGGTTGGGAGTTTTATGTGTTTGTTGTGGCTGCTGGACCGTGAATAGTTGGCATCGAAAATGCGCATGGAAAGGCCACCTAGAGTTTCATGCATCGCGCCTCCAGCCCCGAGATATGCCCGCGGGCGGTGGAGCGGGCAGTAATCCGCGCCTAATCCGCGAGTGACGTTGGCGGGCTTATGCCTATTATTCGAAGCTCATGGTAGCTTTCACTTACACAGCTTCACCTTCAACCGCAACAACTTTCTTCATACATGAGCACTCCCCCTTATATCACATAGATAAATACCATTTCGGTGGCTCTGTCGTCCATCCTCACTACATACCCCGCCTCATCATGATTCTCAGGTTCCAAAGTAAAGAAGGCCAGTTTCGCCTTACTGTACAGCAAACAGACGACTTCGCCTCTCTATTACATCCAATCCTCGAGAAATTGCCCAAAGACGTTGACCCTACCAGTATTACTGTGTCAAATGACCCAAGAGCGGGGGACAAGAGGAAGATCGCATCGTTGAAGGGCATAACTTTCAAACAAGTGGGCATGAGGTAGGTCCTCCCCAGTCGCATGTGAAGCCATGATCTAATATATAGCCAAGCAATGGTGATAAGATATATCTTGACTGGCAAGAATCTGCGCCTGCCGCTACAAACGGGCATACTGCTCCAGCATCAATAGCGAACCGGCTCGATGGCAAACCTGTCCTTCCTTCACAAGATCCACCGGTCCTCCGTAGCGACCTTGCTTCGCCGACGAAGCTCATAAAGAACCCCTGGGATGTCGTACAACAATCTTCACTTGATGATAGGCTGGACAAGTTGGATGGCAAGATTTCCAGACCGAAGGATCAGCGTTTCTGCAAGCATGGACCGAAGGGCATGTGCGACTACTGTATGCCTCTGGAACCTTTCGACGCCAAATATCTTGAAGAAAAGAAGATCAAGCACACATCTTTCCATGGCTACCTCCGAAAGATCAACCAGGGAAAGAATAAACCAGAGACAGGAAGCTCGTACATACCGCCGCTGACCGAACCATTCTACCGCGTCCGTCCCGATTGTCCTAGTGGCCATGCTCCTTTCCCTGCTGGAATATGCACAAAGTGTCAACCAAGTGCTATCTCGCTTAAGCCCCAGGAGTATCGTATGGTTGACCATGTCGAGTTCGCCTCACCGGACCTTATCAATAGCTTCCTAGATTTCTGGCGAAAATCTGGGAGCCAGAGATTAGGCTTTCTCTATGGGCGCTACGAACAATACGAAGAAGTTCCATTAGGTACCAAAGCCATAGTAGAGGCTATATATGAGCCTCCGCAGGTCAATGAAGTGGATGGTATCTCGCTAGGGGACTGGGACAACGAGAACGATATTGATGATCTTGCGCAGCTTTGTGGTATGCAGAGAGTAGGTGTCATTGTCACCGACCTCTTAGATAGTGGCGAAGGAAATGGTAGCGTCATTTGCCGTCGGCATGTCGACTCATACTTTCTATCGTCCCTCGAGGTAGTCTTCGCCTCAAGGTATCAAGCGCGGTTCCCCCGGCCAACGAAATGGAGCGAGACAGGGAGGTTTGGGTCAAATTTTGTTACATGCGTCATCAGTGGAGACGACAACAACCAGATCGCCATCTCAGCGTATCAAGCTTCGAATGATGCTGTGGAGATGGTACGAGCGGACATCATAGAGCCATCGGCGGACCCTACCGTTATGCTGGTACAAAATGAGGATGAAAACGTGAATGGCAACCGCAAGCGATATATTCCAGAAGTGTTCTATCGAAGGATAAACGAGCATGGAGCTAATGTACAGGAAAACGCAAAGCCATCGTTCCCAGTGGAATACTTGTTTGTCACCCTTACGCACGGTTTCCCGACAGAACCTCGACCACAGTTCGTGAATCATAAGTTTACCATTGAGAATCGGGAGGCCCTTGGGGAGGCACAAGAGATCTCGAAGCTCGCGCAGCAGCTCAATGCGAAATCGACCGGGCCAGCACTCAACCAACCTACCGGACTTACCGCGGTGTCAGACTTCCACCTGCTATGCTTCCTTCATGGTCTTGGAATACTTAGCAAAGTGAGTCCAATGTTTTGGAATATCCATTATAGTAGCTGACAATAATCTTAGGACGAGGAACGTCTCTTATGCCGGGTGGCCAGCAGTCATGATCTGTCTGACGGCTATCAGCTTCAACATAGTGGAGGATGGGCAACACTTCTGACTATCCTCAGAGAAAGTGGTGAGCGTCCCCCAAAACGTCGATCCCCAACAGATCATTCAGCATTCGGCGATGACAGCGTTCAGCTTGCTAAGAGGATTAAGGGAGTTAGCCTGAGATAACGTCCGATGATGATTCTCGCCAATATGGTATTTGCCCTGTGCCGCACAATTCTCTGAGTACACACCTGCTGTTTACTTTCTGAGTCGAGTTTGGTCATGTCCCCTCCAATGAGTGATTGATAAGGGATGTCTGTGATCCAGACGTGTATGAAGTATTTGTTCCAAGATCTAGTCTTGACTTGGTGTCCCCAAGGGATTTGATTAGGGATAGTTAAGGTGAAACAACCCGGAGGTGTTAATCTCTATACGCAAAAATGCTTGCCGTATATATTCAGCTACCATATATTACAGAGAGCCCATACAAAGCCTTCCCTGCCCATCATCTCTTTCGTACTTCGTCCATGGCATGCTATTCCTCTGCAAAAACATCTGCAACACGCAATGATAGATCGAGGATGGCTAGATGTTCGTCTGCACCGTCCACTAATCTCTTATCTACCTCTGAAAAGATCATTGTAATCTTCGCCTTTTGTAGGTCTGGTATCGTCTCATCGTAAAGAACTTTCTCGTAGAGCTGTGACACAACTTGAGCAGCGCTCCAACCATCAGCCACCATGTCTGTGACAACATTTGCCACTGAGCTGTATCTACTGGTCTTCTTCCCGGGCTGCATCGCGGACTGAAGCCGTGATATAGTGTCATCGGGTATGACACCTGAAATCTCCTCGATTATGGCAACGGTAACAGTTGCGCCACTCTCTCCATCAACGTCCATGGCATCGCCTTCTTTCACCTTCCCACTCGCTGCCTGTGTAGCACCAACCAGTCTAGCCGCACTCTGCAGAAACGTGATAGCCTTCCGCAAATCCCCCTCTGACACCCGCACCAACGCATCCGTAACCCCCTTCTCCATCATCACCCCCTCATTCCCCGCAATCTCCTCCAACCGCTTCGCCGCATTCACACTATCCAACGCCTTGAACCGAAACTTGGAGCACCGCGACGCCAACGGATCAATAATCCGCGTCACATAATTGCACACTAGACAGAACCGCGTAATCTTCGAATACGTCTCCATCGTCCGCCGCAGCGCACTCTGCGCATCCTGCGTCATGCTGTCCGCCTCGTCCAATATGATGATCTTGAACGGCGGGACCGGGTACTTTTTGCGGTACTCGACGCCTGCGGGCCCGGCGGGCGGGTTCGAGAGCTGGCTGCGGGCAAAGTCTTTGACTTTCTCGCGCACGATGCTGATGCCGCGCTCGTCTGAGGCGTTGAGTTCGAGGACGCGTGTGCGCATGAGGTCGGGGCCGTAGAGCTGTTTTGCGAGGGCCAGGATCGTGGATGTCTTGCCGGTGCCGGGGGGGCCGTAGTAGAGCATGTGGGGGAGGTTGGAGGCTTGGAGGGTGCGTTGGAGGACGGTGATGGTGTGGTCTTGGGCGGTGACGTCGGAGAGGGTTTTGGGCCGGCTGCACAGGTGGAAAAGAGAGGGGAGTCAGAGTCAGGTTTCGCTTTTGGGGGGACGTCGAAATTGGGGCATTTGTACGCACTATTTCTCTACCCATGGCTGTGTGCGAGGTGTTTCTTGCTTGGTGGTGGGTGCTTTGGACGAACTTGCGGCGGCGGCGGCATCTTTTCTGGCTTTGATGTCGAAGAAGCCCGCCATGTTTGCGGCAATTCGGCTTATGTGCTATGTTGAAATTCAATTCAAAGCTGTGTAGGCGAGAGAGAAACAGCAATTAGAAGTGTATGCAATATATGACGGCGGCGCTAAACAGGGTTCTGTCTGGTAGACGCGCTGCACGCGTTGAGGTTCGCGCGCTAGGTAAAGTGCTTTTTCTGCCTGATGATGACTACGTTCATGCCCCAGGCATGAAAACCATATCTTAACGTTCATCGCGTTTCTTCTACATGTTTACATGGTCACATGCTTTTGAAAACCCCGACTTATCAAAATCGCCCACGGCTACGAGCGTACACATATGCGACCCCAGCCGTAGCAGATTCGAATGCGAATTGCACGATTATATATTAGTGTCAAATAGGAAATTCCCCCTAGCGTTGATTGCTGTTACCAAGATTTTCCAAGACGCTTTACTATGGTCCTTTATTACGTGATCGAAAGACTCGGACCCCAGGTATGCACTATCTCAAGGCTGATTCCTCTATTCCTAGATCGGACGGCTGAGTAATTGTTAGCGGCCTTTGATCTCCTTGCCGTTTCTGGTACATATCCCGTACGCTGCGACGTCCCTTCGACCAAGATTTAAACATCGGTGAACAATGAAAGTGCCATGAGTCGCTGGTTTCATAGTTTGCGCCTCAGCCTAGTCACAGTCACCAACCAGAAGTGGCCGCAATGAGAGGCTCGCCCCCATTGTTTAGCCCGGCCGCAATATGTCGAAGATATGTCTTTTCCAGACTACCCAGTACCTCCGGGAAACTTCAAAGCAGACGTCTTATAATGGAACACATGAGGCGTGCAATGAGTTGTTGAGTCTCTGATATCTTTAGTCACGACAGTTTTGCTTTACGACTCCATAGTCTGGTAGAGTACAGAGTGACGAAATGTGTGAAGTCCTTGCAGGCTGCAGTTCCATGTATGCTGAAACTACAGGCAACAATAATCGTCCCTCGAGAAATTTTCCAAACCCGGCTACCGCTAACAAGCAAACAGTTCCCCAGAGCACCAAATTGGAAAGTGTGGCTGTGCTTTCGGATATGAAATCTGCACGCGGATATAGCCACGGCCCCCAAAGACTGGACTTGGCGATCGGCCACGTTTTGCGGCTACTTCCTACCCAAGTGACCCAGTTCTCGGGGCTGTTCCATAATAGGGGTGATCTAATTCCCAGAAGAGCATTTCGTGAACTTCCGTGTTTTGTCAGCATGGCTGGCGCCAAAACTAATTAGTACTATACGAGTCGCTGTAGAAGCAGCAGACGCCTGTCAGGGGCGCAGCGTCTATGCCGTGTTTACTGGCATGTAGGCTTTCGGATGAATCCTACATGGCTAACAAGCCATTGCTAAACAAGAGAAACCTATAGGAGTATATATCATCATGAGTTCCCTGCGTAAAGCAAATGTACACGAGGTCTTTACCACAGGATTCCACATACGCTAAGATGAAGACGATTCTCTTGACTGCCGCCGGAGCAGCATTATCTTCAGCACGACTCCATTCAGCAAACATACCAGCATCAAGAGCCATCGCAGACTCAGACGAGCCATGTGCTGCAATTAGTGCAATCAAATCATCCGAGCCCTCTTCCTTCCTTTACGATCCAGACCTTGCACTCGCTTGTCTTCACTCGGTTCCCGTGAATCAAGATGTGGACCCGCAGCTCGTCGATGAGCTCAAGGTCTACCTTGAGTTCCAGACCACGTTAAGCTATCTCAAGGATCCACCAAAAGGATACGATAACCCGCCTGTCGACCTCATGGGAGGCATGGATGCTATCAAACAGAATATCACCAATGGATTCTACTATAGCGAATACGAAGTACAGATGGCTATCGCCACTCTACTGACCAGTGCGCATGACGGCCACCTTGGTTTCCAAAGCGACATCTCAAGTGTCTTCAGCTTTGAGACAAGGTCTCCCTTGGTTTCTGCTTCACGAGATGGTATCGAGCTTCCGCAAATATACGTCTGGGAGGATCTCATGTTCCCTTTCTTAGGCGGCGGCCCATCGTTTACCCCGAGTCCAGTCACCCGAATAAACGGACAGGACATCGAAGAGTATTTGGACGGCTTGATAGTACAGTCATTGCTCCACGATGCTGATGCGAGGTGATTTCATTCGACTATAGTTTGGCACTGGAACTAATTATGATAGATACAACGATCTCTTTTACAGCACGCCAAGATCCTCAATACAGGGGGGTACGTTTGGATTCACCAGTATTGGCCAGTATGCCGGGGCATGGATCAATACTACGCATCTGCATGGAACAATGACTTCCTTCCAAAACGTCGCTGTCAGCCACTTAGACTTCACTGGCGTCGAGGACGGTGGATCTTTCTACTCGAAGTTTTGCACTGGTCTGCACGCCGCGCCGCTCCTGGACCCTACTGACTCTTCTTTACACACGGGGACGGACTCGGAATCGCCAGAAGATGAGCCATCTGCCGTCACAACTCCTACACCACGACCTACTGCTTTTGGCTACCCGTACCCGGTGGTTAAGCACTCTGGGAATGCAGTAGGCGGCTACTTCCTCAATGGTACTGATGTTGCCGTTCTGAGTATGCCGACGTTCACTGCGGGAGATACTATCTCCGATGTCCAAGAATACCAAGATGTAGTGACAACATTCATTCAAGAGGCCCTTAAGGATGGGAAGACGAAACTGATCATAGATCTTCGCGGCAATGGCGGCGGCAACACTGTCTTGGGGTTTGATACCTTCAAGCAGTTGTTCCCATCAATTGAGCCATGGGGAGCAAGCCGTTTCCGAGCACACGAAGCATTCTTCCAGATAGGTAACCTGCTTGAACCGTACATCAGCGATGCTGCTCTAGCGAAATCTGATCCTGAGATGTATCGATATCTTCAGCGCAACTTCACAAACTACAACTATGTTGCAACCCTAACCGAGAACAACACGGATTTCGCATCCTGGAAGGACTACTATGGACCCCACGAATTCAATGGAGATAACTTCACGTCACTCACGCGATACAACTTCTCAGACCCTGCCTCCACCTCGTATTTCAACTCCAACGTCACAGGCTACGACAATCGTACCAAAATATTCAGTCAACAGCCCTTTGCGACAGAAAACATCGTAATGCTCCAAGATGGCTACTGTGCCTCCACCTGCGCAATCATTAGCGAATTGCTCAAAGAGCAAGCAGGCGTCAGAACAATCGCCATGGGAGGTCGTCCTCAAAACGGACCCATGCAAGGTGTTGGTGGTACAAAGGGCGCGCTCACCCTCAAAGGTTCCCAGATCAATGCTCAAGCCACACTCGCCCTTGCGAACTTGACCACGTCTCAGGATCAGTTGGAGGAGCTTCTGGGCACACCAATTGGCACTGTTGCAAATGCCCTGCTGCCACAGGTACGCTCGTATACCGGAGGCGCTTTCTTAGGGACCGGTCTGCAAATTAACGCTGTCGACAATATCAGAGATACCGATGTTGAAGGCCAGACGCCCCTTGAGTTTGTGTATGAGGCTGCCGACTGCCGACTATTCTACACGCTTAGCAGCGTCGTCAACGTTACCGCAGCCTGGGCTCAAGTGGCCAACGCTGCGTGGGGAAATGGCACCTGCGTGCCTGATAGCAAGTCGCCGCCTTCTAGCGTCACTGGGGGCCAAGGATCGGATGAACAAGAGGGTGCCGCAGGAATTGTGAGGCCTGGAAGTGCGGTCATAGCCTTTATGCTTGCGGAGCTGTTGCCCTTTTACTATGAGCCAATGTTGGTTGTGTTTGTTTGTAAATTATCTTGCATAGCGCCATGTAGCATATAACGTAATCTATTGGCATAATATTCACCGAGGGGCAGCTGCTTAGTGACGCGGCTTGCCATCTTTTGTTAAGCCTGCCAGTGACCATAATTCACGCTAAGGGGTAATTGCCCAACTGTCCAATCATAGCATATTGATTCACTGTACAGTACATGGGCTTGAGATATACTCCACGTCCAACGTTCGCCTCCGACCAAGATACAAGCCCAGAGCTTATTTCCTTTCCCCATGTCATATTAGCTGCCCCTGAAGCAGACTAAATATGCAAAAGCTGTCCCTGCGGCGTCTGCGGATGCACCACCATTAACATCGTGATGCCCGAAAAGGGTATCACGAACTGCTTGACACGCGCCATAGTCGGCACGCGCGCCCCAATCAAGTTCGCTTCGAGATTCATGGGCATGTTGGCCTTCTCCTGTGCGGAGAAGAAGTCACTGTGGTAGATGTCGAGATGGGACTGGCGGGCGGGGATGGTGCGACATGTTACCCGATTGTTGGGGTCTAAGGGGTAATGATTAGAATGAAAGATAATGAAGAGAGATACACATCGAAGTTAGCAGTTCGAGCATCCTGCCTGCTTACCGTTGGCATACTGGTTCACGATGTCGCATTGGCGTGCTGCGACGAGTTCGCGCTTGGAGTGGTCGTACTTGAGGATGCGCTCATGAGACCGGCGTGGGTCGGGATAGAAGAGCAGAACCATGCTGATGATTTTATAGAATTTGTTGAGTGGACTAGAGTATGGAGAGCCTGGCTTCCCTTTGATATTCAGGTTCGTGGGAACTGGATCTCGATACTCGTCCTTGAAGCGATTACAGACAGTGGTAGGAATGTGGCTGGAAAACGAGAGCTTATATGGGGTCCGAGGAATGAATCGAAAGATGTGAATCAAATAATGGCTGAGTGTATGGTTGATTTAGTACACCAACATTCACGCGCTGTATGCAGGCTGAGTGGTCCAGGTATCGCATATCGACTTAACTATAGAGGAATCGAGTTGACACAGAGATTAACGAGGTGACAATGGAGAGCGTCAACATCCATGAGAGCATGTCGAGCTCGAAAGGACTCGAAGGAATCTGCACAAAATCTTCAAAACAGTTTCCCTAAAGCGGAATGTGCGATGTGACGTCTCCCGTTCATAAGACAGCATGATGCTCTATTAACCACTATATTACTCACAACATCGCCCAGGACCTTTCTTGATCGCCATACGTTTTCTCTGATACCGAGACGTAAAGCTTGGGTTTTCATGATAAGTCAATGTTGTTCACGCCAAGTAACTTACAATGAGTGCTTTTCGGCATATCGTCGGTGATACCCATCACGTACTGCTAGGTATGTGAATTGACGCGATATAATATCACTCCCACACAGCTTTCTGTCGCACTTCACACTACTGGAACCTTACCGCATTCGCATTCACCGATCCACAATGGCTGACTCTGAGCTCTCAGCTTCAAATAACAGGCCCATTTCGACAACGCCTATCCCACTCCCAGGTACTCTTGAAAGTCAAAGCAATGGCGAGCCCACCATGAATGGTGACAGTGCTCCCACTGTACAAAGCGGGGACGTCGAGATGAAAGATGAGCCCATGATCGAGGTACACCGAACAAGCCACGCGTGAAGAGGCCGCATGCTCATTTTTTCCCAGTCTGCGCCCGCACCCGCGCCTACCATCGAGCCCGAAGCCGAGTCTACAGTGCCTTCGTTACAAGCGCAACCAGCACCAACTCTCCCAGCGATGACGGTGCCTACACAAGCTGCAACACCGCCTGCTGTGACGCCGACATATGCTCGAAATTCTCCACACCCAGCGCCCCAAGTGAATATTCCTGCGCCGCCTGTGAATCCTAATCCACATGGGTCGCCTACGAGGGTATATCTAAATCAACAGGTCACGCCGTATCTGTTGGAGGCAATGAAGATGCTAGTCACGCATGAGTATGTGCACTGCTTCTAAAGTGTTTGGAGCAGCGCTGACAACCAACATGTAGACCTGAGAAACCTTTGAAATACCTAGCGGATTACCTTGCAGAGAAAAGCCGAGAGCTGGAGGGTGTGTAGTGCATGAAGCGGCCAGAAAATGTGGGTGGCGAGTGTATCATTTGCATAGCATAGCGTAGGCGTTCATCATCTCGTGTCAGGCACCCGAAGTGTCACGACGCTCAAAATAGTCAAGACTTTCACATGCATAATAGTTTCATGGTGCAAATGATCCAGGATGTGCTTTGCGAATTATGTATCTTATTCACAATTCGATGGGTATGACAACGGTCTTCTTCCGTGAGGCTTTTAATACACCGTCACGTCCATAGTTTTACGCCCTCGATGCTCACTGATTTCCTCCTCGCCATTCGCCTTGAACCCATCTATGAGACCATGGTGCTGGCAGTCGCGCTCTCGTATCTCCAGGTAGGAGGAAGAGCACCGACAGTCTTGTAGTAGCGAGAGAGACGGTGGATACGGGACTCGGTCAAAATGAGGCGAAATTTGCCGTCCTTGTCCTTGCGGTTACGCTCAAGATGCTTGCGGATGGCAACGGCCTATATATATTGTGTTAACGTATGTAAAACCCAGATGCGTTGGGCGTGAGAACTGACCTTCTTGATCAACATGTAAAGATCTTCAGGGATTTCTGGAGCGAGGCCTATATGATCTCTCTGTCAGCCTTGACCAAGCAGAGGAAGAATTTATATTGCGCAGCAAACTTGCAGTTTGTTCAACTAGCAAGCTGCAGTCGACTTGCGCATGTAGGGACTATCGTACCCTCGGACTTCAGGATGCGGAGAATCTTGTTTCCTGAGGTTCTATTAGTTTAGTCCATAGTAGCTTCAAAATGATGACATACCGGTCACGATCTTGACTTGCGCAACACCATGGGCATCCCTCAATTGAACACCGATCTCTGAGGGTCTAGCACCCTTTCTCGCGGCCTTGCAAATCATGTCCACGACCTGGTCGGGGCTGGTTTTCAGCCATGCTGGAGCAGTGCGCGAGTATGGGAGAGCGCTCGAGGATATACCCTTTCCGTTGGAGTGAAGACGACCCATTTTGGCGTTTGGGAATCGGGATTTTTGTCGACGGTGGTGATGTTGCGTTAGAAAGAGAAGAGGTTCGCGACGCAAATTGGAGAATGTGGGTGTGCTTGGCGCTCGCTTGCGAGTGCACGGACCGTCACGTCCAAGCTAAGTTCAGAACTTTTTCCTACAGCCCGTTCTCAATTCCTGAACCACAAACTTTGTGACAACGATCTTCTCTCCCCAAATCTATGTCTCGTTACAGCGCCGCTCTGACATGCTCTTGTGCTTAGCTCACGGTACAATCTTTCCGTTGGGTCTCTCATGACATGTAGCACTGTAAGTCTAGAACACGTCGCTTCTCTCCCCTTCCTTGAGCCTATGATGATACTTATTTGATACATTTTCTGGTACCTCTTATGCTAGCGGCTCTATTGCTGCGATGATCTAAAAGGACTTCTGAACAGCTCTATATAAGCCTGCACAGTGTTTACATTGTTTGACGCGCACCCACTGATTTGCATAATAGGAAGTTTTTGCCCTGTTACGCGGCGCGTGTTGTGGGGATCTGCAGCCTCAGGCAGCCTTCCGAAATTGAGACTGGCAGAGATCCTGTGCTTACAGCAAATTGAGACATACAATCGCAACTATGCCCGTCAGCACCTAGATTCCTGTCGATAGATGTCGTTTCAAGTCTTCGTCTAGGTAGGCTGCCTCGGTCTATCATGACCGCCAACAAAGGTAAGTAGGGGTAGTCCGCCCCACAGCCGCGTGTGCTCTTGCGCGTTTGTCTTCCACCATCCCAGACTCATTGAATGGGATGAACCACAACGTGATTCGACTCTTGACTACTCTTTTTCTTGGTCGATATGTAGAGGAATCGGCGATAGCTTTGGATGTCGTGAAATCGAAGTCGGTCTACTGCCTTACAACCTTCGTGGCCATGGCAACAATACCTATCAGTATTCTCCGATGTGTCTTCTTTCATTTACAGGTACATATCTAGCAATTCTACCGCGTGTTGGCGCTATTTCCACATTCCCACATTTGAGATTGTGGGTCATAGTTCGACTTGCCGCTGTTATATTCTTTAAGTGACAGTTACATTCCTCTCTTTAAACAAAGCCGCCTATCCACCCCTTTCTTCTGCACGACGTTTTAAACTCCGACAAATCATCAGTCACTCACCTCGACATTTGCGATACGCATCTTGCACCAATACTCGAATTCAGATTCACTTACTAGTTAGATACACAGCAAACACTGTACAAGCGTTTCTGTATTACTATGCGCCAACAAACGCTCTTATTAGCACTCGCTATCGCACATGCTGTCTATGGTGCTACCAGTAATGCCCTGTGCAACATAGGGGACACATATGTCGCTGGAAATTGGTACTGTCAAGAAGTGAAAAAGATAAGCTATACTGGTATCAATCAGGTAATATGCTTCAGGTCTCTCACTCTGGACATGCTGACCACATGTAGTCCGGATCTTACAAAGCGACCACTGCAATGGACGAAAATACTGGTGTCTGCTCAAGGAAGGACGTGTCCTACTCCGGCCCGGGTGCACCATTAGACGGAGAAGTACGTGCCAATGTTGAACGTAAGGTCAGGCATACTCACGAGGACTTCGCAGGTATCCATCCATCTGAGAGGACCCCTCAAGCTATCTCAGTTCGCTGCGTATACTATGGGAGGTGGCTCATCAGCCTCGCGCAAACAACGTCGGCATGGTCATGGTCATGGTCATGATCATGGTCAATTGCATAGTCGTCATGCTGCTAAGCGAGCTGCGGGGGACCTTGTTACAGCAGTCATCAATGGACAGACTGTGGTACGGCATACATCTTTCCGTATGGCGATGTGCTTTGGAGCTGACAAGTTGTAGACCTGGGCTAAGGGGTATGACTCCACCGCCACACCCGTAGCAGGCCAGCCCGCTGCCAATGTAAATACGGTTGAAGCGGGCACGCAGACCAGTCCCGCTGCCAGTGGAAGCACGCCCGCTACTCCATCTACAAGCATTGGAGATGGTAAATGGGGAAGGGTTGCCTACTATTCAGTCAATAGTAAAGATTCAGCAGCAGGCCTTGCTTTCCTCAATAATCAAGGGTCTAGTTATGCATCTGGTACCTGGTCTAGGTAAGTCATTGTCCTACGAGAGACTGCGTATATATTGTCTATTAACGACTTGTGTAGTACATTCGGCAACTCTGCATCTTATGCTTCGGAAGACGGTACGACGGCTGCGAAGTCGTCTACGCCATTTGGTGGATCACTGGCGACATCAGCAAACGAGGTCTTCATAATGACCGACAAAGTTTGCAATGGAGATGACTGTGGTTTCTATAGACCAAACAGTGTCGCTCATCATGGCTTTAACGGATCATCGAAGGCTTTTCTCTTTGAGTTTCAGATGCCAGATAACCCTTCGGGAGACAGCAGTGGTTTGCCGAATGCGCCTGCAATCTGGATGCTAAACGCGAACATCCCAAGAGTAAGCCAATACGGTACAGACTCCGCTACCAAAACATCCTGCTCCTGTTGGGACAGTGGCTGTGGTGAATTTGACATCTTTGAAGTCCTCTCTGCTGGAGACAAGAGATGTAAAAGTACTCTTCACAGGCAACATAACGCCCAGGGGGGCGATTCAAATTACTTCAAGCGACCAACGGATGCTCCAGTCAAGGTCGCTGTTGTGATGACGGGAGGTAACTTCATTATTGCAACGCTCAAAGACGACGTCACTTTCGATGAGACATTCGAGTCAAGCACCATGCAATCAATGCTGAATGCCTATGATAACCCCAACCATCAATCAGTCTTCGCTATTGTTCGTTAGCATGCGACGGTAATCCACTTCAGGTCCATGGAATTGAAAAGTCTCGTCCTCCTAGGACTATGGCCCCTGTTTAACAAAGAAAAGAGAACTGTATTTTACGTTGTCTTGTCACTCCTTTTCCATGTTGGTGGAGGCGCCTATAACTTTTCTGATACGAGTTGTGAGTTTGTTTTATCGGCGTCGTGGCATGCTATTTGGGACCATGTTTGATAGTGCTGTTAGCGAAGCATATGGAGACCGGTTTTATGATGTGTAGTTTACTCGCGAGATTTAGAATGTAGGAGAAATTGAATCGTATGCTAGGAGATATCTGAAGCGTCGAAGCAGAAAGTGCCAAGATGTCGGTCGTGCTTTGAGGTTGGTCACGCCGTGCCGAGGCAACTGACAGAAATCCATGGATTGATCCCTGTTCACGCCTAGGCTGGGCTCACACACTATTACTCCACCTTCTCGCCGCCCTACATGACACGACCATCATACCTCTCCTGACATTCCTTGAAACCTCTCTTTGCCGTCGCAACCCATACATTACTCTCTCTACCTTGCCACGAATCTCGTAACGAGTCTTGCAAACGACGCAAAGATCTGGTGCACCCCGCAGATCATTAGCCCAGCCCTTAGCCGAGATCTAGCCTGACATCACTGCGCAAGCAGCCCTCAAGGACCTCAACCACCGATAGGCGTCATCATCGATGAGGCATCTCTAAGACTGCGCACAGTTCACAGATGGCTTCACCGCCAAAACCGTGGGAACGAGGTGGCGCTGCACAATCTTCAGCCGGTAAGTTACCGCGAGCACCACAATCATGTGTTGATCCTAAGTTCCTTGATAGTCATGGCATCAAACTCTGGCTCTGCGCCCTCTTCAGGCGCATCGACCGCCTCATCTTCGTCCTCGAACCCACCGACATTACCCCCTCGGCCAGATTCCCTAACTGCCTCCGCGAATCAGAATGCTTCGAATTACTCAGCCATGAACGCCAATAGATATGGTTCATCAGGCTACGGATACGGCAGTGGCTATAGCTCGGCATACTCATCACCATACTCGCGGTTCGGTGGTGGTATGGGCTCTATGTATGGTGGCTACGGAGGCATGGGTGGAATGGGTGGAATGGGTGGCATGTATGGGGGCATGGGTGGAATGGGAGGAATGGGGGGAATGTATGGCAATCCGAACAACCCAAACAGCTTGACGCAATCATTCGGCAACAGTACGCAGGCGACCTTTCAGATGATTGAAAGCATCGTCGGCGCCTTCGGTGGTTTTGCACAGATGCTTGAGAGCACTTACATGGCGACACACTCGTCATTCTTCGGTGGGTTGAGTCGATTAAGAGTAAATTCGTTTACTGACTATCATACAGCAATGGTCTCGGTTGCTGAGCAGTTTGGGACCTTGCGGCAAACGTTAGGGTCTGTTTTGGGTATCTTTACGCTCATGCGATGGATTCGTGCTGGTCTTGCAAAATTAACAGGTCGACCGCCACCAGCGTCGTCAAAAGAACTAACACCATCGAACTTTGCGGCGTTTAACGGTCTAAGCCCGGATGGATCGCCTGCACCGCCACGACCGTCCCGGAAGCCGTTCATCATGTTTATGCTAGCCATTGTTGGCTTACCATACCTGATGGGCAAGTTGATCAAGGCACTTGCAAAATCGCAGGAGGAAGAAGAGAGGCGACGTATGGAGGCAAACTCGCAGCTAGCTCCAAATCAGCAGATGGACCCAAGTAAACTTGACTTCTGCCGAGTCATGTATGATTTCACTCCGGATCCGAACGCGAACTCGATTCACGGTGTTGATCTTGCCGTCAAGCAAGGCGATCTTGTCGCTGTGCTAAGCAAGACTGATCAACTTGGCAATCCTTCTGAGTGGTGGCGATGTCGAGCACGAGATGGTCGCATGGGCTACCTCCCAAGCCCATATCTGGAGTCAATCCAGAGACGACAGCCTCAGGCTCAAATCACAACGGGCAGCGACAGTGGTAGCCCAGCCGGTAGTCGTGCGCAAACTTTGACTAGTACGATCGCCAGCAGTCGCGCTGGTACCATGACAGCGCAAGAGCCTGTTCTGGCTGGCAAGCCGCCACAGGTGTCTAGCAAAGCCGGAGATATCTCTGTTGAGAGTTTTCAAAAGGGACAGTTCTACTCATAGGTTTGCAGCGGGGCGCAAGGTAGGCGTTTGTGTGGGCGCGTAGGCAATTGCCATCGATTAGTCGGGTGATCATTTGAGATGTTGGATATGTGGCACCTAATCAAGACAATGAAACAGAGGCGCATTAGCATTCTTGCCTTGATGTAAAAGTACCTGCATACAGGCCAGGGCGATCTGATGTATGATATGAACCTGTTGAATGGTCTTGATACCAGAAATAAGCAAACTCCAGATTTAGCGAACTCGGTGTACTAGCTAATTATGGCACCCAAAAGAAACAACAAAACAGCTACGCAGTGACCTAAATCTGAACCCTGTTTACTACATTGTTATATGTTTGTGTTTTGTAGTCTTGAAATGCACGTGCGTATATCACAAGCTACATCGAACGACTACCGTAGTTAGCGTAGACCCTGAGACTTTCCGTGCCCAGCTGCAGGGTGAGTGTGAGCTCCAATACGGTGAATCGCTTCCGACGACTCGTGAGTGTGAGCCCTCCACATGCGCAACAGTATATTTTCCTTAGAACGAAAACATTCTCCTCTCTTACGCTTGAACTTCTCTTTATTGGCGACACCTACGAAAGCTCCGACAGCTTTCAGCTGTTCTTATCACCTATTTTTCTTGACTGGTTGACCCCGCAAAGTTAGCCTTACATATAGGTACCATCGTACCCTAGATACCGGTTTTGTCTTGTCGTCCAATCTCTCAGCTCTTCACATTCACAGAATGAGTGCAGCACGCCGACTAGCAAGGGTTCGTAGGAATCTTGCTACATCCTCGTAACACTGCAGAACACTAACGCAGGCACAGGAGCTCACGAAGGTACACGCGATTCCATCCTCAACTGTCCCAGATGGAAGTTCAATGTTGATCGTTGATAGCTTCACGAACACCTACCACCGGGTATCAGCGTTGCTCTTGCGGAAGGCTTCCAGGAATGGCGTATGAATATCAAAGTCCTTGACGACAACCCTATATACGCCGGAGAAACCTATCAACTACTATTCAGATTCGGAAACAGCTATCCCATCGGTATGTTAGAGACTAGCACCACTCTTCCCGCCCCAAGCATTGAGATTGCCTATCTTTGGTAATCTTCTGCTTTGTTTCAATTCCAGCTAATAACCATGTTTGTCGTGTAGAGCCCCCCGAAGTCGTCTTCAAGCAGACCCCCGAACATCCCATTCCCCTCCATCCACATGTCTACTCGAACGGAATCATATGTCTTGATCTGCTAGATCGCCAGGGGTGGAGCCCTGTGCATAACGTCGAAAGTATCTGTGTAAGCCTACAAAGTATGCTCACAGGCAACACGAAAAGAGAGCGACCACCTGGCGATGAACAGTTCGTGCGTAGTAACCGGTCGCGACCACGGGACATCAACTTTCTCTTCCACGACAATGATGTATAATACGAGGAGAACGGCTGTCGGCGTTCGGGTCACTGGGAAGTGAATGGTACATGGGATACAATTGAGCATTGCATAGCACTGGAGGCGCATTATACTCGTCTGAAGAGTTGGGTATCTCGAGTTCTTAAAAATTATTACTGGCAAGGACTTTGTGATCCATACCAATGCTATTCTCACCTGGGCATCTGAAGTCTATCCCACTCTGAATTCCCTTTCAAATAATGTTTTATCCCAGTCCAGAGGAGAGGTGCAAATTTTACAGAGAGCCGGATGCTGTTTACAAAATCATTTCATCCGATGGTTTGATTATTGAATGGTCGTGCGAGGAGTTGACCTTAGAAGATCCGAGGATTTGCCGTTATCGATTATCGGCTCGCCTCGACAAATTTAGTGGAATGCGCGAAAGGCGGTGGGTGCGTAAATTTTCGACGAGCTCACCCAAAATTTACACTTGCGTTTCTCTTCATACCTCTCCTCCTCACACCTGCTCACCATTCTTCCACCATCTCCTTTCCCCCCGCCAATACATCAAATATGAGTGACGAAGTCTATGATGGTGCCATTGGCATTGACTTGGGTGCGCCAATTTCATTCTGCTGTCCGAATGTGCGTGCGATGTTAACTTTCTGTGCTAGGTACTACGTACTCTTGCGTTGCCAACTATGAGGGCGCAAATGTCGAGATCAGTACGTTGCAGGCTCACAAGACACTATTCGACTTCTGGCTCATATGATTCCATAGTTGCCAACGAGCAGGGTTCCTTCACCACCCCATCTTTCGTTTCCTTTACTGCCGAGGAGCGTCTCATTGGTGAGGCCGCGAAGAATCAGGCCGCGATGAACCCAGAGAACACCGTCTTCGACATCAAGTATGTCACAGTGGACTGCATCGGAAAGTAATGAGCTCATAATTTTTTCAGGCGTCTCATTGGAAGGCGATTCGATGACGAGACAGTCAAGAAGGACATACAGTCATGGCCCTTCAAGATCGTCGACCAGGGCGGCAACCCAATGGTTCAGGTCCAATATCTCGGCGAGACGAAGACTTTCTCTCCTCAGGAGATCTCTGCTATGGTTCTTGTTAAGGTAAGCCTGCAAGCGGCGAGACGGTTTGACTTTGATCGCTAACATTCTCATAGATGAAGGAGGTTGCTGAGACAAAACTCGGCAAGAAGGTCGAAAAGGCCGTCGTCACTGTTCCCGCATACTTCAACGACAACCAGCGCCAGTCTACCAAGGACGCTGGCTCCATCGCTGGTCTCAATGTACTCCGTATCATCAACGAGCCCACTGCCGCTGCCATTGCCTACGGTCTTGGTGCCGGAAAGTCTGACAAGGAGCGTAACGTTCTCATCTACGACCTTGGTGGTGGTACCTTCGATGTTTCTCTTCTGCACATCCAGGGCGGTGTGTTCACCGTCAAGGCAACCGCTGGTGACACCCATTTGGGCGGGTCTGACTTTGATACCGCACTTTTGACTCACTTCCAAAAAGAATTCCAAAGAAAGACCAGTAATTATCACTCTTCCACCATAGGAAGTGCGCCAGCTAACTCGTTTCACAGAGAAGGTTAGCACACCCCGAAGGCGCAGAACGCTACTCAGATCCACACTCCCCTGCAGCACACCTTATTCTCGCTGTGTGGAATACTGTTTTATCACACATCTCTAGTGGCCCAAATGCCACTCCTCAAGTTAGGATACATGCTGACTGCTTTACAGGATCTCTCAAGTGATGCTCGTGCACTCCGTCGTTTGAGAACCGCTTGCGAGCGTGCCAAGCGCACTCTATCTAACGGTACCCAAACCACTGTTGAAATTGATTCGCTGTTCGACGGTGAGGACTTCAACTCCACCATTACCCGTGCCCGTTTCGAGGATCTCAACGCCAAGGCATTCAACGGCACTATCCAGCCCGTTGAGCAGGTGTTGAAGGATGCGTCCCTTGACAAGTCCAAGGTCGATGAGGTCGTGCTTGTTGGTGGATCTACCCGTATCCCAAGGATACAGAAGCTTCTTAGCGATTTCTTTGGCGGTAAGAAGCTCGAAAAGAGCATTAACCCTGACGAGGCCGTCGCCTACGGTGCTGCCGTTCAGGCTGGTATCCTCTCCGGAAAGGCCACATCTGCTGACACTTCCGATCTTCTCCTTCTTGATGTCGTTCCTCTTTCTCTCGGTGTTGCTATGGAAGGCAACATATTCGCACCAGTCGTTCCCCGTGGCCAGACCGTCCCAACCATCAAGAAGAGGACATTCACAACCGTGGCCGACTCTCAGACCACGGTCCAGTTCCCCGTGTTCCAGGGAGAGCGTGTCAACTGCGAGGATAACACGTCGCTGGGTGAATTCACCCTGTCTCCTATTCCACCTATGAAGGCAGGTGACGCGGTTCTCGAAGTCGTTTTCGAAGTCGATGTGAACGGTATCCTAAAGGTCACAGCGACTGAGAAGACGTCTGGCCGCAGTGCAAACATCACCATTTCCAACTCAGTAGGAAAGCTCTCATCTGCCGAGATTGAGACTATGATCAACGACGCTGCCAAGTTCAAGACCACGGATGAAGCTTTCAGCAAGAAATTCGAGTCCAAGCAACAACTTGAATCCTACATCTCACGTGTCGAGGAGATGATCTCCGACCCTGGCATGTCGCTTAAGCTGAAGCGTGGCCAGAAGGAGAAGATTGAGAGTGCTCTCAGCGATGCCATGGCTCAGCTCGAGATTGAGGATGCGCCGGCCGATGACCTGAAGAAGAAGGAGCTTGCTCTGAAGCGTGTCGTCACCAAGGCTTTCTCCACCCGGTAAATTGAACTGAAAAGCAGCAGCAGAACGGACGGCTAGGCGTGGTACAGAGCATGTAGTAAATGGACTGCTTTTGAGAATGTACGTAAGGCATACGATACGGGGCGAGAACAAAATGTGCACGGATTGCAAGGAATTTGCGGAAGGTGCTGAATTGGGATGGATACAGGGCATGCAATCCACGGACCAGATCAGGTCTTTTTCTCTTGAGATGTGAAGCGGGCTGGCTGGCCTGAATGTATTTGATTTGATTGCACACGCACATGAGTTGCACCCGCGGCTACTGCTCCCCAAGAAAAAAAAAGTAATGCTTTCCTTCGTTCTTCCTTCCTTCATTCTCCTGCCTCTTCGTCGTCCCCCGAATTATCCACATAGACTCCATCCAGCAACATAATTTGATACACCCACGCATTTCTAATAAAAAAAAAGGAACCTTCAAATTCATCACCCCTTGCAACTATGTCTCGTCTCGCTCTACATCTACTCTACCGCCGCCCCTGTTAATATCCCGCCCGCCGAGACGGTGGAGTATACTTATGTACACCATTACTCTCGAAGTATCTCCTTTTCCAAGTGGCCTGAGGTTGTATATATGTATGTGTATATGTATATATAGGTCTGTGATTTGTGATTTGTGATTTGTGATTTGTAATTTGTGATTTGTGATTTGTGATTTGTGATTTGTAATTTGTGATTTGTGATTTATGATTTTAATTGTGTGAGTGCGTGTGCGTGGTGGGAGTGTGGAGTGTTTCATTTTATGGAGGGAGATTGTGGGGGTTTGTGTGTGAGTGAGTTGGTTTCGTGGGTGTTTGTGTGTGGGATTTTTTTTGGGGGTAATGTTATTGTGGTGATGACTGGTTGGTTTGGGTTGGGTGGGTGGGTAGATTGGGTTGGGTTAGATTGGGTCGGGTTGGGTGATTGGTTGGTTAGTTAGTTTGTGGGGAAGAGGAAGGGGAAGAGAGGGGAAGAGAGAGGAAGAGAGAGAAGAGGGAGAAGAGGGAGAAGAGGGAGAAGAGGGAGAAGAGGGAGGAAGAGAGAGGAAGAGATTTGTGTGTCCGGCAGTCTTGATCTATGGGTCTTGGGTGCTTGTTTAGGACTAGTGGTGGTGATGGTGATGAAGTGATAGTAATGGTGATGGGAAGAGGTCGGGATATGTCATGCATGGACCTGACATGTGTGATGAGTTTTGTGATTGGATAGAAGGACGCAGGATGGGAGGAGTGTTAATGGTGGGATGGAAAAGGATAAGGAGGAGATCTTGTTGCAGAGATAGAGGTGTGTATGTATGTATGTATGTATGTATGTATGTATGTATGTATGTATGTATGTATGTATGTATGTATGTATGTATGTATGTATGTATGTATGTATGCATGTACAAGGAATGGACGAAAGAACTATATTTGGAGCAGACAGATGGTTCTATAGAAGCATATCGTGGTCATGGCTTTTCGACGGACGGATAATTGCGAGTCGACACCAAAGGACACGGTCCAGTCTCGTGAAATGAGTGAGAGTCAGGCCTCAGCAGCGTTACTCCGAGAGTTGTCTGTAGGTATGAGGGGAGAGGTGACATCGATGTTCTGCAAGTGGCAAAGGGAAAGCAAGTCTGCGATGAACACTACTACTTTTCTACTACTCAATCATACTTCACGTCGATCTTGACCTTCTCATGCTCCCACCCACTCCTAGCATTCACTGCGGTGAGCTTCATCTCGAGGGTGTCGTCGTGCACTGCTCTGACGTTGACAAGCGACGCCCAAGTGGAGTTCTTCTTGATCCCAGCTCCAGTTCCTTTCAGCTTATCGTCAGGTGTGGAGTTGAACGCCAGTGCGACCAGCGCACTAATGTCACCCCAGGCAGAGCAGTACTTGTAACGACCGAACGACCATAGCAGGATGATGGATACAAAGTGCAACGTGACCAGGGCACAGTAGATCAGAAGGAAGCAGACGGCGACTTTTGTTGACGTGCTGTCAATCTGCCAGCCGTAGCCGTGCTGCCTGACATTGAAGCGGAATTTGAAGGCTTCGTTGTTCAAGTAGGTCATGTTTTCATGTTCTTCGGGGCTGATTTGTATGCCTTGTTCAAGGTAGAGGGCGGAGCGGGTTTCGCGGAGATTGATTAATGAGGCCTCGCTTCTGTTGGTGCTTGTGTCTAGCATCACAGTTTCTAACAGCCCGGGAGCGGTGAGACCGTTTGTGATGAGTACGCTCATGAGCTTGGATATGGACTCGGCGAAGAAGGCGTCTCTGGCTGCGATAGGTGATTCGGAGGCTTTCAGAGAGAGGTTAAACTTCGAAGCGTATCCGTCGGGTCCGAATATTGGAAGTTCTGATAGAAGCACGTCGCCACTCACCCAGTCAGGACTGTGATCGTAGATGCTAACATTGGTTATCCACTTGGCGAAGTCAGTCTGGATGTCGATGGGCTTGTCAGACATGCCATAGCGACGTCTGAAGTCTTCGGCTGTGCCTGTCTTGCCTATCTTTCGTGAATGGAGCTCGCCCAGGTTGTCAGTTACGTTGCTCGAGACCTTTGTCGAATTTCTGGGCTGGTAATAAACATTGGCTGCCACCCATCTAGCATCGATCGAGCAGGGAACCAGTGCATACTGGGGTGGGTTGGGGTACAGGTTTCTTTCCGATATGGGAAGTCCGGTAAGAGCAAGTATGGAGGATGTGTTGTTACCTGTGCGATCGTCTCTGATCCAGGAAAAGCGACGTTTAGAAAAATTACGCCACTGGCCCCACGTGTCTGACTCCACGTTCAGAACGAACGGGTCCTGACTCACATCGTTCCACCCAATCTCTGCTGTTGGGAAGGTAATGTTTGGAGTAGTTTGGTTCTGGTCCCATATCTGAGTATTGCATTCGACATGAACGATGGGCTGGTATATTGCAGTTTCAGGAGCAATGCGAAACTCTGGAGAATTGATACTGGCAAGACTTGGAATATTCTCACGTACGTAGCTCCAGAGTCCACCCGCTCCAAGCAGGATTGTTTTGGTGATTGCTGTGGAAACAGTGCCGAATTGAAAATCTGCGACTCTTTCCAGTGTCCCTATGCTCAAATGACGCTGTGCGTCGGAGTAAGTGTCCTCGAAGACGATACCGGCTTCTGCCCCATTGCTGATATGGCCTTGCCACCAGAACATGATCTCTGACAGGCCAACGCCAGGGCAAGGGCCCTCGATATACAGCAACGGTGAAACATCGTTGCAAGTTCCGCCGTATGTTTTGGTCTCGTTTAATGTTGTCCTCCATTGATTCTGGTTGGTCGTATATATAACACCCGACTGATCTTGAAAAGGAGTATCGACAACATACCAGCCACGGCGCGGTATCATGGCCATTGCTGAAAAGGGACCAAGGAAGAGCGACAAGATGCAGATGATGAGCAGCAGAGTTGCGTAGGGGGCGTATCTTAGTTTCCGAACTCCATGGAACCAGAAAGGAACCTGAAACATCATCGAGACAGTGCCGCAAATATATGGAGCGCCTAGCAGACCGAAAGGTAAGCCTTGCGGTCCCAGGAGGTACTCTCGCATGTAATGGAGGGCGATGAAGGACAGAGACGAAACCAGGACCAATTCGTGAGCCTTGGACGCGACTTGCCACATGTTAAGGGAAACGTCCTCGTTGCTCATCAATATTGTTTCTAGCTTTGTGGAGTAGAGCTTTCTGTAGTTTATCCAGACTATTGTGATTGTGACACCAAGGCCAACAATATGAGTGAGTAATTCCGGCCATGGAAGACCTCTGCTGACAGCTACTTTTGAAGGCTCCTTGCGGCCGGATGGTTCGACTTTGAAAATAGAGCTAGGGGGACGGGATATACAGTTGACGGTTTGACCCTGTTCAGTCTTGTCTGGGAGTAATGGGTAGGTTGCTGAGTATGCGAGGTCAGGAGTGTCTAGTCCCCTGGGGGTTGTTGAATCCATGATGAGAATCTTCGAGTCTTGAATGACGAAAAGCGTTCGCCTTGTTCAGTGGAAGAGCAAAGACTTGGAAGTCTGCAGCCTTATAAAGGTCTCGCCAGTTGGGGAGCAAAGACTTGGGAATCTGCAGCGTTATAAAGGTCTTTTCAGACTCGAGAGCGAATTACTCACTCTCTCTCAAAATAGGTGCGTAGTAGCCCGTCGCTCGGCTTGCAATATTGCGGCACAGCATATGGCGACTGCAATTGGATGAGATATCGACGGGGATGATGCATGGCTCGTGTGCAAGTGCAGTTTCAGCCTTTCAGCCTTGCAGAAGTCAGGTACTAAAAAGAGCCGACAATGACAGAGAAGGACGAGGCCAGAGGCTCCCATGACGCATGGCACATGGCGAGGCAATATTGGATGCGGTGTGAAGATGCAGAATGTACTGAAAATAGAAGCTCGACCGGAGAAACATACAGGTCAGATGTCTATCATGCACCAAGCCAAGTCGAGAGAGATTGTTGTGGTTGGGCATGGACGATGTGCATATGCGCCGCATCGGTCGAGAGAGAAGAGGAATTGGCCATGGATCTATTTTCTAACAAGGCTGCCCGTTACTGATGGTGGTATCTGAGGTTCCGAGAGAGGACTAGAGATCAGCCTTGCGGAAGGTGTTGTTTGCATGAATATGTCCGGCGAGACTGAGGGATCATGTCTTGAAATGCGTGATGGAAGTGAAGTATATTTAGGATACAAGGAGTGATGGCGGCTGGCCTTGGTGATGGTTTACGTGCGTAGGATTGTCAATCTATCATGTTCTTATGTTGATGTGATGAGGTAGTCATGCCTTGACTCTTGAGAGGTGTTGTGGCGCTAGTATCGACTGGTCATAGCGCACTTCGAAGGTTCTTTCCACTTTAGACTAGTGCCTGTGTCCTAATTAAGAGCAGAACATCAAAGTTCCACCAGCAGGTCCGCAGAGGTATCATTGGACTCCAACAGCGATGGCAAGCAACATATATGCGTATGTGACCAAGTCGCCTACGTCTGGCAACGGGCTCTTCGCAAAGAAAGAGGTTGGTGGCGGCGAGCTGATAGTGAAGCTGGCACGGCCGATGATAGCAGCTCTGGACTACTCGAGGCTTGAAGATACGTGTGCGAATTGCTATGCGAGCAAGACGGCATCATCGATTCGCAACCGTGAGTATGGAAAGGCAGGTGAGCAATTCTTCAAACTCAGTGCCTGCACTGGCTGCAAGGTTGTCAAATACTGTGGCAAGGTGAGGGACAAGAGGCGCGTCAGGTTCAGTATCCATGGACTGACTGACAGGACCAAGAAATGTCAATCGCGAGCGTGGAAACGGCACCACAAGGTGAATTGTAAGCTTTTCAATCGAATCCCCACCCGGCTTCTGTCGAACGCGGTTCGGGCGATATTGCAGATCCGTGCAATGGAAGCTCTCGGCACGTTGGAAGAGCACTGGCACGCGTTTGCAGGTCTGGAGTCGCATGCAGAGCAGTTCAGCGGGCAACACCGCAAGTATTGGAACGAGACGGAGCAGGTGCTTTCCTTGCTGGATCAGTTCACGCAAGAAGAGATGCAAATCCGAGGCATGGCTAAGCAAGACTTGCATGGTCGAGTACGTTCTCATATCATGCGGACGCACACTCCTCTGCCTCTGGGAGAGATTAGTTGATGTGGAATGTGCAGGTCCTCACGAACAGCCTGACACTGGTGACGGCGGTGTTTGACCCTATCGGAATCTGCCTCGATCCGCTGGTGGCAGCGTCGAACCATTCATGTGAGCCAAACGCGGCGATAGTGATGGATGGGCCAGAGCTGTCGATGAGGTCGCTACGTCGAATAGCAAAGGACGAGGAGATCTTCATTGCATATGTCGACACGACCAATCCATTTTCTTATCGTCAGCAGGAGCTCAGTAGTCGGTACTTCTTTGATTGCTCATGTAGGAAATGCCGGACAGGATCAGAGCTCGAGATGGAAAAAGACAGGAACAAAGCTGCAGTACAGGCGGCAGGATTGGAGAAGCTGAAGCAGGCCAAGAAGGCTGGAGCAGCCGAAGCGGTCACGAAGCTTGAGGATGGACTGAAGATGTGCTTTGAGTGTGGAGCGATTGGACTGACCGAACAACCGTACGCAGCATTACGGCATAGCTTGATGGTGAATCTCATCAGCAGCGGCAAATACGATGTGGGATTTATGCAGGGCATCAAGATGTACTGTCATGTTGAACCAGGCATCTTTGACGAGTCATTCCACCCGGTCAGAGTGGCTCGCAACTGGGTTCTCCTGCGGCTGATATGTGCACTTCTGGCCGACTACAGATATCGCGAGTACATGAGTGAGTTGATGGCAAGAAGTGGCGTTGATTTCGCGATTGTTGTATATCACATGTTCCAAGATGTGGTTGACGCGGTGGACAAGAGTCATGGACGGGAGAGCAGCTTGGCCAAGAGTATCGGGGAGGAGTTTGAGGCGACGCTGGACACGCTGGATGCGCGAGATGCGGGGATGAAAGCAGCGTATTCTGCAGCACGGGCAGCGCAGTTTTCAAAACTGGAGCAGCTGGCAAACACGGTCGAGATGTGACTTTTTGCCGTGTGGACGTTGGACAGTGGTCAGACAGACAGACCGAGATTTGTGGCACGCGGCGGGTCACGTGCCATCACATCAATATGTACGTGCACACGCAGCACATGCATGGCATTTTACCGGATCGTCTAGATCTATCATCTAAAATCTGCTGGATCCATCCATCTAATCTGGACGGCGCATGGGGTAGATGGACAAGGGAAGATGGGAATAAAAAGAGAAGAGAAAAGGAAAAGAAAATAGAGAACGGCTGACTAATGGGTATTGCTGCCTCAGTCAAACCTTCAAAACCCCCATTCATCCTGACGTCGGGACAGCGATTTCGCGTTATGGAGGGAAGGGGTTGCGTGCTCTACCAACGCTGTGATTGGTTGGCGGTTGGTCTGACTAAGCCAGACTAACCCTCTATAGCGAACGCCGCCCGAACGCCCAAACGCCCGAACGCGCCTTCCCCGCCGAAACTCGTTACTACTACTGCTTACTACTACTGCTACTATTACTACTACTACTACACCATCACCATATCCACGATGGTCAATCACTACTACTACAGTACTACTTCAATCCTACTACTACCATTACCATATCCACTTCTCGCTTCAATCATCGGCACCCACAACTTGACACTCTAGCACAAGAGCGTGGGGCTTCCACTACGTCGTCGACTTTCCAATTTATCCCAATCCCATCATTCGATGCCAAAATCCCGCTGCCCATCATGCCATCCATCATCCATCTACACCTTCATCTCTCCTACCCAACAACCTATACACTTCTGACCTTTTGACATCTTCGCGTCTACTGCTTCATTGCGGAAGAAGTCTGTCCGTTTTGACGAACCTCTCTTGCTCTGCCGCTGTCAGTGAGCTTACTTGTTCTTGGCGCCGCACCCAATCACAAGATAATTACCATCCCGCCGCCCAGCTCTCGACTCTTGTCTCCTCCTAGTCACGCAATACACTGGCTTGTTGACAACTTGGCCTGTTTTTTGCTTCTTTTCCATTTCAACACCCTCCCATTCACTTCTAGACCCCCAATCTACCTCGTGTCTGGCCCCGCACAACCCTGCTGCCCACAAGCCAAACACGCCTGGAAACCTCTCCATTTACCGCGTTTCGCCTCCTTGGACAGCCACTATCACCCCCAAACTGGCCATAGCTTCACCAAGCATCTCTCCACTAGTCTTGCCCTGTCAACCACCCTTCTATATATCTTGTCGGTCCAATCTTTTAATCTTTTGACACTGCCATATCCATCCGACTTTTGACTGTCTCTATTGTCTCTGTCGCCTTTCGCCACAATGGCCGTCACCCGTAAGAAGATCGGCCATGCCCTGGCGAAGCCTCTGGGCATCAAGCTCGATTATCGCAATGAGACGGGCGCCAGAACTACTCGTGGAGAGTCTGTCTTCTCCGTCTCGAGCGCAGACACCTTCGTGGAAGAAGAGCCCACCGTGCAGGAGTGGTTTGCTGAGATAACGCCCTCCTTAAAGGACGTTGGCCGTTATTTCTACAACCTATTTCCATTCCTGAGATGGATTGGCCGTTATAATCTGCAGTGGCTGTACGGGGATCTGGTTGCTGGCACGTACAATCTGCTCCACCTCACCCATGCCATTCTCTGACATCGTTCTAGGTATCACTGTTGGTGCTGTTGTCGTGCCCCAAAGCATGGCCTACGCAAACCTCGCCCTGCTGCCCGTCGAGTTTGGTCTCTACTCCTCTTTCATGGGCGTCCTCATCTACTGGTTCTTCGCCACCTCCAAGGACATCACCATCGGCGTAGGTCGCAATTCGCTCTGCAGTACCAGCACAGTCTCGTCTAGCTAACACTCCCTCAAGCCGGTCGCCGTCCTGTCTACTGTAACTGGCAACGTTGTCTCTAACGCTACCGCCAAACTTCCTCAGTACGCAGATACTCCGTGGGTTTACGCCAACTGTCTTGCAATTATTGGTGGCGCCATCGTCTGTTTCCTGGGTCTTGCCCGTCTGGGCTTCATCGTCGAGCTCATCTCGTTGACGGCCATTTCTGCCTTCATGACTGGTTCTGCCATCAGCATCGCTGTCGGGCAGTTGCCTGCACTCATGGGCATCACGACTGTCAACAACCGTGCCGAGACATACAAAGTCTTTATAAACTTCCTCAAAGCCTTGCCCCAGACCAAGTTGGACGCCGCCATGGGCCTGACTGCTCTTGCTATGCTCTACCTTATTCGGAGCGGCTGCAACTTCGCCGCCCGGAAGTTCCCGAGCCGCGCCAAGACATTTTTCTTCTTGTCCACCCTTAGGACCGCATTCGTCATCCTGCTCTATACTGGCATCAGTGCTGGTGCCAACCATGGTCTGCCAGGCGTTCATGTCGGTGTGAAACCAAAGAACCCCAAGTTCCGTATTCTCGGTGTGGTTCCCCGTGGTTTCACCCACGCCCAAGTCCCCACCGTTGACACCGCTGTTATCAAATCGTTCTTGTCCGATCTGCCTGTCCTGGTCATTGTCCTGCTGATTGAGCACATTTCCATCTCAAAGTCCTTTGGTAGGGTGAATAATTACACCATAGACCCATCGCAGGAACTGGTTGCCATTGGTGTCACAAATCTGCTCGGTCCTTTCCTTGGTGCATACCCAGCCACAGGATCCTTCTCCCGTACTGCGATTAAATCAAAAGCTGGTGTCAGAACCCCCTTTGCCGGTGTGATCACCGCGCTTGTCGTTCTTCTTGCCATCTACGCCTTGACTGCTGTCTTCTACTACATTCCTCAGGCCTCGCTTTCGGCCGTCATCATCCACGCCGTTGGAGACTTGATTACTCCGCCAAACACCGTCTACCAGTACTGGAAGGTAGCGCCACTTGAAGTTCCCATCTTCTTTGCTGGTGTGTTGGTGACCGTCTTCAGCTCCATTGAAAATGGAATCTATGTCACGATCGGCTTGTCCGCTGGAGTCTACCTCTTCCGTCTGTTCAAGGCACAGGGACGATTCCTCGGTCAGGTCAAGGTTCACTCAGTTATTGGAGACCATCTCTTGGACGACGGACGAGGCGGCGAGACGGGTCCAATCGGAGACACGAACGTCGACACCTCGACTCGCAGCATCTTCCTGCCAATTGACCATCGTGACGGCTCCAACCCCTCCATCGATGTCGAAGCTCCCTACCCAGGTGTCTTCATCTACAGATTCTCCGAGAGCTTCAACTACCCCAACGCCAACCACTATCTAGACTACCTCGTCCAGACCATCATGAGCCAGACGAGGAGAACTAACGCAGCTACGTATGGAAGACCTGGCGTAAGTCTGACCACTCTCCTCCCCCCAATCCCACCCAACCACTGACCAATGCCTTTTAGGACCGACCATGGAACGACCCCGGCCCAAAACCCGGCAAAGAACACGCAGAAGACGACAAACCCACCCTCAAAGCCGTCATCCTCGACTTCTCCTCCGTCAACAACGTCGACATCACATCCGTCCAGAACCTGATTGACGTGCGCAACCAGCTCGACAAATACGCCTCCCCGGACCGCGTCAACTGGCACATTGCCTGCATCAACAACCGCTGGACCAAGCGCGCCCTCGCAAACGCCGGCTTCGGCTACCCGACCCCCGAAACGGATCCCAGCGAGGGCGTCAAGCGCTGGAAGCCCATCTTCAGCGTTGCCGAAATGGGTGGCCACAACAATAGTGCCGCTGCCGCCGCCGAGGCCGAACACAACAAGCGACTTAGGAAATGGGGTAGTACCGATATTGAGGTTGCGCCGCAGGAGGAGGCTAGTAGCTCCGATCACGACTCCATTGAGAAGAGAGTCTCGCGTTCGCGCGCGTATAGCACGAATGCGCGGGGTGGTGGTGTTGGCGGCGACACCATCAAGGTCGTGCATGGCATCAACAGGCCTCTGTTCCATATTGATGTCACGAGCGCGCTCCAGGCTGCGCTTGCTAATGTTGAGCATAAGACGCATTAGGCGGCGTGTGTTGCGATCCTGTTTCTATCGGTTTGACTTGACTTGACTTGGCCTTACCTGACTTGACTTGACTTGGCCTTACCTGACTTGACTTGGGTATAATTTTTGCATTTCATGGAGACGGCCATTTACAGGCATACATATATACACATTAATATATATATGTATATACATACATACACACACACACACACACACACACACACACACACACACACACACACACACACACACACACACACCTTGGTTCGGTCTCGTCGCGGGTAGTATAATGTAATAGACTGCGGCGGTCAGGAGTCGTAAGCATGCTAGGCCATGACAAGAGAGGAGGATACATACATATATCTATATCTATATACATCTATATATACCCCAAAAATACACGGCACACGTCAAGGGGTCCTTTACCTGTAGCTTGCTTGGTACGGCAGGTGCTGTGTGCTGTGCATTCCAATGCTTTCGTTCCATCTTTCCTTCCTTCCATCCTTCCTTCCTTGCATCTTTCCTTCCTTCCTTGCTTCCACTCACTTGACACTCGACACGGAAGGAACAACACAAGGGACACGACACGGAAGGAACAACAAGGCACACAAAACGCACAAAGACACGCTAGCATCGCGTTTTATATATATACACATTACGAGGCGGAGAAAGGCTCTGTTTCCAAGCCCAAGCGTCCACGTACCGGAGGGAGCGGCATATCTACAAATCTCAGCCCCCTTTCATCCTCCCTCTTCCTTCTTCCTTCTTCCCTCTTCCCTCTTCCTTCTTCCATCTGCACACTGTCCCATCTACCCTACCATCCACTCTTCCCGTCCCTCTCACTCCCTAAGCTTGTCCTCCTACCGAAACTTGTCCCCTTATCCTCACCGCCCAACCAACCCAAACCAAACGAAACCAAACCAAAAAAACGCCACTGTGCCGACGAAGCAGACAAGACAAAACAAACCAAGACAACCCAACAATAAACAGAGAAGAAAGAAAGCGAAACAAAAAAAATGGTGGTATCAAAACAAACACATCATCTAACAGAAAATAAGTAGTAAGTAGTAAGTGGTTAGGGAAAAAAAAAGGGAAGAGAGGGGTCGGATCGAGTCACAGGGTATGTATGTATATATACCGTGTTAATGTTGTTGTTGTGTGTGCTTGAGCGAGAAAAAAACACCCAGGGTCGGGGGTGCGGCAATTGAAGGAAGGGCCTTTCTCACTTCCCCCCCCC